TTAATTGTGCTTTTGTGTATTCCTTTGAGAGAAGTTTTCACTCATATGAGAAATTACAATACACCAGTGAATGGATTCAACTCTAGACCTTTACTCGGAACTCAGGGTAGTTAAGCAGCGAAAAATATTTATCGTGCAAATGCCTATGTTGACAGGGGTCCTGAGATTTTGAAGTCTCATCCGAAGGATCCGTGACTTTCACTTCTAGTGGCGTGCCCTTCGGAAAGGAACAGTCACATAATTGAAAGGAAATGTCATTCCAAACCTTCGTGTCCTTGAAGGTTGTAGAACATCTTGCAAACAAAAACGTAAATAATTTCTTACTTAAGACTATAAGGTCATACATCCTGATCAACTACAATAAGTTTAATTTCCCCTCAAACTTCTTTTGAAAATGAATTGTTTAGGAATATCATGTTTTGCATAGCAATGGAACAAGAATTGATGATCTACGCAGTTTCTAATGTGTCGTAATTCAATGCAGAATTTCTGAATTTTTATTATTATACAAGGTGTCATCAAAACAAAGTGACATAAAAACTTAAATACTAGTTGGTATTAAGTGATATTCTTCAGACCTATTGCTATTTCTAAGCATATTTTCTTGCATGATTAGATACTTAGTAATATTTATGAAAGACGACAGAAAATAAATTAAGTAACTTAGCTACTAGTATTTAATCAAAAATTGGATTATATTTTGCTACGTGGGCTATAGTCACTTTGATATATCTCGTATTGTTTATGTATTGAATAGCAATTTTCCTACTTATCTTCGTCAATAAACAAGAAAAATGTCACAATTATACACATAAACATTAAGCCGTTGCAAAGAGAAAATCTTCCGTGTTCCGGCTAAGTATTTATGCTTGTACTTGCATCAACAAAAGATTTGACTGGTTGGGGAACTCTGTATAGTGAATATTCATATTTTAAGGTCATACATTGTATCTAATATGAATTATATGAAAGCGTAATAAAAATCACTATGACTGTATTTTTATATAAAAACTATATCGCGTTTAATTTAAATTTCCTAAAGGACACAATACAAAATGATCAAGATAAGAGTGACATATACTGTAAATGTAAATCTGAAGTCTCTGTGGAGACTGTGGCTCTATGGTATATGCTCATTCTAGAAGTGGTGCAAATAAGATATGGATTCTCAAAATCTCCAACTTCATCAGTTGAAAAGACCTCGAGATGACCTGAGGTATGTTACATGTACAATGCTCCTTCTTATCAGTAATTACTTATGCTGCTGATCATGCTTATTAATGGAGTCCAGTAATTTTAATGAAAATACAAGTTTATTTAGCTCTATTTTGGATACGTTTGGACTTTCATTTTCATAAGAATATTCCGAGTAAACTTTTAACGACAAAGATTCCTTACTTGATGTACAAGAGTCGGTCTCCTTACAAGTGAAATTCAACACAAGAGCGATACTTTTTAACTATCAATATGATAAGCTTATCAAAAATTTAAAAAGAAAAATAAAAACATCTACAAATCAAGTAATAGTCATGTTTCAGCTACACTTTATTAATCAATTAAAACAATTCACATTCAAGGCAGTGAAAATTTAACTGACTAAGAGATTTCATCGAAAATATTCGTCACCTGCTAATAACTGAACTTAATAGAATTGAAAGAATGGTCAAACTACAAAATATTTCAACTCCCAAACTTTGCAAATCGCAAAATGTGGAAACTAGAAAATGTCAGAGCTGCAATATTGATAGTTTTCAGATTATTCAAAAACTGACAAAAACTGTTTCTGATCTTTCTGAAGAAGTTGTCAGGCCAAAAATTGAGTTGCATTCTCTACAAATCAAAAAAATTAGGTCAGTAGATGCATCTACTCAAACAAGAGAACCACTCACAAAAGCTAAAGCGGTCGACATACAGGACTTTAAAATTAAAAAATGAAAGGTGTGAACAGACAACAAAGTGTGTTAGAGTGGAGACAATAGAATCTTCAGCATCTCCTAAAACCACGACTGACCAAAAGACTCAGTCAACATACAGCAATCCCGTGAGAGAACCAGAACAAGAGTCAGGCATATCGTCTGGAAAATCTATATTAATTATTGGTAGTTCCATCCTCAAGAGAATCAACTGTGGACTGTTAAAAAACAGAGGGACAAGGCTGTCCGATATAAAGAAGAGAATTTTCCCGGGAACCGACCTAAAACCTTTCCGGTATATAATCATTCTTGCTCATTAAAATGATGCTGCCAACAACAGAAAATGTGAGACCAGACAATGTGATAATACCGAAATAAAATTATTGTGCTCGATATTTAGGGAAGACATCCGCATATCGAAAATTTTGTCTCGGAAATACCTACCTGAAAAGATGCAGATTTATCATGTCTGAATGGACTTTTGAGCTTGAATACTGTTCGTTATCCCCATATATTTCATGTTTCTGACATAAATAATGAACAATGGAGATAACGAACAGTTTTCAAGCTCAAAGTCCATTTACAACACAAATTGGGAGAAGGGCAAACACGGACCTCCAAAAATATCAGAGGTGGGATCAGGTGTCATGTAGGAGCGCAGTCCCTGCGGACCGATCACATGATCGGGAAAAACGGAAAAATCCGTTCACAATTCAGTGTGTAAATAATGGCTAACAATTAGAAAAACGTCAGTCAGGCATTTTTTCTTTATGCATTAATAAATCTGACATAGATTTATTCCCGGGCTATGTCACTGTAAACGCCTCGGGAAAGATTTCCAATCTATTGTAAATGCATTATCAATAGATATTTTGCTTGTATAGAAAAATGGTGCTCTCAGAATCAAATGCTTCTAAATCCTACATAAATTAAAAGCATGTTAATCGGTACATATAGAAGAAATCTAATTTCTCAGAGCATGATTTTTGTCTCTGCATTTCAAATAAAAAATAGACAATATTACACATTAGATATGCCTTGGAGTATATACAGATAATTAGTCACACTACAATGTGCATATTGACAAAATTGTTTGTCTATCACGAAAAAATATCTATCCATAGAATTAAACATATATTCCTATTCAAACAAACAAGTTTTATAATGCCTGTGTTATTTCTACCATGGATTACTGTCTAACAATATGGGGAAATTCATCACACTCAGATCACGAACATTCCGTAGTAAAGTGTAATATAAAAACAAAAGTCTAACAATTAGTATATAACATGTCAGCTAAAAAGAGACAAAAATATATCTATTCATAAATGAACAATTTGGATTTAAAAAAAACTTTATTGAATTTCACTTGGTTATTACATCGAGTTAATGGAACTGGTTCAAAAATATTATTTTCATATTATGGCCACAATTTTGAATTATAAGATAAAAGGATAATGCCGAGGTACTTTAAGTACTTCACGCATACCTGATTTTTTTTTTCTTCAAATTTATAGTTGAAAAAGGTTTTCTAAAATCTTTCGAAGAATATAGGACACTAAAACATATATCACAGTTTAAAAATGTTTTCTATTACATTTTTAATTACATGATTAGTTCTTCTTTAGTGTAAAAGTCCACCTTTTTTATTTGAGGGAAATTCGTTTTCTATCATTAAAGGTTCCCCTTTTACAGTAATTATGTGCAATGAGTTAATTTAAATTATGATTATCATTATCATTGTATTCTTTCTTATTTTCCTTTCAGCCTATTTAATGTTGGAGTAATCACTCTCATTACCTGCAATGAGAAAATTGAAAACAAAATAAAACACATACAATTCATAAACAATATTGATTTGGCTCCTTATGAATGAGGAGCTGAAAACATTATTTTACTTATATACAAAATTGTATAATTCAAATAATGATCTGCGACAAGCATTTCATTTACTTTGAATGAAGAAGGGTGAAGATAACGAACAGTGATCGATCTCATACAAACGTCGAACAATACAAATCTGTGAACAGGGTACAAACACGGAAATTTCAGAGGTGGGATCAGATACCTATAAGAAGTAACGTTCACTGTTGACCGGTCACAACCGCCGTAAGCCCTGTTTATTGATCTCCTTCATGGCACCTGATCCCACCTATGATCTTTTAGAGGTCCGTGGTTGCTCTGCTCTTGATCTGTATTGTTTGAATGGACTTTTGAACATGAATACTGTTCGTTATCTCCATATATTTCATCAAGTAGAGGGAATATTCTGTAGTCAAATTTAGAACAAAAACAAAGGTATAACAATTGGTATGAAACAAATCAGCCAAAATACGACCCAGTTATAGGTTATGTTACTCATCCTAGACACCTAATCTTACCTCTGAAATTTCCAGGGGTCCGTGTTTTTGCCACTTTCACAGTTTTGTATTGTTTATAGAATTTTTAATATCAATCACTGTTTGTTACAGTGTATCTTCACCCTTTTCATTGCTAATTAAGTCAAAATTACGACCACAGAAGTTACGAAAGGCTGATTTTAAACGATGTTGTTGAAATCCCTGTAACATCCATTTATGTGTGAGTAGCTTGTCTCGGTTTAAATATTGCTCATATTCAAAGCATGCTCTTTAAAACAAAGAAAATTTGATGTCTATTCTTTATTTAAATAATGTTTGTAGGATGTCTTATCAAGTATTATTTACAAATTTCTAGTTTTTATATCTGATCAGGCGAGGGTCCCTTTAATTTATTTGTGAAATATAAAAACATTAATTCTGATTACTGTTATAATAACTATACTTACCTAGAGTATTGTCTTTTTCATTTTTCTTATGGACTTCTGACACATCACTTAATTCAAGGTATTGTACTCTAAAAGGAAATGATATAATTTTGCTAACAAATGTTTTTAATAACGCTTATCATACTTCAATGACCTTTATGTATGAAATTTCAGAGAAAAATGTATGGTTTATCACGAGTGCATTGCAGCATCATAATATGATGTCGCTGATATGCAAGAGATTTCCAGAATGTAAAGGTATTTGCAAATTAAATGTTTGATAAATTTTCATAAATACCTGTTTTCTGCTTTATGAGAGTCTGAAATGGAGAGAAGTAATTATTCATTGCTTAAGTACATACAATACGTAATAGATTTAAAAAATTGTTTCTTTTTGTGATATTTCATATATTACCTTTGATCTTTTCATAAACATTTGTATCAGTCGTTTCTAAAAAAGAAACGAAAAAGTAATATTAGCATATTCCGATGAAATTCAGATTGATATCAAACCAAAGTATCGATATTGATTTCAAATACATTCAGAGGTTCAATGTAATTTTTAGATTTTATTATACCAGTTGTGTATAGGCGTCAAAGATAAGCCTTTTTGTTTCTCATATTTTTCCAAAAATGGAAAATATTTGACAAAATTCACATATAGTGAACTTGTTTACAACGAATATCTATCAAACAATACCTGTTTTTGAAATTCCCTGGTAATGGTGATCTTCACGGGAGATAACCTCATCCTTGTATTTTGCACTTTGTTCACTTTTTTTTAAAAAAAAAGAAGAAGCAAGCATATTCATTACTACTCATTTATCAATTCAACTCAAGAGAACTTTAGAAAATTTGAAAACACATTATTTTTTTTCCTAAACCAAAGATATCAAAGGTATGACGCTTCAACGCTTTTCACAAGTATTCTCAATGATAAACTAAATACCAAGATTTTGAAGATATGAACAATATTGTTTTATGCCACTGTAATCGAAGATTCGGGGGCATATAGTTTTTGCCCTGTCCGTCTGTCTGTCTACCTGTCTGTTTGTTTGTCAGCAAAAACTTTAACCTTGCCCATAACTTTTGATTTGTTGAAGCTATGGCTTTGATATTTCACATGTGTATTCCATCATATTTGACCTTTTGACCTTGACCTTGGATTTTGACCCAGTTTTGCAAAATTTTACCCAACATTAACCTTGGACATAAATTTTGAACAGTGCTAGGGCACTCTTACTTCGCATATGTAATTCTTGTGACAAGACCTTTCTTTGGATACCAGAACTTTGACATTTTGACCTCGGAGTTTGACTTTCTTTTCGAAAACTTTAACCTTGGCTATAAGTTTTGAACAGTTGGTGCTAGGGCTTTTCTACTTTACATATGTAATCCTTGTGACAAGACCGTTCTTTGGAAACCAAGTATTTTGACCCTTTGATCTTGACCTTGAAGTTTGACCTACTTTTGAAAAAAAATTACCTTGGCCATAACTTTTGAACAGTTGGTGATAGGGCTTTCATACTTCACATATGTTATCCTTGTGACAAGTTTTAACTTTGATACCAACATATTTGACCTTTTGACCTTGGAGTTTGACCTACTTTTGAGAAACTTTAATCTTGGCCAAAACTTTTGAATGGTTGATGCTAAGGCTTTCATATTTCACATGTGTATTTCCTGTGAGAAGACTTTTCCTTTACCATTAATTTTGACCATGACCTTGATGTTTGAATCACTTTTGAAAAACTTTAATCTTTTCCATATATTTTCAATTGTTGCTGCTCTTGCTTTCATATATCACAGGTATATTCTTCGAGACCTTACTTTTGGTACCAACATATTTGATTTGCATTTGAGAAAGTTTAACCTTCGCTATAAGTTGCCATTCGGGGGCATCAGTGTTTCACAAACACATCCTGTTTTTAATAAAAAGTTGAATTCAGAAATTTTCATCTCTTGTTATAGGATACCTAAAAATTACTTTGCTCTTATTTCATTTTTTTTTTCTTAGATCAATCGTTATCTCCACCCTTTTCATTTCAAAATCATTCTGATTTTAATCAGATGTAGTCAGAAGCTGATATTAATAGGATGTTGAAGTTACCTTTTTAGACCAGGCCTTCCAAGTATCTGTTGATATTCCGGTGGGAACTAATTTTTGTCCCTTTATTAGTTTATTCGTAAGGCTACTCGATATATTCTAGTGAACTTGAAATTAAAAAAACACAGTCTACCACATTTTTTAAATATTTGATTGATACTGATTAAAGACGTTAACGGTGAAGGTGACCTGTCGACAGGGGACGATTATGCTACCTGATTCTACTTCTGGTTTTTCCAGGAGTCTGTGTTCATAATTTTGCAGTGTTAAAAATTTTGAGATCGATCACTGCGACTTATCTTCACCATAAGGGAATGTATTTTATTTAAGGAAAGATACTTTTAATTGACCTTAAATTTTCTTTTCCTTCAAACCTATCCCACCCATTTATCTGTTTTTTTTTAAATATCCCATTTTAAATACTTTTGTTAGGAATGAGAGTTGAAATAAGAAACCTTTATGGAGTTTAAAAGACATATTAATTTCTTACCTGCTCAGGGCCTCCTTGTTTTTGGCTATAATAGGATATATACTTTCCTATTTAATATATTTGTTAACAATAGCATTTTTACGACATTCAATTAATGTAAAATAGATTAACAATAATTCATCTATTTAATTAATCTATGTTAAATATTACTAGAGTTCAATTTCTTTTTCCCTGACACCAAACAGAAGATAATTTATCATTTACTGTCATGTCTTTTTATTATTTTTACCTTTTTCATTAATTAATAACATTCTGATTAATGCAGGTAACTAACCCTCACTTCTCCTTTCTTTTCTGTATTCGCATAGAGCATAGGCAACAATTACTAACATGATGGTAAGTACAGCGCCACCTAGTATTCCTCTAATTATCTGCTCTGTACGGCATCCTTTGTTTGTGTCTAAGAAAAAGTTTGCCATTTTATATGTTTAATTATTCCGAACGTAAAGAAATAGGATCAATGTACATACCCTCCATCCTTTCTGTGTCTGTTATGCATGATTGGTTATTGGACAGAGCGATGCCGTAGCGGTTTGAAGTCAAAAATCTAAATACATAAACCGATCCAGGCTTCAGTTCCGTCACTTTATAAGTGTTTATTTCTATATCATCTGTTCTATTTATTTTTTCATAAGATGCATTCAGAAACACATTTTTGCTTTCGCTGAGCTGAAGAGTTTCTTCTTGTATGTTATCAGCATAGTATGTTGAGAATGACTTCCATAGAATGTACGCTTCTCTAGTTCTACAATCAACATGTACCAATACCGGCGCAATTGGTGTATCTTTTATAAAATAATAAAAAATATACATTGATTCATTTAAACCATAATCTATCATTCTTCTCTTGAATAACTTTTTGTTCTGGATTTAATAGAATAATATTGAAAGCTAATATATTCAATGTATTCGCAGTAACTGAGACATATATCCAACATTATCAATAAAAGATGCAATGTATAGGCAATTGATTCTTCGATAGAACTCATATACTCACATTGTACCGAAACAACAACAGAACCGCTAGAGTTTCCCACAGAGTTTGTAGCTGTACAGGTATATCTACCTCCATCCTCAATAGTAGCGGTCTGTATGACGTAAAGTTGACCAGTGGATACTATGGAGGAATTGTTAGAATTTATCTTAGTCCAGCTGTACTCGGCATGGTCTTTTGGATTCTCGGTATAACAGTACATCCAAACATATTTTTGACCAACTAATACATTCAACAAACTGCCTGGTAGGATTTTTACATCTGAAATATCTGAAATGTTTTGAATTTTTGGTGATATCAAAAAGACTTTATAATCACTTCACTGAATAAAATCAAAATAAAAAAGATGTTAAACTAATCAATACAAATAGGTCATTTGAGACGATACATGATTTATAATTCAAAAGACTTGTTATTATGTTCAATTGGGTTTTTTTTCTCTACGCATTTAGTATGCAATCCAAGAAAAGACAATCGTTTTGACATTTATAATAATATTTTTTTTCTAAAATGCAGTGTTCTTCAATCTCTCAATTATTCATTTAAAAAGGCTTCGTAGATTTCAAAATAACCTCTACTTACAGACTTTTATCAGAATTCGAATCTGAAACTAGATATTTAAATGACCACTACTTTACCTTACATTTCCTTTGAAGAGAATATACAGATCACAGCAAACATGAAGGAGTGTGTTACATTGTCGGCCCATTTAGTCAATTAGATGATAGCGGAATGGAAGAAGGGAATAGGTTGCCCTCCCCCTCACTTTTCTTATTTCATTTTTAGGAAACACACCGAAATAATCTCTCTCAGAATTGAATGAAAAGTAAGGGTTGCGCCCATCATTCTATTTTAATGCTTAATTATGTAAAATAAAAGGATATCGGCTGTTTAAGGGGGCCTAAACAGATTTTGATGAAATTATTAGAAGTAAAGAAACTTTACTTGCATGTTTATAGTACATACATCTCACGTCTAGGGTATATCTGTTGGATTCTACACTATGTCCCTGGGCGTTGCTGGCTATACAATGCACTTGTTGACCATTATCTCCTACCACGCTAGTAAACCGCAGTACTGAGGTCGTTCTCACCAGGTCTTCTTGATTTATATCTTCTGTGGACGTAGCCTGACTAGTGACGTCAGAAGTTGCTTTATACCACGTGATCTTGGCTGGAGGGTTACAGTAGTCTGTTCGACAGGTTAGAGTTATCGTCTCACCCCTATTGACTCTTAATTGAGACGGGGTCAGGATCAAAGTGGATACAGGTACTGTAAAAAAAAAATATGATAAGTAGCTTTCAAAAACAGCAAAAGCCAATATGGTTATGAAATATGAAAATATAAAAAAGACAATTGCAGTACAGAAAGGGGTACGTCGTAAGCTATTTTGAAAAAAATACCCCCAAAATTGTTCCATACTAATAAAAATTCAGATAAACATAGTAATTAAGGGCTGGATGTAAAACTACATAAAGATTTGTCATAGTGAAGATGTATTTTAATATAATTTGAGACATGTCAAGTGAAAAAAACTAGCTGGTCATTTATACTTACCGTCTTTTCTAAAAACCCTTTGTTCAACTTTCTAGTATCGAGGTTTAGGTCACATTATGTCAATTTATTGTCAAACACATGTTTATAGACATCAGTGCTAATCTGGCTTACATTGACATAAGATAATTTAAGCTGTATGAAATTGAAGCTTCAGCTCATCTAATTATTGAGATAACCACATTTCAAATGTATAGGTGAAGAAAACATTGGGTAATTTTAAGCCGCTTGTATTTAGGATTTGAAGAAATGAATACTTTTACATGCCAATCCACTATATTGTCATAGAAATGATATCTATTGACATATCAATCACCTAAGTTGTCATAGAAATGATATCTATTGACAAATCAATCCACTAAGTTGTCATTGTAATGATATCTATTTTCTTCTTCAGAACCATGTATCTCTATTTCATAATGAAGGCCTAAAGTTAATGTTTTCAGATAATAAATGTTTTTTTTTAAATTCTTCTTGATGAAATTTAACAATAATTTTACTTTCACATATACTATAGTTAATTTTCAACTTAAAACACAAAACCCAACTTTTAAACAAGTAGCTTTTACTTAACGTTTAACCTTACTCACTTGTAACATTTAACGTGATGGTATTGCTTTTGGGGCCTCCAAAGGGCGGGGCACAATACATGGTTACTTTATGCCACGAAGAATCAACAGTTGTTGATATCCTGTAGGTCTGGTTGTTTGGACACTCAAATGAAGTAAATAATCGACATCCACTACAGGAATTATATACAAACATACAATTTCTTTGTCCATAACTGAAGGCAGCTCCCAATTGACCATTTGCGTACACGCATTCAAACGTCACTGTCTGGTTAACAAGAACATCAGATGCGGGCATTACTGACAATGTTGCTACCCCTAAAATATACATGTATTATTAAAAATATGCACAATGTCTTTATGCATGAAGGAATTCAGAATTAATGAGAAAGCAAGGTAGTACATAGCTGGAAGGAAATTACGTAAATCAAAATGACAAATTGATTTTTTTTTTAAAGTTTTGTCATGCCTATGTTTGCCATGATTTTTTTTTTTTTTTTTTGAATTTTAGTTAATAAGAGAATCTTACCAAAATTATAAAAATTAAGGATTAAATCGTCATGTTTTCATTACTAGCAAGATTTCATTTCATATCATTCTTCTGTTGTTTAAAGCTATATATATCGTATCTGAGCTAAAAAATAAAAATACGAGATTGAGTGTAGATGAACATGATATTCGTTATTTACGTTCGAATTAAAATTTTCACCGATTTTGAACTTGAATGACCCCACGTTTCTATAGTTAAATTGACTTAAAACTGTGTCTTATATTTAAATGCGGAGTCGGTAAATAAATCGGTTATTGTTTTAAATTTTTAATATCTATGAAACGCGATTGATTTAAATTATGTAATTTAATTACAGGAAAGTCCTATCTTTATATAAAGTAATAAAACAAATTGAAAAATCTTTATAATTTTAGTTAGTCAAATTATCAAAAATACGCCATATATGACTTTAAAAAGTATCACAAAAATAAACAACTTATGAGGTGCATAACACACATAGCTGTTTATGTTAGGTATAATAGGATAATAAAGATGTTCAAAAGGTATATGTTCTTATGCTCGATCTGTATAATCGAACGATCAAATGTAACTAGACAGTATAATGAAAATTAAAAAAAATTATGTAATTACAAATCTCGAGACACAGTTCACTTATCTATTAGTCTTTGAAATGTTATCATTGGACGTAACGACTACTCTGCATATCCTTAATTTCTGAAATATATTAAGTATTGTACTCAATACGATTTAAAGTGAAATATTAAAATGCTTCCCTATTCTATCATATCTTGATCACGTTCATTACTTTGTACATGGATTATTGTACTGGTGTTCCATCCCTCCTTTCCTACTTGTCTACTGCAGTAGACTTCCTGGTTATGAATGGGCTTTAACAGTGTAAGATTAAACAACCAAGGATCTTCAAAACTACTTTCCATAAATGCTGATTGTGTCATATTTGAACATCCCTTGAACGAGCCTCCACCGGTTCCATACACAACACGGTTTCCTTGGTTGTCCAATGTAAAAAACTGATAAATTCCTCCAGAATTTGTGGACTGACAAGTTAAGACTAAAGAGTGTCCCTCCCTCACAGTGGCAGACGGTCTTGGGGAGATTATAAGTTTTGGACCTTCAAATATATCATGCAGGAGTTATGTATATATTTGGTAGCAATTTCAACATACACATATTAATGTTACTTGTTAAATTTAAAAAACAATATAAGATACTAGATACTTTTTGCTAACAACAAGTGAAAAAAATTATTAATTTTATAACATAACTATATAACTTACTCGTTATGATCAGAGTTTTATTATCTATTGGAAGGCTTAAGAGTGTGTATGTAAATGTTCCTTCATCATCTTTACTAGCGTTGACGATACAAACAGAAACGTGAGAAACATTTGATTGGCAGGAGAAAGGTCTATTCCAAGCAGCTTTAAAGGTTATCGCTATTTCTATACTTCCACTAAACTGCATACAGAGTACTGAATTATCTCTCTTTATATCCCTATCCGTTGTCGTTTTGGCTTGAGGAAACGAAATACAACCTTCGCCCCCTTTGTCTATGAAGACTGTCCGTGAAGCCTCACCTGTGGAAAAGTAATAGAAAAATAGACTGTAAAAATAAACTGAAGTAGGCCTAAGGTAAATAAACCTCAGTCAAATAATAAATATTGCTTTAGAAAATGTACTATAAGATTATTGAATATTACACTCTTAATTCGTTTCCGCAACAAGGAAAAAAAAAAGTCCCTTACATGTAGTGCCGAAATATTTTTACAGACTTTTCCGACGTAGCAAATATTGAAAACAAGAGGCCCAAGGACCTTAACGGTTACCTGAGTACAACAATTTAGATGATCCATAAAATGATAAATGAAGCTTTGTTGCAAGATCAACAAAATAATTGGTCTAGTATCTATCTGTCCCCCATCTGTCACTATTACTATGCAGACTTTTAACAAAATGTTTTTTGATTTTTTTACCCCATATTATTACCTCTCACACTGGCCTCGCTTGGTTTTTGAAGAACATTTAAAAAGATAAGTTATTTTTGTTTCATTTTTATTTATCTATTATTTCCAAGTTTACCTGATCATTAAAAATATGAAAGTACTTTTTGTATTATAAGATAAATGTTCTTGCATAATTCTCTTATTCTATTAACCTTTCAAATATATTATCTACAGTGATTAATTATGAAAGGTGAATGGCAAAGAGGAATAACTTCACTCAGTAGAATACAAATTAATAGAGCCCTGGCCAGGACCAGAACACTTGACGAAATGGCCCAGATGTTCAAAATTCTAGTAAAAATACCCTTGCTTATTAAAACTTATACTCTGTTTGCCTCCAATATGCCCAGGAGCAGAGAAGATTTTCAAAGAAATAATGCATTTTCACTTTTTAACACAGCCCTACCCTAACACCAGAACCCATGACCCAGGCTCATGAAATTTACAAATTTGGAAGAGGTACACTCATCATCATAACTATGGAATTAGTTGAAGATTTTCAAAAGAATTCACACATTTTCACTATATTATCAAATAGCCCCCCTCCCCCCCCCCCCCGAGAAACAACAGAACCCCTGGAAGAAATTATGAATTTCCACTATATAATCAATAAAGCCCCGCCCTAACACCATAACCCTGATCCAGGGGCCATGAAATTCGCAATATCTTCAGAGGCACTCTTGCTCATCATGACTATGTAGTTAGTTTGTTTATTTAATATCCATGAGCAGAGAAGAAGATTTTCAAAGAAATAATGCATTTTCACTATATAATCAATAGAGCCCTGCCCTAGCACCAGAACCCCTGGCCCTGGGGCCATGAATTTCAAACTTTTGGTAGAGGGCTCAATGTTTATTACAATCATGCCAACAGTTTGACTGCTTGATGTCCAGGAGTAAAGAAGAAGATTTTTAAAGATTGCAATAATTTTGGTGGTTTTAGCCCCACCCTTCAGACCCCAGGGAGACAGGGACCATGAAATTCACAATTTTCGTTCCCCTTCACCCATGAATACTATATGCCAAAATTGGGTGAAATAGGTTGAGCGGTTTCAGAGAAGAAGCTGAAAATGGTCAAATGTTAAAGCACGACGGACGACGCACGATGACAGACAAAAACGGATAGCAATAGGTCACCTGAGTGACTCAGGTGACCTAAAAAAAAAATTGTGAAAATAAAACATGATACCAAATGGTGTACTCACTGAAACCCCAAAATAAAAGCAATTTTACAGAATTCACAAAGTGAAAATATTTTACATCCATTTTTTGTTGAATTCATGTATTTCTTCCTGGTTGCTTTAATAGATATAAGAAGATTTACCTGTTCATGTTGAGCGTGAATGATTTATAGAATATCTATATCTTTTAACAGATAATCTGACCTAAAAATATTTGTTTATCTAGAGCAGTATTTAACAGTGAAATTTCATTTTATTGAAATTATGGTGTCTGCTATGTGATTAAGTGTCGTACAGTTTCTAAAAATTACTAAAATTAACAAAATTGTAGTGCAGTATCAAATGTTTTCCTGATGGTAAATCAAAAATTTCACTTTAGTAAATCAAAGTTTTTTACTCTGATTTTCAGATTGTTATATACATGTATATTTCATGTTTTTCAAACCATTTATTCAAATTTTATATCAAGGGGAAGTATTATTTACATATTATCATCTTCAAATATCAATTCGACATTTAGATATATTGATCCCTTCTCTGTTTTAAAGGTAGATGTTTGATCTACTCAAATGTATATTATTTAATTGAACTTTTGAACATGATTATAGTTCGTCATCTTCACATTTCATTATGGAACACGGGGATCTAACTATACTGCAAAATGAGCACGTATGTATATTTATATTTAAACGTGTCTCACTCTTCAAATGAATGCTAACATACTGTTGAATTTTTCTAAGGTTTTTTCCACTGTACTTTTGAGCAATTGTATATAGCAGCTCAAAGACATGGTGGCATATCCCCCCCCCCATATGCATGATAAATTATATTAATATGCAACATTATCATGTTGCATGCGTTATATTTTTTGTTAACATGCAAAATACATGCAAGTTACCAATCTCTTTAAAGAATCTAATTTAAATGCCGGTAAACTAATTTACTAACTCCTTCATATGACATCATACAAGCAAAATACAACAGGATTATGTTGACATGCGACTTATTTATGTTAACATGCGAGATACATGTAATTATATAGACATGCGACTTACTCATGTCAACATGCAAGATAATTATGTAGGCATGCAACTTATTTATGTCAACATGCAAGATAATTGTATTAAAATGCGAGCTAATTACGTCAACATGCCAGATATGTATGTTGACATGCAACTTATTATCTTGCATGTTGACATAAATATCTCGAATTTTAAAATTTAACTCGCATTTTTACATACATAAGTCGCATGTTGACATAAATAAGTTGCATGTTTACATATTCTTGCATGTTGACATAAATAAGTCGCATGTCTACATAATTATGTTGCATGAAAACATAAATAAGTTGCATGTTGACATAAATACCTTGGATGTTAACAAACTTATTCATTATAAATCGCATATCAACGTAATTATATTGCATTTTATGGTGGCATATTTCTGCCCCATGTGTGCAAGTTATTTTTCTATCAAATATGTCGATATGCAAGATAAATATGTTGACATGCAAGAAAGTTATGTCAACATGCAACATAACTATGTTGACATGCAAGAAAATTGCAATCAAATAAGAATTATAAAAAATCTGAAGAAAAATAATCTCAAATATTGCCCACATGTGACTTCAAATATTCTAGAGGCTACTTATTTATGTAGACATGCAAGTTATTTATGTTGACAGGCGAAATAAATATGTTGGCACGCAAGTCATTTATGTCAACATGCAACTTAGGTATGTTAACATGCTACTTATTTATGTCAACATGCAACTTATTTATGTCAACATGCAACTTAGTTATGTCAACATGCAATTTGTTTATGTCGGCATGCAACTTAGTTATGTTGACATGCGAGATAAATATGTTGACATGCAACTAAGTTATGTTGAGTAGCGGATATACATATAATTTTAAAAAGTAAATATCCAAAAATGAAATCACAAATCGATGTAAATGTATGAAGACCCAGGAATGGCAAAAAAGTTTACAGTGAATATGATTGATTTGTGATTTCATTTTGGATACAAACTTTTTAGATATGATCGATTTTCAAAATGATAAGATTTTGAATTAAATGATAAAATTAAAATGCAAAAGAAATTATGTGAGTTGCATGTTGACATAACTATCTTGCATGTCAACATATTTATCTTGCATGTCGACATATTTCAGAGAAAAATAAATTGCATACAAGGAGCAGAAATATGCCACCATAGCATCTTGCTTGTATGATGTCGTAAACTGGCGTTAGTAATAAGTTTACCAACATTAAAATTAGATTCTCTAAAAAGATTCGTAACTTGCAGATAAACATAAATATCCTGTCTGTAGTATACAGTTATAGAATGGGTATGAGGGAAATAGCAAATTTATGGTTCCCCGAGGGAGGAAATAGTTTCCTGCCGAGGGGAACCATAAATTTGCTATTTCCCGAGTACCCATTCCATAACTGTTTTATTATACCGAAACAAACAAAGGAGATTTATTAACTAGAGTCTTAGACATTATTAAAACAATATAGAGGCATTTATATAAATAATCAAAAATGCGCGTGATTCCAATTTTGTTAAATATGTAATGCATCAATACGGAAAAAATAAAATTATTTTTTAAAAAATAATAATTTCACTTACATTTCGAAGGATTATCGTTTTCCTCATTTTGCTTAGAAATTTCAGTATGATTTTGACATCGCATGTCGAAATGTTTTGACGTCATAGTTACATTGCTAATAACATTACGTCACGGACTCGAGATTCCTTGAACGCTCCGCCCACTGTTCATTTTAACTGGTTAAAATTAATAATAAATATTCATGAGGGAGTAGTCCCAGGGAGTAGCTCTGATTTTTCAGGGAGTAGTCCTCAGATGGGGGAAATAGTATTTTCTCGGGGAAATAGACAGATTTATGGTATTAACTTTATATAGAGTAATAAGAGTAGAGGTATAATAAACCTAATTATCTTGAATGTTGACATTTTTTATTGCATGTTAACATACTTCATCTTAATGTAGACGGCAGAAATATATAACCATGGACTGATGTAAAAATGTTCTGTGCAGGTTTGCAAATGAAATAAATGAAGATAACGAACAGTAATCAACCTCAAAGGATTTATCAACAATACATATCTGTGAAGAGGACAAAGCACGGACCCCTGGATATTCCAAATTGGCGAGTATAAAATTATAATGATATCTCACGTATCAAGCATGAATGAAAGTTTCAATTTTTACAGTAATCTTAATTTTTCATTAAGTAAATCAATTCCTTAATGTTTCATTTGGCATAATTTGGTTATTCAAGTTAATTCAAACTGATAATCATTCCACGTAAACCTATTATTAAAATAAAAAAGCGTCTCCTTCTCCTATAAATAAAGAATAAATAGTTTGCAACACTTGGGTTTCCTTCTACTTGTTCAATTACTTAGAGTTACCTTTTCTAAGTAAAGTCCTTTTGTTCAAGGTGGCGGGGAACAGTTACATGTAATGTGCTATCTACCCTTCATTTTTTTTTTAATTTTTAACGCAGAGTTTTGATTCCTGTATTTGATTCCTTAATGTGATTGATTGTTGTTTTCTCCAACAGTGAAGAGTTCCGCGGCAAGTATTAGTTTTTCATTTTTTTAATGGCATTCTATTTGAATATTAATAAAATGAGTTAGTCTGTTAGTCCATATAGATGACTTGAAATTTTCTTTTCCTTCTCATTATTAGGTTAGGGTTAGGGTAAAGTATATACATCAGTTGATAAAACATTATCCACTGACTGCAAATGGGAAACCTCTTTCCACAAACCCTTGACGAGACGTACATATTCTCAAAGGATAAGCTCTCGAGACTCGTCTCTGTGGCTTTGATAGAAGAAGTATTATTCTAATATACATTACTTTATAACATGGTAATAATTTTCTTGATATTGATGATGGCTCAAAGAAGTAAAACACTGATGAAATAATTTTATTTATTTTCCATATATTACAAATGTTTTTGAGAAATTTAAAAAGCCTTATTTCACATCAATTTGCAATTTTGTTTTGGCCCAAAGAACTTACCAGTAACCGAGAGAGTCACGTTTTCCCTGTAATCATAAACGCCAATCTTCAAAGAGAACTGCCCAGCATCTTCCTTCTGTATGTCAGTAAAACAAATAGACATCTGTTCGCCAGATGCGTTACAGCTAAATGTTCTGTTTAGCCACCCGTTTGGAATTGGATATGCAATGACAGACAAACGATAACATAATGTTGTTTTATTTCTTACAATATAATGTGTAATGTTTTCTCCAATTGTTGAAAAGTTTAGACAAATGTCATCTCCAACCTTTGTGTTCACAAAGGTTCCATAGCATCCTGCAAATCAAAACCATAATTGAATTCTTAATTTAGCGTATGATTTCATGTATCCCGATGCACTTCAGTAAATTCTATTTACTTATTTCATAAAGTTCAAAAGTCCATTGAAACAATACAAATCAGGAGCAGAGCAAACACGGACCACTAAAAACATCAGAAGTGGAATCAGGTGCCATGAAGGAGTAAGCATCTCCTATCGACAGGTCACACCTGCCATGTGCTCCTTGTCATGATAGGGCCAGCGGAAAAATCCATTATCAATTCAATATTTATTATATCCTAACAGTAAAATACTGTAATTTCTTTATTGACTTAATGGCACATTTTGTCACAGTGAGAAAGGATGTTAAAGTGATCCTCTGCAGAATGTGACAGAATATCAGAAGTGCGGCAAAACTCGCGATTTTTCCTCCCTTCACGACGTACGAGGGGCATTTGAAAAGTTCTGAGAACTGCTTGCTAAAATATTAACCATTACACGGAAGTTAAGAAGTTTGGTACCATTGAAAAGAGCTGGAGAATTTGCACCTATATTAACGTCATTTTTTTAATATTTATGACGTAATAACTCCAAAAAATGACGTCAGAATCTCGAATGTTTAGCATACTGAAAAGTCGCGTTTTTTTGTCCACATGAGAACATCGAAAAAGTGCTGTCAAAGGCCTCTTTGAAAAGATATTTCAAAGAAAATTTGTATGGAGGTAGAGTAAGACTGTAAAAATGGTACAGTAAATCAGTAATTCCATATTTTATTTTTTTGCTTGGTAAAAAAGCACGGTAATTTTATCTTAGGTGTTCATAAAATATTTTTATTTATATGATATAGATGGATTTTCGGTCTATTATATAGCTCTCCCCTATATTAAATAAAAGATATTTTATATAAAACTGAAGTGTAACAATGCAGTTTTCCATGAATGTATCTTGAGTGTCAGGGCTCTTACCTTTACGAATAAGACGTACAAAAGTCTTCCCCCGGATTGTTTCTGTGCGTATTTTTTCATATCATTTCAACTTCGGCGATCCAAAACTCACTATTGCCTTTGACTTTCGACTCAAAAAAATAAATCTGAGTTTCTTTGCTATGTACAATCTTATTTATTTTCCATGATTTAAAATTTTCGAACATATCGAGTTACGGCTGGGTCAGAACTTCACCGGCGCCATTTTGGTTTTTACGAGAAAATATAGGACACCCCTCACTTAACCTCTCTTGAGCTTTAAACTTTCCCGCAAAATTGGTTAAAACACCTGACGAATTAATGCCAGCAAACTCTGTAACACCGTCCACTATTCTCCTGTTATTGTAAACTTTTTGATTTTCTCACAGAAGCGTCTTTTTTACCCAATATTTTGCACGAGATTCGATAATAACATGCTATGTTTGACACATTCTTAAACCATCTCAGAACTATAGGAGATACTATATATAACTTCATATGATAGACTTTAGTCTATGTAAACATTTTTCCAAGTGGCAGTTGTGTCCGTTAGCTTCCATCCGAGTGATGAACAAAAGTTGACTTTAGAATTTTACTTCACTGAAATTGTGTCTCTTGTTACGTCATTTTCATGGTCAGTATGCTAGACATTCGAGATTCTGACATCATTTTCGAAGTAATTACGTAATAAAAATTACATAGTGACATCACAATATGTGTATATTTTTGTGATCTGTCCAATGATATCAAATTCAGTAATTTACGTTAAAAGGTTAATATTTTATTAAACAGTTCTCAGAACTTTTCAAATGCCCCTCGTATTTAATGTAGAAAAAAATTCATTCTGGTCTATTATTATTTATCCTGACACAGACTTAAATTGCAAAACAATCTCCAAATAGGTTGATAAAATCCATGCAATTTTTTCATTCTCTTAATTCCTAAGCTATGATGTCTCAACCGTTCAATTGTTATAACGTCAAAGCACTGAAGCAAGGGAAAATCACTTAAAATGTATTAAGCAGAAAATTCAATATTTTGCAGTTGGATATAGAATTGATTTTACTCGTAAGACAATACTTCGCACTCGTGAAAATATTAAAAAAAAACAAAAACATTCTGGCTCCACTGGTGAAATAAATTCCACTTCAACATATGGGTATCCTCTAAGAAAATAATGGCTTAATAATTTGTATGAGAAACGTCAGACAACATTCGACTTAAATATAGATTTCTATTTGCTGACATGTGTGATTCGCAGGATAATAAATAAGAACGGATTGTCAATATTTTTCTTGACTTATATTTAATGTGCTCTAGTGCAATGCGGAAGTAAAGTTTTCATGTGTATACAAGTTATCATTGTCATTTAAGAGATAATACTGATGAAATACGTGCATAATAGTAGACAAAGAGTGATATTTTTGTGGCTTCCAGTTTTCGAAAAGATTTCATATTTATTACAAGTTGACAAAAGGCAACAGTAAAATATTATAAGTAACTTACTTAAGGTATTTAACCCATAACTCTGTTTATTAGAGACACATTATACTAAAATTCCTTTGGACTATAATTAATGTTCCTTTCATGTTAGGAATAGCAATATTTTACTTACCTACGAAGACGAACAAGGGAAAGCTCACAACTATTAATTTAGGCATTTTTTGTTGAAATTTCCGTGTTCCAGATAAGTAATTGTGTACATACTTATATCGACAAAAGATATGAAGGGATAAGGAACTTATCATCGTAAATATTTATAGTTCAGCTTATATTTTGTATCTTTAAAAAAGTAAATATTCATAGTTTATGCTATAAATTATATGTAAAGAGAATAAATATTCATAGCTGATGCTACGAATTGCATGTTATGGTAATAAATATTCACATTTTAAGTTATTTGTTTAAAAAAGACCTGGGCGTTGTCAAATAATGACTACTATTGGTTTATTTGCCGTACATTCATGAAATATATGGAGATAACGAACAGATTCAAGCTCAAAAGTCCATTAAACATTACAAAATAGGAGCAGAGCAAACACGGACCTCTAAGACATCAGAGGTGGAATCAGGTGTCATGGAGGAGTGAGCATTTCCTGCCGACCGGTCACACCCGCCGTGTGCTCCTTGTCATGATCAGGAAATAACGGAAAAATCCGTCAACAATTCAGTGTGTAAATAATGGCCTAACAATTAGTTTGAAAAACGTCAGTCAGCATTTGACTCAATGATAAATTGTATTTGCTGACGAGGTCATTGTATCGACCATAGAACGAAATGATGACTTTAAACGAGACTGCTGATATTCTTGTTTCATCAACTTGTTTGTTAATAATTTACCTCATTTTAGAAATTGTACATACGTAGAGCATGCTCTTGCGTATCGAATCAACTGAGAGATATAAACTCCGTATGCAGGTGTTGAAGGTATATTGCTGCATAAGTAAGGGAAGTTGACGATTGAAAAGTTAAAGTCATCACGTTTATCATAAAGCTTGGTTGTTAGATTACCATTAACGTCTTTTTCAAGTAAAATATCCAAATATGAAACAAATGTGTCAGACTCTGTAGTATCTTTTATCTCAAGCTCACCGGGATATATCGTATCGACATAAGAATGGAAATAACCATTGTTAATTGACAATACGTCGTCGATATATCTAAATGTCGAGTTGAATGCCACAGCAAGTGTTTTCTTCTTTTCACGTATAAGATTTTGGACAGGAAATCATAAGACGATTGTAAAACAGGAAGGGTCGTCATATTCCGTATATGGTACTCAGAGGTCTCTGGTGAGATTTAAACTCTATAAGTTTTTTAATTATAAAAGTAGAAAAGATATATAACCACTTTTTTTTAATATTACAGCTCTATGTTTCCTGATGTTTACTAAAATTGTATCCCAAAACTATTCATGTATGTCTTATCCTGATATTAAGAAAATTGACAAAGTAAATAGAAAGATCAATTTATTATCACAAAATAAAACTAAAATATTATATATATATATATATATATATATATATATATATATATATATATATATATATATATATATATATATATATATATATATATATATATATATCATAATATATTCATATTACAAAACATTATGAAGTATGTTTGTGAATCAGAATATCACATTGTTATCTATGTTTGCATACAAAATATGTTAAAGAACAAGAATTATCCTTCTCTTTTTTAAGCGTTGGGTGGGATGGGATGGAGTGGGGTGCGGGATGGGAGTGGGAGTTAGGTATTGGGGAAATATTCATAAAAATTAAAATTCTACAGAAAGTTCATGTTAAAATATGCTAATTAGAACTTTAGAACTTATTAAAAATAACTGAAAATTAATATAAAATCAAATTTCACAACCGATTTTTCCTTTACATTTTTTTAAATTTAATTCAGCAAAAAGTGAACAATTGTATACATGTACAAAAATTAAATTCTACACAATTCATATAAAGCACGTAAATGTTATGATTGTTTTCAACGAAATTTGATTTGTCTTTTTTACGCAAAAAGCTATAAATATATTTCTCCTTCTTCCTTTTCTCCTGTGTTTGTGTTCCCGTGTTCCCCTGGCGCAGGTGCCCTTCACAATAATCGGCACTGCATCAATTTATTACGTGGAATAAAAATAATGATTATTCTCAAATATTAAACATTGAAGATTTTTGATCAAGTTGTGTATTAATTTATAAATCAATAACTCGACTTCGGTAATGTATTAAACTGACAAAATATATTTTTTTAATTCTTTAGTTGTTATTTCCTGGAATATTTATATAAATTTTATTTAAAATTATTTTTAATCGATGTTAAAGAATTACAAATTCGTTTTTTTAATACCTAGTTTACATACAAACCTTTCCCTCACTTCTTTACTTCCTAAAATTGAAAATGAACAATCAAAATGTCATTATGTAAGAGTATTCAAATAACTAAGCTCCGTTTGAATAAAATTGTGAAATAGATTCAACATACTGAAAATAATAACATAATTTTGTTTTATTTCAAGAACTTTAATATTTCTTGATTATAAATTTATGAATGGATTCAAGAGTTACCCACCAGAAAGTTGTAATGTCAATTTTTATGAAGTAAATTTTTTAATATCTAATATGATAAAGATTAAAGTACTAGGGAAAAAATGGGGTTGATGCGTGTATTTTTTCCTAGCGAAAGTCAATTAAAAGTGACATTTTTGGCACTTAAAAGTAAGACTGAAATGATGATTTAAACTACTGTTTGAAAATTTCTCTTTCTGTAAATAAATACTACAAGACAGTATTAATCATGAGTAAGAGTTTTGGCAATAAGAAATTCATATATTATATAAAAAAAAAATGAAACGTGACCCTTTGGCACTTCAAAATAAGAAAAATTGACGTGGTTAAAGAATATTGCTAAATTTCAGTAAAGGAGTATTGTCATTTTAAAAAAAATTTGCACGAATTGATAAAATTATGATTTAAAAAAATGGTTGTTTGATTGAACTTCGAGTATGATTACTATTCGTTATAATTATATTTCATCGACATATGTAGCCAAAAAAGTTCTACATCTAAATACTCTAGGATATGCTCATATATTAGGACTTACTATCAAATAAATCCTAGACTTTGTTTTATAGAATTCTTATAAAGTTGTGTGGTAATTTATGTTTCCATATCTCTACATCGAGAAAATAATAAAAATTGAATGAATGTATCTATCTAAATAGTCATTTCTACTCAAATGTGGTCGGTGATATGTTAAATACGTTCCTTTCTTCGTAGGTAAACATAGTTAAATTGCAAACTTTTACTTGCAACAGATGGGATTAAACAATCAAATATTCAAATTAAATAATTAAAATATATTCATGTAATTATATGCCTACAAGCAGATATACATTTGAATTAAAACTTTTATTTAATTTACTTACCTGTACAAATATTATCGGTTCCTTGATAGAAATGTTCTTCTATTTTTTGTACAGTATTCATCTCGTAGGTATCTCTTTAGTTTAAACAATAACGAAAGTTAAAACATTAATTAGATATACGACCAAAAACAAAAAGTAGATAATATATGAAGGAAAGAAAGGCAGTGATTTCTTTCGTTTCGTTTCAAATAGGAAAATGAATTATGTTTTACAGCAAATATCACTACTAAGAAAATACATTGACGTATTCAACCAGATTTATTTGTTGAAATACTCTAACATTTACTGCTGAGTGCCAGAAAATATATCACTGTACAATGCATAAGAATACAGCAAAGCTTTACACGCGTTTATTTAGTATAGTGAAACTTTACGTTTGCTTATTTTACTGCTGTGAACATTACCAACACATAATTTTCTTTGAATGGTACTCACAGATTATTTAACAAAATTTTAAACTTTAAGAGACATTCTCTGTAACGACTTGAACTTTTATATAGAAGCTGTGGCACGCATAGTCTCAGAATTTCTCCAAACTCTTTATGATAAAAGTCTTTGATACCGTAAACTCAAATCAGGCAGAAATTGGTTGCTACGTGACATGGTTACCATAGCAACATGTCCTAAAGTTTGAAAAATGGCATTTTTCAACATGTTCAGAGTCCCACAGTTAACGTTTGCAGCAAAGCAAACAAGTGGTAATGATTGTTTCTGAAAGTTGAAGGCCTGATGTCTTAAATGCATGATAAACATGTTTGGTAAATCAACTATTACATACGTTACTATGGAAACAAAGTATTCAAAAGTAATAATTTTGCTCATTTAATTTTATAACATCATACACTTAAGAATAAAAAAAATATATATAGGTTGAAATACAAGCAAATAATAGACAAAAGATCTTTGTAACATATACCATGGAAGAAATATGATATTTCTTATAGGTTGGCAATGGTTGCCATGGTTTTAATACCAAGAAGGGATTTTAAATTTACTTAGTGATTAAATCTAATCCTATCTTTTTAAAAAGCATATTTCTATATAACTTATGATCAATTTTTAAAGAAGTTCATGTGACCCTAATTCTCGCATTTCAAAAAATGCAAATTCAATTCTTTAAATATAGCGTTGCTATGGAAATAAGCCAAAAAAATATGCATAAAAATCTGAAAAATATTCTGTTTCCTTGGATACGTACCCTTGTATGTAGATTCCCAAAACTTTTATGATTGGTAATTATGAACAACTAACCTGACTTTCAATTTTGACTGCCACCCAATCCCTAAGTGGATGCAAAAAAATGGCACATAGGGTTTAATATTGATATAAAATTAACAAAATCGAACATTTTCCCTTCTTGGTTACCATAGCAACAGTGTTGTATTTTTCAACAAACGTTATCAATATATGATATTCAACTTTAGTTTTACCAGATAAGTACTATTCAAGGTGAGTCAAATAATATGTTTCTTGAATAAAAGGTAAGTAAATTCCTAAGGCAGCAAAAAAAATATCACTTTAAACAACTGGTACATTGTTTCCATGGTTACACTGCAAAGTAACAATTAATCCCAATTTTTCTTATGTTGTCGGTGTTGCAAGGTCCAAAGGATATATATGTGCCAGTCATGAAATTTATTGTTTTTCCTGAAGATAGTAGCATTAACCCAATCTTAGCAACACATTTTGGATGGTAACACTGTGTTACCATGGCAACCATGAAAGTTAATTTTAGAATGATATTGCCAATACCTAATTACTTAAGGTCAAATATTTTTATTGTTTTTTCTTAGGTTGTTGATTGAGTTTGATCATTTAACACCTATCATTAGTGAATATTGAGCGTTTTTCTGCATTTTTCAGCATCTAAAATGTATTCCAAATGTACCCATGGTTACCACTTACTTAGAGATAAATTCTAAATAGTTTCTTTATAGCATAAGTGGCAACAAGGTGTCAGGTTTTGGGGAGAATGGTTTGTTTGCTATTCTTATTCTTTATCAAGGCTTAATAAAGATTCAAAGTAGCTGAAAATCTCAATTTTTTCAACTTTTCTGGCTGTTACCATGGCAACCAAGACACATAGCAACGAAATTTTATTTGATATATGTTTCTTGTGTCAAGTTGTAATAATAGGCAAAGTTTCATCAAAATCGGTGACCATGCGTGGCAAAGAAGTTTAAGTGGTTACAGAGAATCGCTATTAAATCTTTTCTTCAGTGTGTCCAAATTTCATTATCCTTGCTATTGTGAAAAGTTTAACAAACATTATTATTCTTTTTACATACCGGAATGTTTGTTCTTTTTGTTCATCTAAAATTGAAAATAATGTTTCATAAGGTATTAAAATCTAAATACTCTTTTATAATTTTTATCAAGCATAATTATTACACATACTAGGTAATAAAATTATATTCAAAGAATCTAGGCCAAGGCCCTTTTTATCATAAAATATATGAAAAAAAACTAGGCAAAGACATTTTACCAGGTAATTTTCGTCTCATTAAAATAACAATAAGGATGATCACAATAACAATGGCTAAGGCAAGAAATGCTCCCAGTGTGCCTCCTAGAATTTCTTCAGATTTCGTAGAAAAACCTGATCCTGTAAATACCAAATTAAAAAAAAATAAGATGTATAAAATACTAGAACATTACTAACAAGCAACATTGTAAAGTATCTTACTTGTCATGCAGAAAAGTTTTCTAGAGTATGTTGATCCATGCTTGTTTGTCGTCAGAATTCTAAATTCATATGCTGTACTTGGTTCTAGATTCTCAGCTCTGGAAGCAAACAATCCTGGATTAGTTGTATCCTGGGATCCCTGTGAACAGTTTGCGAATGAAGATTTAGGCGCATACTGTAGAAGGGAGCTCTGGTTGATAGGAGATGCAGAAGTAAACGTCCACACAATGTCAGCATAGATGTCTCCACAGACAACCATCAATTGTGTCGGCTCTAATGGTGGCACTGTGTGTGTGGAAATAAATGTCTATGGAATTTTCATTTTCAGGTCATCGATTTTTTATAAATAAAAGAAATATGTTATTTTATAATGACTTACCAGGGGTTTTGCTTTTAATGTTAATTCAACTAGAATAAATAATTTATTCGTTATTTACTTACATTGTACTGCTATTGAAGCAGAAATTGATGCATTTCCGACTCTGTTTGAGGCTGAACAGGTATAATTTCCTTCATCTGATTTATCTATCCATTCAAAAACAATAAACGAAGTTGCACTAATCACTGATGAATTTCTGTCTTTTCTCCAGGTATATGATAGTGTCAATTCAGGGTCCTCTACATAACATCTCATGATAACCGTTTGTCCAACAATAGCTGTAATCAATTTTTCTGGACTGATGTGTAAATCAGGTACATCTATATAGGAAGAAAAAATCAACAACACTGCTCTACTGTTCAAATCTTTATACAGTGTATTTAATATGATTCAAAACAGATACACTCTATTGTGATATATTTTATAGCTAACTTTGATGGTAGATTCAGGAGTAACAGAGTTTATATTAAAGTAGGTCCCTACTTAAATGACGAAAAATGACGACCCAGTGATAGGTTATGAAACATGACCCAGTGATAGGTTATATTTGCTAATAAGGTCATTATAATGACCATAGAATTCAAGAAACACTTACTTTAAATGAGTTTGTTGAAATCCCTGTAACATTAACTTATGTGTGAGTAGCCTGCCTCGGTTTAAAAACTGTTGATACCCAGAGCATGCTCTTCAGTAGCGAATAAGTTGCGAGACATAGACACCATATGCAGGAGATATCGGAATAATACTACATGAATAAGGAAAGTTGAAAATGGAAAAAGCTGAGTCATCTCGTTTAACATACAATTTAGTTGTTGGTTGGCCCTTATCGTCTATAATCAGTAAAACATAAAATATGAAGTTGATGGGACAGACTCTTCTTCTTTGTCTTTTCTTTCAAGTTCACTAGGATAAATCGAGTCGACATATAAATGGAAATAACTATTGTTAAATGTCGTCGATATATATCTGAATGTCGAGTTGAAGGCCACGACAAGTGTTTTCCTCTTCTCATGTAGAAATTTTTTAATAAATTCTGCTTCAAAGGAATGTAAAACAGGTCGGCTAATAAAGGAGCAAAATTAATGCCCATCTGGATTTCAACAGTTTATTGGAAGAATCGGTCTCCGAAGACTACATAAACGTTTTCAATGAGAAACTCCAGCATCTTTTTATTATCAACTTCAGAGTATTTGTATGTAGAATCAGAGTGATTTTAACGAAGTAATTTTGTTGATGACCAATCCCAAGATGTGAAAATTTCCGAGTTCCGTTTTTATTGAAGAAGCAGTTGTCAATGACATAAAAAAGCCCCGTTTTTAATTAAACGTGAGGAATGTTTGTATACAGTGTTGAAAAGTCGTACATTTAATGTTATGGACTTTTGAAAAATACTGTCATTTCAAATTTTCTAAAAATTCTTTGGAGTTTTTGAGAATCCACTTCTGATTAACACCACTTCTAGAGTATGCTGTAGCACAGTGCGTTTAAAGTCTCTCCTTAACAGCAGTCGATATTTGGGCAAGAAGTAAAGACATAGGCTTGGTAGAGCATTTGCTGGAAATTATTTTAGCAGATTTTCTACCAAAAATCATCCGTTATTATAATTCTGTCATTTCCAATTGTTCATACACTTGAATGTTTTACTGCATTTTTATAATAGTTTGAAACACATGGCATTAAATCAGTGATAGTTTTGTATTTTCTGTAAAGTTGATTGATTAATGTAAGGATGATCAGAAAGTGCAATATTTATAAATTAAAACTTAAGCGACATTCCAAGCAAGTGCTAAAGTTTGCCGAAATTTACTCTTTTGTTGAAAAATCTGTGTTACAATATGATACATAATGTGCTCAAATAATATATCACTATAATATCACTGGATCCTTGTGTTTAGATTAGCCAATTATTGTTTTAAATTCAGAAAGTATGATGAAAGAAGGAAGTATATATTTTCCTGTACAATTGTGGTTGTTTTTAATTACATAAGATATAATTCTAATGATTCAAATGCAAAAAAAAAAAACTTTAACCAAAAATATTTTGAGTAGGGACCTACCTAAAGTTTTACTCTTTCAATGGAAAGAAACTTCCAAAAGTTAATTTTCCCTTATTATCTTCATTTTTGCTAAAGACATTGCTTTTGATAAACATGTAAAATAAACAAGAAAGCATAAGAATTTTTATTACTCCTGGGGTATCTCGATCTGAATATAATCATGTTGAAATTTACCTACATTGTACCTTTATTCTGAAGGATTGGCTATGTTTCCCTTTGTATCCTGACGGGTAGATGTTTTCTACTGTACACGTGTATATATCTGAAGCTTTCCTTTGTATACCAGGTAACGTAAGTATTGTCCCATTCTGTCTAAAATTGTCAGACTGTGATCTGGTCCAGTATACGGCGGTCTGAATAGGATTCCCATGTATAAATTTACACACCGCCGTTAGATCCGTGCCTTCTACAGGAAACATGTCTTTTATGGGCTCACTGTAAGGTGGATCTGAAAATTTGTGTATTTTAAAAATAATCATCATTTAGGTCTATCATTCAATTATTGAAATAGTTGTCCCTTATCCTTATATGATTTTATATGTCTGTTCTGAATAAGATTGAGATAGTTACATAATACTTGAATGTTAACTGTCTGACTGTGTCGTCCTTTTGCTCCAGATGGGTAGGTATTCTCTGCAGTGCAGCTATAGTTATCAGCACTTTCGTGGTGTATGTTTGTCAGTGTCAGTGTTGTTCCGTTTACCCGGAAGCTGTCACGTGACCTTGTCCAGAAAAGGACTGTATTTGGAGGGTTGCCAAGTGTAGTGTGACAATCCACTTCCACATTGGATCCCTCTTCTACGGGTGATAAGTTAACCATGGGTAAAACATGAGGTGGATCTAAATGTTAAACATAAGGTGGATCTAAATGTAAAACATAAGGCGGATCTTAATTTAAAAACTAAGGTGGTTCTAGAGGCATCAATTATGTTTATAAAGAAAGTATTTTGAAATATGAAAGCTACAAAAATAAATTAAACTTACATAAGACGTTAACGTCAACCGATTGCTGGTCGCTTCCTTTCTTTCCAGATGAGTAAATATTTTCCGCCGTACATGTAAAAATATCAGACATCCCCCTTTGTATGTTTGTAATTCTAAGAACTTTTCCCGCCTGTTTGAAGTTGGCGTCACGTGACCTTGTCCAGTAAATAATGGTATCTGGTGGTCTCCCGGGTGTGTATTCACACGGAACAATTAAATCCGTATTCTCAACTGGAGTGACATCACGGAGGTAGAAGATATTAGGCGGAGCTAAAGGTAGATGAAATAATATTAATTTAAACAATAAAAAATATTCTTTGTATCAATTTTACAAGGAAAGAAATAATTATATTGTTTAATTTAATACTTATGACAGTGTAAGATTTGACACACAGCAAAAATCTTGCTTGATACTTGATAACGGTTTGCTTTTTCAAATAAGAATAATAAAAACTACTTTTCCCAGTTTAATGCATATTTAAGATTTATTATAACTTTATATTTTACCAGCAATAGAGAGTGTCACGTTTTCCCTGTAATCAGAAACACCAACTCTAAGAGAGAATAGTCCAGCATCTTCCTCTTGTATGTCAGTAATACATATAGACATTAGTCCATTGGATCCATTACAATTAAATGTCCTATTTGGCCTCTCATTTGGAATTACATAAACATTGCCAGACACGCGATAACACAATGCTGTTTCATTTCTTACAATATATTGTACAGAAATTTCTGCGATTGTTGAAAAGTTAAGGCAAATGTCATCTCCTATTTCTACGTACACGGTGGTGCTCAAACATCCTGCAAAACAAAAAATAAATTGAATTTTTAAAAACATTTTTCAAGATATATAACCAAGTACTGTCTCTCAGTTCACTTCTATTTTCATACCTTCTGATTTGTTTAAAGGAGATGGGCAAACAAAGTGTGCAAAATGCCTATCGCTTAAAATTTATAAAAGTCATGTTCATTTTGTAAATTTAGTATTTAGAGTAAAGTTCTTATATTTGAAAGGTATGAAATTATAACAGACAAAACTTCTCTGCGGAAAATTCTTTCGGCAAAAATCATTCTTTGCTTTTTAAAAAAAAATGTGGTTTTATTCGGACTCGAACCCAAGCAATAAAAACCTGAGTACCCATTACCTTTAGAGACTAACAGGCTAACCACTAAGATGCACAGCTCATAACAAATAGTGGCATTTAAATCATGTTTGTAATACTACCCTTGACTAAACGAACTTTAAATACTTTTCGGAAAGTAACGAATGTTACCTCATAAAAGTGTATTCTTAAGGTATAATGGGTCTTTGTGAGGAGCATAGAGCATTCTGAAATAATTTCAAAGAAATTTCTACTTTCAGTTACCATGCATGTCAATACCGTTTGTCGAAATCAAAAATTGATATCCAGAATTATGTATTAGGTATTTTTTAATATATTTAATTTTAATAACCATAGCAACATCTTTTGTCAAAATCAAAAACCTAGTAGTTTTATTGAAATCAGCCCAAAACTGTTGGAGGAGTATCGTTTTGAAAAATTGTTTACGGACAGACAGACGACGGCCATCTTAATATCGCATAAGCTATTTTCGTCTCCGACCAGTTGAGGTTAAAATGGAGCATAGACCCATCAAATGGAAAAAAAAATGTGTTATTGTGCGAAGAAATTGTCTTTTTTTTTCTCCTTGAGTGTGTATGTTTCATGGACAAATAACTTTTTGTGAGATTGTTGCAAATGGTGGAGATTGACATTAAGTTAGTTTGGTTAAATGAAATATCATGGAAAATTTTGCCATAATTGAGATATAATTTTTTAAGTTTCTTCTTTGTCGCACAATAGGCATTTTGCTAGCCTTGTTCGCCCAACTTCTTTATATTTGATTACGTGTGAAACCAGTGTCCCATTTTTTCCTCAAGGTTAAATTATGCATAATAGGGCAAGAACGATTTAACGTAAACATTAAGTAAATGTTAATACAGAGACCATTACAATATACAGAGATCTAAACAAACTAGTATTTTTCTTATTTATTCCTGTTTCCAGATATAGTATCTTAAAATATATAAACGGAATAATATGAATTTAACATCATACCTCCTGATCTATGTCATACTGGAATATTCATAAGAATTGAATGGCTTCCTCTTATTCTTATCGGATAACTGAAGGATGAGTTGAATTACGATTTTAAGTCACTTGCCTATCATAATTATGGTTGATATTACTGATAGTAATAAGTTTACCTACCTACGCAGATAATCGAGAAAAAAATTACGGCTATCGACTTCAGCATTTTATCGCTGAAAGAATTTAAAAACCTCACTTTTCCAGACAGACTGAAGAGTTCATCGGAGAGTGAACTTCGTAAATATTTTAAAAATACATATATTACATATTATAGAAGAATAAATATTTATGAAATAGAGAATGTTTATTTTGAGTTTATTTTACCATATATTCATATAAATATTATACAATAAATAATAATATAATTTTCACCTTGTCACACTGCTCACTAGTGGTAAACTAGGACGATATTCGTCGATTTCTGGACTTAACAAATCCACAGAATAATGTATCCTGATATAGTTTTAACTCTTAGTAAGTATTACTGAAATAAAACCAAGTGTCATTTTGAAAGATTTTTTTCACAGATATTACCCATGGCAACACATTATCGAAGTTTGAAACCATAATATGAATCTTTTATACCAAAGTATATCAAAAATAGCTGAGTTTTGAAAAATATGGAAACATTATGCAAGGTCTACTTTGATAGCAACAATATAGATTTGATTGAAACAGGAAAGTATTGACTAAATCTATGATCATTTATGCGAAATAATTTATAACAAGATGGAAACCATAACCTCCAAAGTTAAACCTAAAAGCAACATTAAACGTTTTAAAAACAGCAAACCATACTGAGCGGACCAATTAACAGATCTATGGAACGCCACGCGGGAGACGGAAAATAATTTCATACGATATAATGCGCCTTAGACTGGAATATATATCAAAGCATGAGATACATTTGAAAAATCCCTTAGTCATGCTGACTGCACCTACACGAAATCAATTACTAACGATAATGAAGATATGAGCTCAACAAACCCAAAGATTCTGGAACAAAATTCAAAATATTTGCAAAATCTCTGGCGCACACCATATCAACCCGAAAATCCAATATCAGCCTGAGGGCCGAAGGCCAGAGGCGTAAAATTGGACGAGGGTTTATGTGGGGTGTGATACAGATTTTGACATGCATATGTTTAAAAATATTATTTTTACTGTGTAATTCAATAAATTTGATTGGTTTGCTTGCTATCACGTACAAAATTATATTTTACTATATTGACTTGAGTTGCTAAAAAAATAATTTAGGGAAAATCCAAAGATGTGTTTATAATGGTGAAAAAAAACTTTCAAACCTACCAATTCCTACATAATGAATCTGTTTGTCTCTTTCTTTTCAAAAGAAAATAATATAACAAATGTAGCCCTTTGATTCGATCAATCCATAGGTATATCTACAACCCATGGATCGACCTCATAAAAGGGCTATATTTGTATAACATAGTGACTACACTTCAAAATATATGCACTTTTGATAATTAAACATGTATTCGTCTCTTTTTGTTGAGTTTCTGTTTCTCACCAATTCATTGTTAATGTTCCATAAGAAGAAGAAAACAATAACTTTACAATTTTAGAAGATATTTGATAAAATAAGTCCAATGTTGTTCTGAAGCTGTGTTCATATCAGGGGTGCAAACATCCTGTATTATATAACAAATATATAATAAAATGCTTTTGTTACATAACATTGATGGTAAAATTTATAACTCGATAAAGAAGTTCAAAATCGTGTGTTCGAGTTAATGGTAAACTCACAAATCGGTTTAGTTGCAAAACTGTGTTAAACAGGGAGATAATTTATCCCCTACCTTATTTTCAATTTTCATTCATGATCTGATGCAGGATATTAACAATATTAATCTAGGACTAGAACTAGCTAACCCTAAGCTGTCGACCTTATTATATGCGAATGACATTGCATTAATAGCCAAGTTTCCAGAAGATCTACAAAGTATGTTAAACAAACTACACACATGTAGATGATGCAGACGTTGGAGAGTTCTTATAAACACCAACAAATCCAAATGTATACAATTTTGTAAAAATTGGATTCAGAACAACCAATTCTGAATTCACTATTGGATTAAATGAATTATAAACAGTTGATAATTGTAAGTATTTGGGTACAACGTTTACATATACTGGTGATTTCATCAAAAATGCAGAAAGTCGTGCTAAAGCAGGGTTAATGCTTATGAAAAACTATTTGCCCCTTGTGTGAACCTCTTTTGGACTATGCATCCAGTGTCTGTGGTTTCAAAAATTCCAATCAATAGATAATATTCAAAACGGGGCTATTCGGTATTTTATTGGAGTACATCGCTTTGCACCTACATTGGTTGTTTATGGAGGCACTGGATAGATACCTAGTCGATGTAGATGTTGGATAAACATAATCAGATATTAGGGTTTTAACTTTTGTCAATGATCGAATTACAAGAAATGATTTGAAGTTGATTACAAGAGGTGTAGGAACAATGGGTGCACCAAAACTGTATGAGGAGTATGAACCAAACCTGTAGGAGGAGTATACCATTTTAAAAATTTATTACAGACTGAGGGTCAGCACGGACCCTTACCATCCCAGGGGCCCTTTTGTTCTCTGACCAGGAGAAAGATGCGTATAAATCATTCATCTCAATTCATCCAAAATAAGACGATTTTATGTTTAAATGAAAACATCCTCAATTTGAAGTGATAATGAGCTAGGCTACCTACTTCATCAAGAGATAAGCTTGAATAATTATCTAAAGAGCCATAGAGCATTTGGTACACATTTTTGATTTCTTATAACATTCTTCTTACTAAAATTTGGTACACATCTTGGTTTATATAAACTTTAAATAACAAAATAATGATATTTAAATGTCAACAGTTCCCTTATATGATTGAAATGAATATCACTAAGTTTGTATGGAGTATACAAATTTAGGCCTAACAATACAAGCTATTGTCAGAGACCACTCTTAACCAGAAAAACAACATTTAAATTGTTTTATTTAAATATGACTGCACTTTATAACATTTTAAAATGATTTTGGATAAGTTCAATTTTATTCTGAAATGTCTATTTTACTTGATATAGAGAAATAGTATATTGAAGATGGTATTATCACAGATCAAAAGTGTTTAAATTTATTGATGTACTTTTTTTTTTTTTAAAAAAAGTGAAAGAATGTTAGTATGGAGGTAAGCTACTTTTCTACGACTGATTTAATTAATCATGTACTATTGACTGTAAGCTTGTATCTTTTGTCAAATTCAGATGTGTATATATAAATTGATAATATGAATTTGAAAAAAATGATAAACACGTTGGTTATTCTTAGCTCACCTGAGCCGAAGGCTCAAGTGACTTTTCTGATCAAAGAGTTTCCGGCGTCCGTCTGTAAACTTCTCACATTTTCGACTTCTTCTTCTCAAGAAGCACCTGACCAATTTCAATCAAACTTGCCACAAAGCATCCTTGAGTGAAGGGATTTAAGTTTGTTCACAGGAAGTGCTGCGCCCTCTTTCAAGGGGAGATAATTAAGAATTCGTGAAAATTTGGTGGCATCTTTTAAAGATCTTCTTCTTAAGAACCATTGGACAAGAAAGGATGAACTTATGTGAAAGCTTCATTACATACTCTAGATTCAAGTTTGTTCATATTATAACCCCCATGGGTAAGGTGGGGCCACAAGACGGGGTCGAAGTTTTACATAGGAATATATATAGGAAATGTCTTTAAAAATCTTCTTCTCGAGAACAGTAAAGCATGATTAGTGTTATTATAACAGAAGTATCCTCAAGTTTGTTCCAATCATGACCCCTGGAGGTAGGACAGGGCCACAACAGGGGGTCAAAGTTTACCATAGGAATATATAGGAAATATCTTTAAAAATCTTCTTCTCAAGAACAGCTAAGCCATTATTAGTCTTATTAGTACAGAAGTATCCTCAAGTAGTGTAGATTCAAGTTTGTTCAAATCATGACCCCCGGAGGGTAGGGGCGGGGGGCTAAAATAGGAGGTTAAAAGTTTTAATTAGGAATATATAGGGGCGTTTAAATGGACTAGTCAAACCACAGGGTATATAAGGCAAAGCCTTTGGGAAAGTCAGACATTCAGAAGTTAGCTGAAGAAGTTGGATGTTGAATCAGCAATAAAGAGTTTAAATTCCATCCCTAATAGCAACAGATTCATTGAAATTGAATACATAACAGATGTGTATGGGTTGAATACTCCGTATATTTAGACATAATTCCCATTTGTTAAGGGGAACGTGACCTAATTTATGACCTTGAATTTTGGTAAGAGTTATCTCCCTCTGTTTTGAAAAAAATCAATTTTTAAAAAACTTATATGGTAAAAAAAAAATCGTTTTCAATTGTCATTCTATTTCTAATGTTTAAATACATCTTTCCACCACAGTAAATATTGATATTCTTATAATTTGAATTTTTATTTTTAAAAAATTGCTTGTCCCCATAGACTTCAATGCAATCTGTGTTAATTAATTACTGCTTAGTTAATTATATTTTTGAAACTTTGTCTTGGTAAATCCTTTTCTACTGTTAAATGCTTTAAATTAACATCGGAGTATTATGTGCGTGATGGACTTTTAAGGATAGAGAATTTGGTCTTTGGGATTTGGAAGATGGAAATCCTTATCGCAAATCTTTCTTGAAAGTATTCACTATGACCAAAATAGTGATGCGTTGAGTGACTACCCTAATGAATATGACTGAAATACAATTGAATCTGATTGAATAACAATTGCAAAATCCTATAAAGAATCTGATTGGGGCAGTTTTTGTAAGTCTGCCCACATCCTCAAATGTATTGCCGAAATTACGGATTTTTTTGAAAACGGGTAAAAAAGTTGTGCTTCCTGAGTTAAGTATCGACTTTTGGTGAACAAATGCAATACTTTGCTATAGGATCGTGAGTGTTGGTAAACTGTAAAATGTTCTTGCAAATGAAATCGGTGTCAAGCGTTGACCTGATACCCCGGGACATAATTCTGCGGTTGAAAAACACGTCCGTTTTAATTTCCCCTCAATTTTCTTCCAGTGCATCAATAAATTTAAATTAAAAGTACTTGTAGGAAATACGTAGGAAATATCATTGAAATCTTCTGAAGAAGCCATTATTAGTCATATTTATACAGAAACAACCTTAGGCATTGTAAAATCAAGTTTGTTCAAAATATGACCCCAGGAATTGAAGGGGGCACAACAGAGGGTCACCGTTTTGCAAAAGATTATATAGGAGTCATCTTGAAAAAATCTTCTGCTCAAGAACAGCAAAGACATGATTAGTCAAATTATTATAGAAGCATCATCAAGTAGTGTAGATTCAAATTTGTTTAAATTTAAGGTGGGTATGGTGGGGCCACAATGAGAGATCAGAGTTTTACATAGGAAAACATAGAGAAGCAAATCTTAAAAATTCTTCTGTTTAAGAACAACAAAGCCATTAATAGTAATATTGATATGGAAGCATCATGAGGTAGTGTAAATTAAAGTCCCTCCCTCCTGTTCAATACTGAACTTATTTCTGCTTCTCCCCAGCCAATGTGCTCCTAAAGGTGAGCGATGTGGCCCATATGGGTATCTTGTTTAGAATAAAAGGTGGTCTTCAAATCGAAAATAAAAAAATACATGTATACAGTCAATCAATTTTCCTTCATATGTTTGCCTTAAGATTTAGCAACATGTATTTTTTCCCCTTAAATGTTAGTGTTCCTGGCAGTATTGAAAACTGCGGGCCTTTAAATTTTGTGAATTCGAAACCCGCATTTTCCTTTCATGCCGTTTTTTTCCCTTTGTGTCTCTTTTCTACGTATAACTTTTAATGTTTTATTATAAGCGCCATTTCAAGCAGTTTTCATTTACATGAGACTATTTATTGAAATGTATATCTCTCTCCTATTTTTACTGAGTACTTTTATTTTTTAATCTGAAATAAGAGTAATGAGCATATAAAGTGGTTGCTGTATTATAAGTTTGACTGTACCTGTAAAGATAGTACACTATTAAAAAAAGGTTTTGTATTGATATATTACAAAATATAGACTAAGTGCACATTTATTAATGATTGAGAAGGGAAGATTTACTCATATTCCTAGGGAGAATAGATTATGTTTTTGTTGCCAAATGGAGGTTGAAGATGAGTACCATTTTATATTAAAATGCTCACTTTATCATGAGTACAGGAAATTGTATATTAAAAAGTATTATTGGTATAGACCTAGTATGTATAAACTTTTACAATTATTATCAACTGAAAATGTGAGTGAACTAAGTAATATAGGGAAATATAGGGAAATTCCTCCAAAAAGCAGAAGCACTTAGAGATTTACATCTGTAAACTAAGGATTTTTTTTAATGTTTGGTTGGAAATATTGTATACAAACAATCGTATGTTAAAACAAGTATATGTAGATATTTTATGTATGTATACATCTTCCGTGCTATACGTCCTGTATTTGTAATGTTGTAATCTGATAAGGAATAAATAAACAAACAGAAGAGCATGATAGGTATCTATTAATAGAAACAGGTGATTTCCTAAATTAATGTTGGCAAAGCATCTCTATATATGGCTCCTTACACCTAATAATTTTATAAATAGTTACTCTAGAAGATTCTTCTATGTTTTCCCAAGGTTTTTTTTATAATTAATATCACTATGTCATCATTGGTGTACTATTGATAACTTTCCAAGCAGCTATTTATAGACAAAATCCCCAGTCTATATATAAAGTAATTGATGATATAAAAGTGTAACCTGCGGTCTACGGGTGTAATATATAATTTGTATTTTTTGGACAAGAAGGACTAAATACAATTAAGGTAAGACTCATGAAGTCATTGTTTCCTTGAAGTATATATCCGACAGGCGCGTAGCCAGAATGGAAATGATGTGTACGCAGAGAACGGCAGGGGGTGGGATGGGGGGTTTTGAGGCCCCCCTAGTGTGTCAAGGGCTCTGGTCAGGCACGTAGTATAGTTTCTGCCAGCCAGGAAAAAATTACAACTTTAAAAACTTTGACAAGCAAGGAAGAAAAAAGTCTAAATTTGAAGTCATATTTCTTGTGTTTGTTTGTTGGGGGAACCAAATAACCATGATTTAACAATGCTACAACAAACAGTGGGGGTCCACCCTTTCAATGTACATTTTCAATAGTAAAAGGTTAGGTTTGGAAATAAGTTGGGGTGGAGCCCCCCCCCCCCCCCGATACTTCGTGCCTGCTGATGAGGGCCTAGAATTAAGCTCCTGAGTTTTACCAAATATTTCATTCATTTTCTTGCAAAATAAAAATTATGCCATTTAGCTTTTGTTTAGGAAATAAAAGACATAGTAAAATAAAAGACATAGTAATATTTATTGTTTTAACAAAGTTAAAACTTCCATGGAAACTTATTGTACATGTAGTTGAGGCTAAAAATATAACCGATATATTGGTATCATATGTATTTTTTAACGTTTAAAAACACGTATGCTAAATTTTAATTATGAACAAAAAATGTCGTATTGTAAATCATACTAGTAGATTATAGTATTCAACGATGTGGTTGAAATTTAATTTCTCAAAGATCTTTAAAAAAAATGTCAATGTATGATAGAACAATGACAAAATAATGAATGATTTATTTGGATTTGGCAGTGATTAAATAAAGAACTTCAAATTTTATCATACAGCCATGATAATTCAAAATTTAAATCGAAACAGTATGACACAGAATAATTTGAAACACGAATATATGTTGGTGGTACTGAGATTTTTTTCTCCGAATAATTCTCTTTTCTTTTCTTTCTTTTCATTTTTTCTTTCTTTCTTTTTTTTTATTTTTGAAAATGATGTGTACGCACTTGCGTATTTGCGTATAGGCAGCTACGCGCCTGTCCGAATGAATATTAGTTATAAATTATAACTTATGATTGAATATTAAATTCTTTGGGAAAATCAATTTCTCATAAATTATGCATTAAAGCAGGGAAATATTTTATTCGCCTTCAAAAGAGGCGTAAAGGAGAATTTAAAATGGAAGAAGTTTTACTTCTCAAGGTGGTAAAGAAACCTCTCATTTCAAAACGCTACAAAATTTTAATTAAGACTCAATTTAAAAACACGCCTTTACGATCTGAAACAACGCACGATAAACATGTATAAGCAAAAAATCAAATCAAATGTGAAAAAAAAAATTCAGAGTAAACAAAACAATTTTTTTGATCTCTTTAAACTGTCAAAACTTTCTATCAGTTGTTGAAGACTTACATCTAGTCCGAAATATCTGACATTTTCAAGGTTTTTTTTCTCGATTTGATATTTCCAGGAAAACGTCAGAACGAGCGCCATTATTTTCCTGGCATGTAAAATATCAAATCGTGAAAAAAGCCTGGAAAAGGTCAGATATTTCGGACTAACTTACATCATGACGGTTTCGTCAATTTAAATAGTCATTTTCTTTCCTTCTCTTGCAGATTTGTCACAATGGGATACGATACGGATTTTTTAAGCATTGTTAATATGAATGCCTCCGGACGGAAAGGCCACAAGTTTATGGATTTCCGAAAGTTCGGACTTCATAGTATTGTAGAGAACGAAAAACCAAACCTGCTCTTCCTGCCGGGTGACGATCCAGATCCGGATACACTAATCAAAATGAACTACGAAACTCTGACGCTGGAGCAAGCAGAGCAAGAAACGGTGTTACTGTACGACGTTAACCGACTACGGCTCAGATCCAAAACCGAACTTCCGGAGATTCAAATACCAGGATTGGAGTATGGGAAGTATGTCGCTCCGATGATGCAAATTCTTCCTCCGCAACCAAGAAGTCAAGAGTCCGTGGTTAAGGAGTTTGTATGCGTGTCCTGGCACTACAGTATTACACGTTTAAATGGTTCGCAAAACCTATTTGAGATCGGTCGTCGCCTTATGATATATGCGGAGTTTATGGCCTGGGCTTCCGGAAGTGAAGTTCTGATTGGCGGAGACTTTAATCTTGAAGTAGAACAGATAGACACACTGATAAAAGAGCACAATCAGAGGATAGAGCAACATGTAGATGATCTAAAGCCATTCTTTGAGAGTGAGTACGGTTTGATGCCTTGTATGACAGAAACGACACAGCGACCCATGAGAAGACAGCGTCAACTTAAACTTCACAAATGTGTAAAGTCAAAGGCTGAAAATTTCTTTATCGCCTCCAAAGAAATGCAGCTTTGTCATACAAGAAATGTGCAGCTGGACAGACTCGCTTATAGTGCCACCGCTCTGAAAGTCGCCACTAAATTACCGGAAGTCGACCCAAACCCGACTCGAACTCGGCAAGAGTACCAGCGTGAGCGTCCAAAACCTAGCACAACAGACCGGGTTCGATATTCAGAATATTGTCCAGCTCCATCAAGAACCGAAATGTATATCCCACAACGCCCACCCAAACACCATGGGGGATGACTCAGGCTCAGTAGTTTATAGATCTGCCCGACTTAAAATATGATGTGACAAGACGCAGTCCTAAATTAACAATCAACACTAAGCAGGCAGATGAGACAATATTTTATCAAACTTTCCATTTTCGTTAATAGAAAAACTTGGAAATGTCTCAAGCTCAGATAAATGCTAATACGCATTTTTCTCCTAATGCATGTTGTATAAATTGTGTGAAGATTGTAAATAAAGATAGCAAGATTGTATTTTGTTTTTGTATATATCCGGCGTTAAAATACTTATATGAGTTTTGTATTCATGTCAGTCCATGCTTCTATTTACCTATATTAGTAAATGAACCTATAATAAAACCCAGAATCGATTGGTTTTCCTTAGTAAATGTACAGTGCCCACTGTCCAATCCGACAACTGTGCAATCCGGCACACTGGACTTTCCGACGTAATATTTTATTCCCAAAAATTTCTTTATAATTTATATAGAATAAAACACTGTATATTCCGACCACTGCACATTCCGAATTCCGGCGATTTTTTGTCAACAGAAGTAGATAATTACTTTATGATTTACCCTGAGTAATCCGACATAATTACACTGGTGTACCGTAATTAGCCGCTGGCCAGGTACATGTAACATGAATGTCACGTTTGGTCACAAGATTGGTCTACTTAGAGAGTAGTTAATTACATGTACGAGTTCAAAAGTGTTTATGTAAGCAATTATAAATGAACAGTTTTTGAATTAAAAATTAGGCAATTATTTCTCTTTGATGTTATATATACGTACGTCCCTGTTGTTATCAATTTTATTCTCGCATTGAAAAAAAATAGCATCCACGCGACAGAAAATAAAAAGAGTACATGGTGTTTAGATCGCCTTTACGTTACAGAATAAATAAGATTTTTAGCTTGAAATTAAAATCAAATATGCAGTCAGGGTCCTTCGTAAAGCCATGTTATGAAAAAAAAATGAGTTCGGCGTACTACTGTTTAACATGTATACAATACACAATTTTAAAGGCAGCATCTTGTCTTATAGAAAACGTTTCATTTCCGGGTTAATATACAGTGAATCAAGCGAGGCTGTGTACATAAAAGATTCGCCGAAATCAAAAAATATCGCTTTCAGTTGCCCTTTAATTTTAAAATATTACGTCTGTTTGATTAAAATTCAATCGCACAGTTTTAGAGTTACGTCCCGTTTGTATGAAAAGTCGCGTGACGGTATTAATAGCACAGTCTATGTTGAGAAATAAACAATGGCGAAAATCTGTAGAAAAAAACAATACCACTGTGTAGAGAAGGTAGACGAAATATTTACTTTTATATCGACTGTCAGTAAGTAAAAATTAAATTGCAACATCTCGAAATCTCGAAGCGATCGGCAGTTCCATGTTTTGTCCATTAAAAAAAAGAAAAACATCGTATATTACTGCAGAGTTTACTAATGCTATATCACAAACGCTGTTTCTCAAAGAAATGCTAATCAGATATATTTTAACAGCGAAGAAACACACAATTATGCAAACACTTTGACAATTAAATACAAGTGTACTCTTAACCTAATGAAAAATGATTTTTTTTTATTTTGTATGAAGTCGTCTGACACTAATGATAATGCTCAGAAATATTCAACACTGGGTAATCCGACACACTGCCTAATCCGACATTGTTTTTATTTCCCGCAGCATGTCGGATAAGACAGGTTTCACCGTATTCTGACCATTTCTCACTGCTTGTCCCCCTTGAATTGTAGATGCTATGAGGTCTGTGGCGAAATCTTTGATGTTCAAAATAGGTTTATTAGAATGTAGGTCAATTTCGAGCCCAAAAATCCCAATCTAAGTATTTCAATCAGAGAAAGGATAACTTACTAACTTTGTGGAGAGAGAGGATAACTTACTAGGATAACTTACTAGCTTCATGGCTCTCAATCAATCAGAGAGAGGATAGCTTCATGGCTCTCAATCAATCAGAGAGAGGATAGCTTCATGGCTCTCAATCAATCAGAGAGAGGATAACTTACTAGCTTCATGGCTCTCAATCAATCAGAGAGAGAATAACTTACTAGGATAATTTACTAGCTTCATGGCTCTCAATCAATCAGAGAGAGGATAGCTTCATGGCTCTCAATCAATCAGAGAGAGGATAACTTACTAGCTTCATGACTCTCAGTCAATCAGAGAGAGGATAACTTACTAGCTTCATGGCTCTCAATCAATCAGAGAGAGGATAGCTTCATGGCTCTCAATCAGAGAGAAGATAACTTACTAGCTTCATGACTCTCAGTCAGTCAGAGAGAGGATAACTTACTAGCTTCATGGCTCTCAATCAATCAGAGAGAGGATAACTTACTAGCTTCATGACTCAATCAATCAGAGAGAGGATAACTTACTAGCTTCATGGCTCTCAATCAATCAGAGAGAGGATAACTTACTAGCTTCATGACTCTCAATCAATCAGAGGGAGGATAACTTACTAGCTTCATGGCTCTCAATCAATCAGAGAGAGGATAACTTACTAGCTTCATGGCTCTCAATCAATCAGAGAGAGGATAACTTACTAGCTTCATGACTCTCAATCAATCAGAGAGAGGATAACTTAATAGCTTCATGACTCTCAATCAATCAGAGAGAGGATAACTTACTAGCTTCATGGCTCTCAATCATCTCTGATTGCTGATCGTATTTATGCAATATTCGATTACCATCTAGAAGTTTATAAGTTCCTTATTGTTTTTATAAAGTTCAGCGTTGATTATGAATTTTCAAACACATTTTCTCATGCCGATAGAAATGTACAAAGAAAAAAGTTTTTTAAAAAAATAGACGAAAAAAGGAAGATGTTAGACTTTAATTACACCACAAATATCCAAATTATATCAGTAAACAAAATTCTAATCAAGTGACAAAGACATAAAATCTTGAATAGATATTAACAAAGAACGAATATGAATTCCATAGTGAAGTAATAGCGTGGAAATATTACAGCGCTGACACTAACTGTACGAACAGAACAGCGAGCGGTTGATGTATAATGATACACAACCTCGGAACAAAGGCAACAGATACGAGCGATCGGGACAATACTACCATATATGTATATATTCCTTTCTCTACATATAAGCTATCTATATACATAAATTTATATTTATAATGTCAATAAATATTTATTAACATGTGGTAAAAAGTATAAATAAACCTATGATATAAATAATAAATAGGTGAAATGAATTCTCTGTTTAAAAAGCAGCAAAATTGAGAGAAGCTGCTTTACTGATAAATGCTTCTATGATTTAAATTCTCTGAAAGTTTTCTCTACTCTGGAGAAAACATGCATGTCCATGCTAATCATGCTTCAACTTCCAGACAATAAAATGAAAAATAACAAGCTTCATAATACATTGTATATATAAACAAAAATGGTATAATATACATGTATACTAACAACATCTCTATACTAACAGTGTATGATATAATAAATAATTATTTAGTAATGTACTTCAATTATTCCATTGGAAAATCTTTAACAACACTGAAGGATATGACATACAACCTAATAATTGTACATAATTTATCACAGAATTCTCTTTGGCAACCATTAAAATAGTAAACATCTCTCTTGTACATATACAAACAGATAATGTACAATATTATAAGAGCTTGTCTTGTGTACAAGCTACAAACATCTATAAAGTATAATTAATGCTTACTGTTCATCATAAGAACGGTATCCATCATTGCAATTCACAGGCTTTATAGTGTAAAAACAGTGATTAATAAAATCTATACCTGTAACACAAAACATACCTTTTTCGTACATGTGTTCGTTTGTGTCTTTAAACATGTTTGTGATACATTCAAATATTGTAACACATAATACTTTCGGTAAGTGTGCTGATAAAGTTTGTGTCTTTTTATATATTTGTAATACAAATGTTACGATATGGAAAATGAACACCAACAGACATAGTTTACGCTTTCTGGGGTACGGATTCCATGTTTTGTCTGATGGAGGCGACATTCTGTTTTTCCTGGTCGTGTCTTTGTTTGAGTTTCTGTAGATCTATGACGTCAACAGTCTGGGTGGGGGACGGAGGGCCGCTTCTTTTGGCGGCGGGGGAAAGCTGGGCTGCCACTTCGTACGAATTGTACTGATTTGGCCTTGGTTTGACATTAGGTTTAGGTATACCTTTAGAGTACTCAATTGCCTGTAATGGTAATATTTGTCAATTAAGACCCATTTTTTTCTGCCATCGTAAAAAATTCAAATTAAAGAATTTTTGTTTTTATTTCTAGTCTCTAAAAAATCAACAAAAACATGCAGTAATTAAGAAAAAAACTGAATTATTATGTGTTAAGTGATAACAAGGATTCATTTTAATGAAATGTTAGACGAGAAATTATTCCCGTTACCCTGGTAACACCATGCAGAAAGGTGGGACAAATCATTGCAAGAACCACCCATATAGAGGTTGGATAATCCTTTACGATGAAAAAATATATCATTCCCCATAAAAATTTTCAAAAAAAAAAAAGAATCAGTATCAAAACAATTCTCCAACTACATGCAGGAACTGAGTAACAATTCATGCAGTAGGTTAGTAGTTCTCGTCATTAACATCCGGGGAACTCATTAGTCTCCTTATTAAGACTTACTGCCTGTCTTTTACTAGTTCTCTCCACAAAATGTTTGGGCCTCGGGTCTACATCCTCGGGTGATGTTTGTTCTGTGTACCTCGGGGTACTTACTGTTTTCCTTTTATTAGGTTTCTCCTCCTCCTTTCGAGGGTGAGATGGGGGTTTCTTTATGTCCAGCTCCTGACGATTTTTCTCCATCACCATCCTAGCATACTCAAACTGTTTGTGCCTCTTCTCCATCTAAACAACAACAGAAACTCTGTAATAGTGGTCAACTTGCAGCATTTATATACAGTGTGAAATAGTTTGCTTCATTAAGCAGTGTCTGCAGTTTGATGGCGTTTAGTCATTAGTCACTATATCATGAAATAAAATAACATTAATTTGTATGGGCTTTCTATGTCTGTAGATACTGTACATAAAAGTCAATATGTATTCAATCTCTATCAATTTCTAAAATTAAAAAAAAAACTGTTTTTTGAAAGTCAAACTTAAAAAGGAAAAATCCTTTAACTATCATTGCTTCAGGACTGCTTCTTTAACAATTAAATCTACTTCTGCTCTCCACTGATGTGACATTGTTACTCTTAACTGCTGGCCTTGATGATACTGTAAGCGTTAACTGATGACCTAGAGAATATTGCAACAGTTAGCTAAAGACTTTGGCAATATTATAACCTTTAACTGATTACCTTGACGATATTGTAACCGTTAACTGATGACCTTGATAATATTGTAACCTTTAACTGATGACATTGACGATATTGTAACCTTTATGACCTTGACGATATTGTAACCGTTAAATGCTTACCTTGACGATATTGTAACTCTTAAATGTCAACATTACCGATATTGTTACCTTTAACTGATGACCTTGATGATATCCTAACCTTTAACTGATGACCTTGATGATACCCTAACCTTTAACTGATGACCTTGATGATATCCTAACCTTTAACTGATGACCTTGATGATATCGGATATCCTAACCTTTAACTGATGACCTTGATGATATCGGATATCCTAACCTTTAACTGATGACTTTGACGATATTGTAAGCTTTAACTACTGACCTTTTCTTTGTATGTCTCGTTGTCCAGATCGGGACCCAGTGGCGCTCGACTCAGCCGGACTTCGTTCTGCATTTTCCTGTAGTCCTTAATCGTGTAGACTTGGTACCACGGCTTCTCCTCCGCCGGTTTGTTTTTATGTTGCTTGTACATAGATGCGTAACCGTTCTGTTCAAACTCAGCTGTAAAAGATTTCAGATTCGCAAGTATTATTACTTCCGTAGTATTTTTTTCATTTTCTACAGATACAAAGTCTCTGAAAATAAGTTCGAAAGCACCCAACTAGCATTCAGAAAATTGACTCCAAACGTCCATAAGTACAAATGAATTCATAATTATTATTATGATAAAATAGTGAAGCATTCCTGGTAATTTGCACTTATTCACATAGTCCCCATGAAGAGCTATACAAGGGTATAGAGGTATCATAAAGCATTCATGTTAAAGTTTTCGTGAGGATATAAAGCGTTCCAAATTATCAGCAAAGGTCGTAAAGCATCTTAGAGAACAAACGCCAAGGAAATACATAATTATCACCGCCCCCCTAAGAATTAACGTGAACAATGAGAAGCGTGCTGAGTATTAGCTCTCAAAATAGAAAGCGTCCCTACTAATTAGTTGGCTGTGATGAAATGAAAAATATCCGTGAGCATGAACAACTAAAGAAATGCATGTCAGATCAATTTGTGAGGTTTTGGTTTTAAGAAAAATAAACAATGTTTTTGAACTATAAGAAACAAAGTTCCCTGGTCTAAAATCTCTCATCAAATGTTTGATAATCGATACATATTGATTCATATCATTTTTAAATTCTATGTAAACAGATATGCTTTGATATTTTCTCCGCGAGATGCTATGCCTACTGTGATATGTTTTGTCTCCTCTCATCTCGGTTGAGTTGATCAATACTTCTTATCAATTTATTTTTTATTTAACGCATGTATACACGGTCGCGTATGATTTGTTCCTTTTATCACGAAGTATTTTTATCATTGATCAAGAGATTCCGGACCTCGACGGTCACTGGTCATATATGGGTATCGTGGTCATTTTCACATCCTCTAAAACAAGCGTGGTATCACCTTACAAATTATGCACAGCTAGACATCTTCACTGTAGTGATGTGCCCTTCCAGAGGCAAAATTATAACATTTCTTAAAAATTCAAATTAAATTGATTTTGAGAATTGACCACAGTGCAAAGCAGTCGTGTCTCCAGATTCAATTTGTCTTTTAAAGTACAAAATTCAGAAGAAAAAGAAAACGAAAAGAAATCTAATCCCTTTGACCCCACCATCCTAAAAACAATGCCAGCCAAGAAACTCCTCAGATCTATTTTTTATATAAAGAGCAAATATGGACTTCCCATCCCAAAGCGTTTACAATTTACAAAGAAACCACCCCCTGTGATCCCAAAAGCAGAGCTGCCCACATGATAAAAGGAAAAAAATCGAAAGGATTTTCATGGTCTTGTTTACTTTAAAATGATTTAGATCCCAAGTTAGCCTTAGAAACGGACAATAACAAAACAAGCAAGAAAAGTGAAGGTGGACATAAAAATTCTGATATGGACATCGGAAAAAAAAGAGAAATTGTAAGGTGTATTTTAAATGCTCAAACCGCAAGCCTTACCCCAAAATCGTGAGGGTAAGCAGCTCTGCAAAAGGAAACTAAGCATAACTCTTTATTAGAAAACCTTTGATGCAAATATGAACATCCTAAGCCAAATTTTTAATCTTTCGAAACAGAAATCAATACATATATATTCTATTTCCAAAATCTGGATAAACAACTTAGTAGTCTGTTACCCTTAAACAAATCCCAGCTGAGCTCTTCACTAGACAAAGTGCTAACAATATTTTGGCATAGTAGGTCAAATTGTGCAAAAAACGTTCTGTGATAGTATCAAGAAGAATATCCCTGCCCTCTCTACATTAATAATTAAGGTAGTAAGTTTTTAAGCGCTACACTATAGGTGTCATGAAGAAGATTAAAAATTGCATTTTGATGGTTAAAAACCCTATCCCTCACAACCCCTGAAGGGCATGAATCATGAATTTCGTAAATTTTAATTTCTATTATCTTACACTTTTACCAAAGAAGTGCTTCAGTGATCGAAGTGTTCAAAAGATTAAGCACTTCGTACACTACACAACAAAGGAAGGAACGAATTGCAATCAGGTTAGCTGAGTGACTTAGTTCATCTAAAAGATGCTAAATTAAAACACTATAAAAGATTCAGGCTAAAGAACTACGTTATCAGCTGTTCTTGTCATAATTTTTATCTCATAAAAAAACTTCAACTGAAAAATAAACAATATTCAGTTCATCATTACCGTGATTTAAAATAAAAAAGAATTATGTTACCAGGGACTTATAATATATACGTCCCTGATATATCAAAAAAAGAGAAGAAAAATCTTTACACGAAATTTTCAAGTCACTTGAACTTTTTAAAAAAGTGATATTAAAATATTTTCAAATTTAAATTAGTGAAGCCGTGAATTAGTAAAAGTCAGACCAGAGGCGTACACACTCTGCTGACCTCGGCTACCTAGTTGTCGGTCCAGTTCCTCCTCTGTAATGCTGATCGGGGGAATCTTGGGATAGGGCGACATCCGGTACGTATCCTCATACTGCTGGGGTTGTTCCCCGCCCCCAGGGGCTACGTTCTCCTGGTCATAGCGCGTGTCCTGTACGGGAAAAATAAACATAATGTTACCCTTACAGAAAACATAAACATAAATATTACAACATAAATAAACCCTGCAAAATGATCTGGGGATAAATCGCCAAGCCCAGAAAACATGCTAGTTTATCTTTTTACAATAAAAAGGAAAATACATATGCTAGTATAATATGCCATAATCTTTACTCTTAAACTTATTATTGCGGTTGTTTAATTTTTTTTTTAAGTGTTCAAATATTTATTAATAGTTTCACTAGACCTGTATTTATTTTCTCACGGATCGTTAAGGACGCCTTTTAATTGTTGCTTTCGGAAACATGTAACTCTATCTATGTACATTGAATTCTAGATCTGTTAAAATATTTCACACTTTTGTTTTTAGTTAATACAAGCAGCTTGAGTTACTTTTAAACAATCAAATATACAAAATAAATGTCGACAAAAACTATTTCGTTATAGGGACATTTTCCTTTAAAGAAATTTTAGACAAGATACCTCATATTTCAATAATTTTTAATCGATTAAAAATATCAACGGATTAGAAACAAATGAAATCGTGATCATTGTAATCATTTCTACATGTATATTACTCACTCATTAAAGAGAGAATTTTAATGTGAGATAGACGAATGTTCCTGCATATCATTTACAAATTCAAAGGTTAAAATCAACATTTATCTATAAAACCAGACATTGGAAGACGTTAGCTATATGTTACCTACAACATAACGCCCACCTCTCCCTCAGGCAAAGCTTACTTTAATATTCTAATGGCAGTACACCTCATTCTTATTCTTCTTTTTTTTCAAGTTTTAATTAACAGACTTTAATCAGAATCATCCAAAAAGATGTCAATGGTTTAATTTATTCATAAAAAAATGAGACCAAAAGTCAAGGCCAAGGTGAACTTCCATTGTGGTATATGAAATATTTTATTCCTTATGAAGGGAAATGATTAAAACATCAAGTGCCTGTGTATCAGAGGTTAACCTTTTAAGCTTCAATGTCAAAAGCTAAGACCATTGCCTATGTGAAATTAAAAAAAAATCGGCACTCTATAAAAATTACCTATGCGCAGTTTTTGAACAGAAATATCCTCAGAGAGAGATACATTTATGCTTTGGATTATAATTGCAAATATCAGATGTTAAGGTCAACTCGGATCGTGTATCTGAAACAAACTCTCCCTCATCTAGTTTGATTGAGATAAACTTTCATCAAAGAGACAAATGGTTTTTACTGTGTCAAGGTCAAAGTCAAGAATGGGTATTTAAAACATCTAATCTTTATTGCATTTATTTAGAAGATAATGACGAGAACAAATCTTCTCAACAGAGATTGTTTTCTTTCAATTATTTCTGCCAAAATCAAAAGCTAAGGCCAAGGAAGATAGTAAAGTTATAATATCTCCTTCTGCTTTGTCTTTGTGAATATATATGACGAATGTCAACCAAACCAGAGCTAAATAAAGTTATGACATCGATAGAAAGATAATAAAATACTGATTTCACCTCAAAATCTAATTTATTTTTGATATTCGTTGATTAAAAAAAACTTTATTTTTAAAATTCACGATTAAGCCTTAAGAAATAATATAGATTAAAATGTACCTCTCGGGGTATTTGTTTGTTTGCTATCTATTTACAGAACGGTATTAATGCGAGGAAAGTCTACAGAAAATATATCCCCATCTCTCCCTATATATATTATGAGCTAAAACCAAAGAGAAAGAAAAACATCTAAAACTGAAAGAAAACTTAAATTGTTGAACCTAAAAGAAGTACTTTCCGATCGTTCATTCTAAGCCCTGGGTATGGTGAAATAAAGACTGTTCATAATTAACTTCTGGTTATTACTTCATCTTTCACCAGGTCCGTAGAAAGCCGGGGGGGGGGGTACAAAAAAAGTAAGAAGAATGCCCCCTCCCAACCAACCCACCCCAATCCCCACATACACACAAACATTTTTTTTTTGCTTATCAATTTTTTGGACCCCCCCCCCCTCCTTTAAAAACGTTGCTAAGGGCCTGCTCCAATATCTGTCTTCCAACATCGTCTAACATATTCAAGGACTGACATTCAACGCTATAAAGAGGGAAGCATGTATACTGAAAACATAGCTACCTCCAAATCATGGGACAATTTGAGAAAAAAATCGATAATGCTTTCAAAACTTAGGGGAAAAGCACACAAAAGTATTTACGTCAGCTTTGCACTTGAGTCTGTAAAAAACTGATCATTCGAAAGATTGAAAGTCTGGGCCTAAATCCTTGAATTCAGTGCAAATGAATTATGTCCACTAACCTTTGGGAAAGTTTCAATACATAGCTTTCAAAATAATTAATATGAGGTGTGATTCTACATTGAATTCATAAAATACAATGCATGAAAAAAACTTAAAAGGTGGAGGTAATCGCGAAATGATAGATTAAATAATCTTTTCCTCATAATAAATTCCAATTGAATATTTATTGACTTCTTGTATATATTATCCCTAATAAAAATACTTCTCTATTTTTCATACAGCTTAAATACAAGCGTTCTTGGCAGGGAGACAAAACTCCGTTTACAAATGATCTTATGGGGGGGCTGTTGATATAAATCGGTTTATTCTTACAATGCTAGCTCATTTGTAAGGAACGTACATGTATGTGACAAATTAATCTGCAACAAGTGGGTTTGATCTAAGACTGGTCGCTCTAAATAGAAATACAAACGAAGGATTGGTAAAACTTTACCACTGACGACGTACTACTATCGTAGAAGAAAAGAGAACTGTGAAACGAAGCCTGGAAAGTCCTAAGATCGAAATGTTTACTCTTACTGAAAACAATTAAGAAATTGCAACAAAATTTCTCAAAAGAAAATCGCCATTGAACTAAAACGTATAACAATTTTAATGAAAGAGTAACAAAATCTCAAAGATTTATCGATTATTATCCGGGTCCAATTATCAGCCGGTGTCATCAAGTCTGAAAAGAAGGCTTTCTTTCAGATTTATCCTGTAATTTCTGTTACAGTAAGAAATGGAGAATCGATAATTAACAGAATATCAATCGACTGAGTGAAATGGTCGGCCAGCTACCCCATTCTCGGCAGATCTATAGGATCTTTAATGCCCACTGAGATGTGTATTCAGTGAGGGCTGTTTACTCTCCAGTCATACGGTGCCATATAAAGACTATCAAATATTTGTAGACTGGGTTCGTTGTTAACGTTAAATCTATGGTACATCCATAGTGATTCGGTTATATCTGTCTCAAGTGTCAATCTCGGCAATAGCCGTGGTTCCCTGATTAATCAAATGAAAATGTGTACTAAAACTGTTTGTTTGATCTACAGAAATAAATTATCAAGACAATGTAACTGATTTCTCTGCGAGGGCAGCGTGAAGTCTAAAGAAGACCAGTTAGATTGTCTTTACACTAAAGCACTAAACTCTCCAAATATGTCAAACACTGTTTATTCGATACAGATTTATTTCTATTTTTAAAAAAACACTAACTAAGACAGCCCAATTAATCAGAGTTTACAATAGATTGAAACCTAAAGAATGACACAAGGTCTCTACTGTTTAATTGAATCAGAATTCAAGACCCTTACCAACAAAGCCACTTAAACGTTATACGAAGTAATGGTTAACGATTACAGAACAAACTATTTCAGTCAAAACACTCGTAAAAATCATTGAAATTTCAGCTGGAATCAATTGTTAAAAAGATTTCTCTGGTTCAAGCAACCATTTCACAATGTGGCAGTGAAGTAAAACACTCGTACATTCTTTTTACCTGTACACAGTGGCTATACTGATACATTTTGTAAAGCTTTTAATACAAATTTCAAACTGGCATAAGACACTGTGAAAAACGTGGGTTTTTTACGATGTGCAAATTACCTCCAAGAATTTTAAATTTAATCTTCCTAAACTATGAAAAGTTTCAAAGAAAGAGAGTGGAAATAGATATACATTGTATAAACCTTTTTTCTATGAAGTATTGATGATCTATAGTTCAGAAGACTGACATCTAAGCTACAGTATGTACATGTTTGTTGAATAATGGCCAAGATAAGACATATTTCTTATGCTTGAATGTTGATTTGACAAAGGAGATGGGCGAACATAGCGTGTAGAAAGCCTATAGCTTCAAATGTACAAAAATTATGTTCAGTATGTGAATTTAGTATTTAGAGTAAAGTTCTCATTATTGAAATTTATGAAATTATGATAATCAAAACTTTTCTGAGGAAAATTTTCTCGAGCAAAATTTATTCTTTTATTAAAAAAATTAATGTGGTATTCGTGGGGTGGTTCGAACCCTAGCAATAAAAATCCTGAGTACCATTTTTCTTTCGAGACTAGCACGCTAACCACTAGACTACACAAGTCCTGATGAAGTGTGGCATTTAAATCATGTTTGTGATATGACCCTTGACTTAATCATGGACTTCAAGTATTTCTCGAAAAGATGCGAATGTTATGTCATAAAAGTATATTTTTAAGGTATAGTGGGTCATTGCTCCATATTTTTGGTAACCAAAAAATGTATATTTTTATGCAAACTTTGAGGATTAACTTTCAAAAAGGTGGAGCGAAGACCAATAGGAGAAAATGACTCTTTTTGCCCGCTTTATTGTGTGTCTAATATTTCACAGGCAAATAATTTCAATCTTTGAGGGATTTTTGCAAATTGTAGAGATTTTACATAAAGTATATTTTAATGTTAGACGAAATATCAAGGAAAATTTTGATATAACTGAAATTGAATTTTTCATCTTCATGTTTGTCACACTATAGGCTTATCGCTCGTCATGTTCACCCATCTCCTCTTATACTTCATCTTGTTGAATTGTTAAATCTTCAAAAATGATCACAATTTTAAAACAGGACCTGCCATCTTGTATATATACAGTAAAGGCATTACAAAGCAGACCTTTCACATGCAGTTAATATACACGTCACTAAACATGCTGCATTATACACCGGATACATGCTTCTGTAATACTTACATCCGGGTAGTAATTATTATGACGTGGGTAAGCATCATAATACTGAAACTGAAATACTCTCCAATATTAACACAGAAGAAAGGCCAGGGTTTACAATAAGATCATCTCACCTACATGTATTTAATAATGAAACTTGCATGTAAATATCGGCGCTCCCATCTAAATTAGTCGATAAAACAGAGTTGATAAAAATAACGAATCTGAACTACCGCCATTTTGGTCTATAGATTTTATCTTGACCGAAAGTGACTAAAGTGTGCTTCTTTGAAACTCTGATATATATTTTCATAAACAATTTACATTCTTAGTTGGTAAATTATTTCGTCGATAAATAAGTTTAACATCTGACTATATGTACTTCCGGTTGATACAAGATAGACCAAATTGGCGGGAGATGTAACTGCCTGTTAACTTGGGTGTACGATATTTTTTTTAATTTACTGGTTACATGGAGATCGCATAGGACCTGGCATGATTCTGTATATAAATTGAATACACGCTGGTTATATAAATAATAAATAAGTTAACAAAATAATCATTGCTTATTTATTATTTAATAGTTCCCTACTTTTTAAATGATTAAATTTGCACTTTCTACAAGTAATTTCCTCTTAATGGTTTAGGTCATTAAAAAATCAATATTCTTCATTGCATTTCTTTTTTGAATGTTTTCAATTTGTGTGCGTCTTCAGAATGTAACATAAATTTATAATACATACAATTATGAAATGTATGGCTAGTTATGCAAATGTCAGAAAAACTGTAATTCACCCCCCTCCCCCCCACCCCCCAAAAAAATATTGGTTGCATAAAATTTAAAATGAAGATGAAGGAGAACTGTTCCTACCTGATTGTAGTTCTGATGAGAGTCTTGTTCCGGTTGGGGGTAGTTATCCTCCAACTGATACTGCATCCCCGTCGGTCGTCTGCTGTGTTCCTTAGGATGAACTTCCGCATGAACCACTGAGGGTGCGCCAGTCCCGCTTCCGGGAGGCGGACTAAGCACCTTTAAATTAATGTCCACACTAATCCTCTGTCCATCTTCGGTCACTATTTCTTGAGTAATAGGCTTCAAGTCGAGAGGACGAGATCTTAACGTTGGAGATTGGTGATCACTTAGATGTTCGGGGAAGTTGAGCGAATCAGAATGTGGTGCATGGTACTGGGGTTCTGTTCTGGGAATGATAGGTAGAACAGGGCGGTTTCCAATAGGTTCCAGATGCTGGTTATTAGAAGTATGGTACACGACTTGTTTCGGTTTTTGATGTGATTCTCCTATAGGTCTCGAATTTGAATGTACCTGATGGGATTCTCCAATAGGTCTTGGATTTGAATATACCTGGTGCGCTTCTCCATAGGGTCGCACAAGACGCGAGTCACTCTGATTTCTCTGAAGTCCTCGGTGTTTATTACTGTTTCCTGATGAGGTTTTACTGTCTTTCTTTTTTAGTTGAGCAGAACGCTTTGCCCAAAGTGCCTGGGCTGGATCGTCGGGATCAAGCTCCTGAATTGGAGAATGTGCCTGAAATTTACTTGGGGCGGATTTTAGACCAGGTTTAACGGGTTTCTTTTTCGATTTGGGGGGAACTCTGGGGTGAATGAATACTTTATCAAGTTTTTTACTTTCCTCCTCCCGAACATGCTTGATTTCACGATAACTTTTTTCGTGTGGTTTACCATAGTCAATTTTATTCATTTCAATAAAATCATAACGAGGAGACTTAGGATGAAGAAACTCCATTCGCGCTGTATCGTTCTCGTCCACAAAATCTGGAACCTTTGGTTCCTCGAACTGCTGGTGGTGCTGGCGGTGACTGAGTTGGTGGTGCTCCTGATGATGAGGGGGAGGACCACCTTCATTTGCGAAAGGATTGGGAGGAGGATTGTCCCAGTCTCGGAAATTGTCCTCCTCCAGCGAATCTCGAAATTGCTCGCTCTGGATTGGCAGACGCGGTATCTGAATCTCCATATCTCTTTTCGCGGTCTCAGATATCCTCTGCTTAAGTCCCTCCTGATATTCGGCTTCTCTCCTCAGGTCTTCGTCCTGAGGTTCATAGTTCATATTCTGTAGGTGTGACTGTGGATTGTACCGTTCTGATTCGGGTTGTTGGTCCTGGTTTTCGTACCTGTCCCTGTTTCCCTGTTCGTCCTTTCGGTCATAATTTCGGTCCTCGTATCGGTCGTCATCCCGACCATCGCCATATCGTTGATTATCCGGAGCCTCGTTCTGGCGTCCGTAAGAATCCCGCTGTCGATCAAGTGGATTAAAACCATTCTGGTTATTTCCTTGATCCCTTTGTTCTTCGTAGGTATTTCTCCCACGTTCCTGATTAACATTAGCGTAAGAGCCCATGTTTTCTCTGTTTGGCTCTCCATAGGACCTTTTGTCGTCATTACGGACAGATGTGTATGAACCCATATTATCTCTCCTGGGCTCAGCATAAGACTGTCTGTCATCGTTTCTGACAGATGAGTATGAGCCCATATTGTCTCTTCTTGGTTCACCGTAAGAATTCCTATCATCATTTCTCACAGAAGAGTAAGATCCCATGTTATCTCTTCTAGGTTCACCGTACGAATTAAAATCCTCATTTTTAACGGATGCGTAAGATCCCATATTTTCCCTCCTGGGTTCGCTGTAAGAATTCCTGTCATCATTACGTACGGATGTGTATGATCCCATATTTTCCCGGCGTGGATCGCCCTGAGATTGTCTGTCATCAACTCTAACAGATGTGTAGGAGCCCATGTTATCCCTCCTCTGTTCTTGGTAAGAATTTCTACTGCCCCGTCTCTGATCATTGTAAGAGTCTCGATCATCGTTTCTAATGTTGGAATAAGAACCCATGTTTTCCCGTCTTGGTTCTCCGTATGAATTTCTATCCTCGTTTCTCAGTGTACTGTATGACCCCATGTTTTCTCTCCTCGGTTCTTGATATGACCTACTGTCGTCTTGATGTCTCATGTTACTATACGATCCCATGTTTTCCCGTGGGGGGTCACCATACTGGGGGTTTCGGCTGTAAGATTGACCATTTCTTTGGTCTTCGTAAGCTGGAGCATACATTGTTGCCATTTGCTCTTCTAATTGTTTTCTAATTTTACGTTGCTTTTCAGTTTCTTCGTCTAACTTTCTCAAGGTGTCTTCTACATCATCCTGGATTTCACCAAGACGGCTTTCAACAAATCTATATTCGTCCTCTTCGTCTTTAGTGAATGTTGGTGACTCAACATACACTTTCTTTACGGTAGGTAAAGAGGCTGTTCTGACAACTCTAGCCTCTGATTTGGCACTTGCACTGGTGCCAAGTAAAGCAGAATCAACCTTCCTGTCGTCCTCGTCTAGGGGAGCTGGAGACAAAGGGATGTCAGGAGACTCACGCCTGTCGCTTTGGTTGTCTTGAGTCTCGGAAACAGGTCTGGGTGGTTCAGAACTGTCCAAAGGCTCTGGACTTTTCTGTCTCTCTTGGTCCTCTTTCTCCCAGACTGGATGAGTGGGTGAGAAGCGATAGGTATCTGAAGTAGCGTGTGGAGTAGGAACTCTATCTTTAACTCTAGGAGTGTCCCAGTCAGGCTCACTACCTGGAGCTGGGCTGTCTGCCTCAGTGTAGGGGTCGTTTGTTGGCAGAGAGTTTATTTGTTCCTTCTCCTCCTTAAATGAGACTGCACTCTTTCTTCTCTCTCCTGTTTGGTCTCTTTTTATAACCTCACCTGTCTCTTTATTTGGAGCTTCTAGTGAATCAACAAGACTTTGTTGTCTTGACCTTGGTTGTGGCCTTGGTGTAAACTGTACACTTTGCTGATGGGGTGCAGGGGTTATTCCCTGAGCAACAAGAACTGCTGGATTGGCAACAGCATATACACCAGTGCTGCTTCTGGCTGTTGCACTCTGGTCACGTGAGCCTGTGAGTCTGGTAGTGGCTGACTGACGTGGTGAACTTGACCCTTGTCCTGGAATAGGAATACTGCGAGAACTGAGGGTGCTACCTTGTTTACTTGATCTGGTCCTTGGAACTGGCTTTTCCTCCCTGTCGCCTGGATTGCTGAAATGGGATAATGAATCTATATTTGGAATTTGCTTGGATATTGGTGATGGTACATTATAAGTTTGACGACCTGTTACAGGAGCAGATTGTCCAGGTGTAGCTAAAGCATGCAAAGCAGAATCAAGCACTAAGCTATGTGGTGACTCACTACCCTCAAAATTGTCAGACCTTGCTGACTGAAAATCCACAGAAGATTCTGTCACAAGCTGTTTTTCTTGATTCTCAGAACTTTCTTTGTTAGGAACAGATTCTTCTGTTTTATGATCATATAATGGTGAGTTATTTTTGCCGCCACCATGCAAAGCAACACTTCTAGAACTTAAAACATGTGCACTGGGATTACTAGAGTGTGATTTCACTGATGATGCACTATTCTTTCTACTTTCATGCAAATTTGGATCACTAGAAACATCAGTTTGAGAAGGGAGTTGTGGTGGTTTTACAAATACTTCATGCAGATATTTGTTTCTTTCTACACCTGACTGGACCAACTCCGAATCAGTGGTTAATGGTTCACTAAATTTAGCAGTCTGGTTGGCTTCACTGTCTCTAGTGGTGTCTAAATTCAAAGGTGGAACAAGGATTTGTGAGTCTAATTTATTTTCTATGTTATCTTCTGTATGGTTTTCAGTCTCTGTATTAGTTAATGCGGGGTCTACATTTAACTGTGTAGGGGGCTCTAACTGGTCAAGTGCAGTGCTTGATTGTAAATTGCGTGGATTATTGAAATCTACCAACCTTCTCCCTGCAGAAGCCGGGGGCTGTGCAGGATTATTATCAGCAATGTGCTTTGATGATAGCCTACTGGTTGTGTGATTAATTTGACCACTACTGTCGTTTGTCTTTTCACGCAAAAGAGTGAGTAATTCAGAGTTTTCTGTCCTGATTTTCCCGTGGGAGGTCGCAGACGATGGTGGGAGCGCTGTAGACCGGGCACTCTCACTCATATTACCTGTCTGAGAACTCCATATTGGAGAAGCTCCCAAGCAGTCATTCCAAATCACAGAGATTGACACACTGTAGAACTAGTGATAATTAATCTGTAAAATAAAAAAAATCAGGAAATACTACTGATTGGCACATTAATATCAACAAAATATTCTAAAGATCAAAGAATTACACATAATTCAAATTATTCTAAATTAATATTTATACCTAATTTATAAACAAAACTGCTTGGAAACAAGACTACCGTACATACATGTATCTTTAAGATTACCATTCCGCCAATCAATTGAAAATGTCAGTATTTCATGTTATTCATAGAAAATAAAAACTCTAAATGTTAACTGGCACCAAATAATTCAGATTCTATCCCATTCATTCACAATAATAATATGTATGTATATATGAGATGTCTTATTTGAATCAACTTGAATACTGATTTTTCATGATCTATAGGTAGCACATTTAAACCTATTCATTCATCAACATTCTAAGAGTCTTTCTACAGTATGTAATATATGTACAGTATTTGAATACATATTAATAATTCATTGAAGATTAGAAGTCTTTCAAAGATACAAGAGTAGTTGAAGTATACAAGGCCCAAATGCATGCATATCTTTAAGGCAGTCCTTATATCATGTGTGCACACTGCACAATGCCACAAAAATCATGTGTAGACAATCCAATAAAGGAATATGGCAGACATCCAAACCTAGAACTGCCAGTATTGTAATCAAAAACTCTGTCTTTAATAACTAAATATTTGTCTTGTCAGAATGCACTATTAAAAATAAATTAGGTACCATACACTTTTTGTATATATTAAGTAATCAGAGATTATTATATAAAACCTTCGTATTTCATGTTTATTAAAAAAATTTCGTTGCTTAAATATGTCATTAAAAAGCGCAATGGCATAAACACATGAATGGAAACCTACCATACCATACGTTAAGGACATACGCAACGTACCTTACCTACTGATAATTTTTCAAGTTATTCTTAATTTAAGATTATAGTGCCATCAGATGTTCGTTGACAAAAAATCAGCATGCATTACCAGGGGTTTTGAAAAAATATCAATTGATGAAAATTCTTGTTAAATTCAAAGAAAAATATACAAAAATTACTGAACATATATTCTAGATGTTTTGTTTATCCAAACTTGTTTTAGAGGAAGTGTAAAACAGCATATATAGACATTAAAATGTAGCACACAGTTCCTTTAATTATTGGAACTCTTCAACTCCAGTGAAAAAGACAATAAAGTTCAAACTATGTTGCGTATGTCCTTAAAACAACTTCACTGTGTAAAAAAAAAAATCGATGTAAAAAAGCGATATGAAAATATTTATTAATATTCTGCTCACCATTACTAATATAGGTTATTATTTCCATATGATCTTCGCAGGCTTAACCTTGTGAATAGATCATCCCTAAAAGTAACTTTAGTAATAAAATGTAAAGTGTATAGTATACAGTATATAGCCGAAGTATTCTATAGTATACATTTGTTTTGCTTACATCCGTTCTATATGTACCGTTATATTGGAAAATATAGTTTATCACTTCAATAAAAACAAAACAACAAAATACATACCTGTATGCATAACCTATCCGCAAATTAAATGTATGTTTGTCGTTGACACTACTTGTTTATTCTTGCTACCACACTAAAAAAAATTCACACTGTTTACGCAGTCGCGAGGAAACAGGAGAGATAACTCTGTTAACAAGTGCTCTGGATTTTGGTATCCCGATCCCGAGGTAATTAAAGCTTTCAACTTTTTAAAATAACTATAGAATGCTTGAATAACTTTTAAAGTTGAATTTGTAAATTATTGATCTTAAGTGTCCATAAGCCCCGCCGTATGTAAAGTCTAGAAGTTTTTTTTAAATATTCTGATGTAAATTCAATCTAAGAAACTTAAATGTTCAAAATAAATTAATTTAATCTAACGTCAAAAACATCCGCTATTTTGTATTGTAAAAGAAACTGGGGGATAAGCCGAGCCATATGCCTACATAACGATCGATAAAAAATCAATAAATTCATTTTACAAAAATTTCACTTTTTGTTGAATTAATGTAATGCTTATTACCATTTGCATACAAATTTGACAAAACCTGAATACTCTAACAGCGAAAATGATTCTGATTAACACAACAAAATGGGATCACGCTCAATTTTCACAGAAACTGACATAAATTGGATGATATAACTACATTTTTTAAATAGAGTGGGTCATCGTACCATTTTTTTGAGAACGATTAATGAAAGGCAATGGAAAGATGTTGCTTTTTACACTTGCAAAAATTTGGTATGAAGACCCACTCTACATAAAAAATTAAGTTAACTTACTTAAATTTTCACCGTGGTCTTAAAAAATTCTAAGTCCAAAAACGCTTGCTAAATATAGAGAACTGTATGCTATTTAAATAGACATGTAAGTGTGACGCCGTGGTCTAGTGGTTAGCGAGGAGCTCTTTAAAGGGACGTTTTATTGAGGAAAGTGTTCGAGTCATGCTCTGATTTTTTTTTTTTTTGTTTTAATTTTGTTTAACTTTATAAAAAATGTCTATAGGAATAACATATTTTTCACTGGAAATAAAATATATACATGTAGTAGTGAAGTTTTATTTACAGTAAATTATTTAAAATGCCGGATAAAAATTATAATAGATATTTGAATACTTTTATTCCCGTTTTTATTTATTTTAAATAAAAGCGCTTCTAGATCACCATTATCATTATATACGATGTTAACATTTTTATAATATCTCCACAATAAGTGTAAACACTCAATATGCAGATTAATTAATAGAAGTCCTTACCCATGTTAGACATTTGTGACAGTAAATGAAAGTCAACTGTTTAGCTTGTTTAGAATATAAATATCATTTTGAAAACTACGGTAAACATTAAAATGCTTAAGTAAATTCGAACAATTGAGAGATTTTTTCCAATAAAATGTTCTTGCATAGCCGAAAAATGGGCATGGGCACATGGCTCGTCTTATCCCCCCAGATTCATTCTACCTCATCCGATTCATCAGGATTTCTTGGAAACATCTATTTTTAGTGCAACGCGTGGATAATTTTGTAGAAAAAATATCCTTGTAAAATTTATAAATTGATCAAATATTGAGGATTTTTATAAAGCTTTCATTTTCTACATCAAAAGACGTTGAATGGATGACACATACATGTACTTTTTAAAATTCTTTGTGAAATGCTCATAATTTGGTGATATAATCATTTAATGATGATTTGTATTAATTATTTTTTTCGTTGTTGTAGGGTAGGATTTCCCCCTTAGCTCCCCCCCCCCCCCGGAATCTGTACTCTGAAGTAAGACTTCCCCCGCAGAGGAAATCTAACACTATAATCAAATTCCCCCTCTTTCTTTCCCAAAGTAGTATTCCCCAATTTATCAATGCTAAAATCATATCGACAATATTTTGGCTAAAAGTTATATGAAAGTCAACTGATTTTTCAGTAGAAATATGACTGTTTTCGACTCAAGAATTGTTCAAAGAATTTAGTACGCAATCTTAAAGTATGTTGTTCAGATCACCGAGTCTTAACCCTCTCTCTCTCTCTTTATATTATTGATAGGCTCCACAAACCATTTGAATTTTCCAAAACCAAAAAAACAAAACAATACAAGAGGCACTGCTCTTGCCAGCACTAGCATAACTATGTCCCCTTCACCCCGTTCTGTGTTGTATTGGATTTTTAAAGCAGAGAGCAAATATACTCTCCGAAAGTTTTGCAAAATTTCAAATGTTTTAAAATTGACTCACTTTTAGTTCCATGGCAACGCCAGCTATTTTAGATATTTTTATCCCCAGAAACTTGGGAAGATACTTACACATCAATATAATGTGCATGTAGTTTGAAATACAATTGGAGAAAAAAAATATATTCAAAATAAAAGTTCCTCCTTTTTGTTTCAATTGCTACAGTTAAAAATTTGTCGAACCAATTACATTGTACAATTTTTTCAGAAACCAGTTTGACTAGATGAAAAAAAATGACTTTAATGCTTTAAAAGAAATGGTTGGGCAGTTACTGAGAGAAAAAAAAGATATAAAATTTTTCAGTTTTCATACTTCGGATTTTTCAATGGAACTGGTCGCCATAAAATGATTTTGAAGATATTGAATGCACAACAAGACTTTTTGATTACGATTATTGTCAAGTTTTATAAAGATTATCTATACTGCGATGTCACCTGTAAAATCATAGAAGGGCCGTCTGTAGCTACAGATCCCGTAATGCAAATAAAGTGCAATTTACGGCGCAAGATTTTCTGCGCACTTTGGGAATGTATTTTGCCACTTTCCGGCATTGGTCAATCAACTACCTTTTATTCCATAATTCTAGACATATTCTATAACCAATCTGTATACTTTATCCCTCTCCCAACCCTTTATGGTCGTCTTTGCAGACCAAATAAACTCGCTTGTTGTGAATTTTATGCCATCCAACAACAAATTCACAACAAGCGAAGTTTATTGGTCTGTAGAGACGGCTGAACTGACCGTCTTCAAGGCTGCTATACTCGTTGTCCGTCCTGAATAAGGCGTCCTACAGTGAGTATAGTAGTTGAAGGGCTACCACATATACTGTCCGTCCTGAATAAGGCGTCCTACAGTGAGTGTAGTAGTTGTAGGACTATCACATATACTGTCCGTCCTGAATAAGGTGTCCTACAGTGAGTGTAGTAGTTGAATGACTACCACATATACTGTCCGTCCTGAATAAGGCATCCTACAGTGAGTGTAGTAGTTGAAGGACTACCAGGTAGGGCAGGGCCACAACAGTAGGGTCAAAGTTTACCATAGGAATATATAGGAAATATCTTAAAAAATCTCTTTCTCAAGAAAAGCTAAGCCATTATTAGTACCACATGCTAGTATACTGTCCGTCCTGAATAAGGCATCCTACAGTATATGAGGTAATCCGAGGGCGACTGGTCTCTTGTGGCAACCATTTATAGTTTGCCTCTGATTATTATAGTGATTTACCATTTGATTATTGTTAACCTAGATAAGGTTAGGATATACCTGTATATTTCGGCAGTCCGCTAAAATCATACCAATTATTTCAAATCAATTAATGTTGAACACCCCAAACCCTGGAAATGACCAGGTACGATCCCAGTGTTTTATGTAAATACGTTACAAAATTTAGTGGCAGCATTGGGATTTTGATATCTGGTGGCCTACTTCAGGACTAGAGCTAGGACTTTGTATCCATTTACAGATTTGGTGTCTGCAGAGGTTGCCGTAACTGAAGAGGTTCAAGGCCTGCTTCAGGAAGCTCTAGGGGAAGGACTTTGTGTCTGTGTACGGACTTTCTGTCCGTGGACGGTATTAGCTGTCGTTACTGAAGAGGCCTCATACACATAGAGAAAACCATGGTAAGCTTCTGGTCGAAGCTTCCCTGAGTGGGGGGAAGTGTAGCGAACAGTATATAGGGAACTTGCTTATACTGCCAGTGAGCTAGCTTTTCTAGTGATGCAGTAAAGTCTCCCGTTGTTAAGCAACGGCGAGCCTGTATAACCCTTGGATGGGTGACTATATGTACATAGATTTCGATTTCTTTTATAAAATACGACAGAATCAGAACTCTTTAATGTGTCGTGTAGAGAGGGTTCTTAAAATCAGCCGATCATAAAATGTAGGTAAAATGTTTTAGTACCCCTAACCCTACCCCTTTTTTGGCATTTTGGGAGAAGGATGAAGAACTTTGCATGAGGGACAAAGATGAGAGAAGTAAGAAGATACAAAATTGAGTTATCTCTCTTTGTTCACGTTGAAATTGAACACACCCGATGAAAAGTAAACAGCTCGTGCCCTGTTTACAAATCAGTTTACGTTCACGGGGGGGGGGGGGGGGGGGGGACAATCTTCTTCCATACCCAGTCGAAAGTCGGAGTAATTTGTATTAAAACTTTTGTGTTCATGGGAACCGCTCGTTTAGTAGGTACAATACTTGTAAAAGATCACATACATTTCAAAATTTGTCATAATATTAATGCCAGAAAAATGGAGGGGTGCCCTTATAATTTTGCCAGCATATACTTTACAATAGTAGAAAACAAGGCTAATTTAATGTTGTCTCCTCAATAAACACCAGCTGGCAACTTATTTTGTGTTTTTAGCTCACCTGAGCCAAAGATTCGAGTGAGCTTTCAATTTTAATCAAAATTTGCCCGTTTTCTTAACATTTCCTATTGCAACCACTTCAAAATTTTTCATTTCTATTGAAGTGTTCCGAGACTAATCATTTGTCCTTATTTAAAGTTTAGAAGTTTCTAGTGTTAATCTGTAACTACAGTAATATCCATTGAATCAGGAATCCTATTCATCTACCCATAGTTCAATAGGTCAAGCCATAGAGACAAATTTGGGCCCGTCAAAACATTTCTCATTTGGACCTATAATCATTAAGTGCATAATACCTGTGTATCTGGATAGCTGCTTGATAATTCATTGTTGTAGGATTGTATTAAATTTCATTTGAAATCTCACTCAAGTACTGCATAACTTAATTTTTATTAGTTCAATAATATTCATACTAGTAACTCCACCCAATAGACCAACACAAGCAAATAGAGGGTTAAGACTGATCACATTTTATTGAGTACAGAGTTAACGCGTCTGTGCTGGGGCTCCAGGGGCTCCTGGGCGGGGTGCAGCATTATCCTGAAACAAGACAAATTATAAATTTTAACAAAATATTACAAACATGTACGTAAGTTTTGTCCTGAAGCAAGATTATCAGATATTATTGTGCAATGTCCTTAATAAAAATTTCAAATTTCTGTAATTCTAAATCATTGTCGTTCTGAAAAAAAATTGGGATGGATGACCAGAGAACTACAGTGCCACTGAAAAAAACTATAGTTATTGTGCAGAAAAAAGTGCCCCGTTTCTTGATTTATTTCTCCGTATATATTTTATATGCTATCTGTACTTTTACTATTTCTACATCAAAACATTTCCCGTAATTGTTGTTAATTGCCCTCCTGGGCCTGAAATTGACACCATCCAAAATTTGGCCTACATATACTGCCATTTAGGGTGGCAAGACAATTCGGTCCAACGCACTTTGTGCAGATGTCACCTACACGAGTATTTCATAGAGGTCTTGAAATTGACCTTTTGTGCAAAATAAATATAGTTTTTTTTCTATGGGGGGCACTATGGCTCTCTGGTCTGTCCGTATTTTTTTTTTTTTTTTGGGAGAGCTACAGTTCTGCAGCAACATTGCCCATATACAAAACAAATAAAAATCAGAGAAAAGAATTCTGTCATACAAAAAATGAAAGAAATATGCTATTTCATAAATTGGCTTATCAAGGCTATTTGCTGTACAGCCAATTTGAATAAAACTGCTTTCTCTCTCCCAAATGAACACAATTAAGGCTTTAACCTAAGTCAAAAGCCATATAAATTCATGACTGCATCCTGTTCTAATTTGACAATATATAATATTTAGATTTTCTGTTATTCAGGACTCAACATTAACATTTCTCCGATTGTCCATGTCCAGTTCATTTTTGTGATCAAATAAGTCAATCTCTGGACACTTGTCTGATCGGACAAGTAAACTTTTTTTCTATTATGAAATATGGTGAATAAATTCTCAGAATCCATTCAATATTGTGATTAAACATGCAAGTCTACAGTCTTAAGGGCATAGTAACACCTCACCAAATATCTTTCTTAAACAAAAGAGTGTGATATCAGTTCAATTTTTATTTTAACGATTTGACAAATCTTAATATGTCTGTATTTTTCTTAGAGCTATTCAGTCTTGATGATAAAGTTCTACAATTTTCTTTATATCTGTTCAGAATGGGACAAGAATGCATTCTGAAACGCAATACTTGTTGGCAACTTGTCTGATGGACAATCGGATATTTTATGTTGAACCATGGCTATTGATGAAGTCTTTATATGTAAACTGTGCACCCATCTTAGCCCCTGGATCATGACTTAATGGATGTTGCAAGGGGTATATCTGCATCCTCATTTTACTTCAAAATCATAAAACTTAAGATTGTGATAGATTGTTACAAAGAAACTATACTGATGCTGAGATTAAAACCTACACCGATTCTGAATGACAACAAAAACAGACTAGACACCTCTTTCCCAGACTTGTCGAAAACCAATCTAATTAAAATTAGATGTTCCGAATCCGCTACCGCTTCTCAAACATCTAACAACATCCCATTAGGGGTCACGTCAGAGCGACCTTTCGACTACCCAATGAAATCGCCATCTCTGAAATCTTGGCTTATAGTTCGGATGCGTTTCTTTTTTTACTGCCAAACCTAAATGCCTGAGGGGTTTCGTAGTAAACAAAGTATGCATGGTAAAGACTGTGCTATATATGAATGTGACGTGCGGGGTATATAGACGTATACATGTAGTTTGTGCATTTTAGGTAAGAATGCCAGATTGGCGGACTATACGTTCAATTTATACCAAAATTATTTTAATTCAACGTAAGACAGTCTACTGAGCATCAATAATGTAAAGATGTAGCCGTGGAACTAATTTTAGAATCGCATACAGAAGGTTGAATCTGATTGGCCAATTTTTTATGTTTATTCAGAATTGAAAGGTCGCTCTGACGTGACCCCTAATGGGATGTTGTTAGATGTTTGAGGAGCGGTAGCGGATTCGGAACATCTTATTTTAATTAGATTGGTCGAAAACCATCAGCCCTGTTGGCAAGGCCGGTAAAAATTTGTCTAGACTGATAACTTTAAAGAAAACGTCGGTCCAAATGACCATTTGAAAAAATCAAGCATGACACAAATTCTAAAGAGATTGGGATCGGGGTGCGCAGGTGAAGGTCACAAAAACAGAAGAGATGGCCACATAGTGACAATGGTTGATTAAATTTGTTACAGCAAAGACATAAAACATGTCATTTACATTTTTGATTAAAGACTCTCTATCCTATGAAAAGAACCTTGTGAGACTCAAGGCTGTTGAAAATAATAAAGGACATTTTGGGGCAGGTATTTTCCTTTCTCAGCGTCAAAATAAGGTACATGTATCTTGTCTGACAAGTTTGCTTTCCTAGTACCATTTCACCTTACACACACTTTTATTTCAGAAAATATGGAGAATAAGATAGCCAATATTTAATTTATACATACAACTGAACAGAATTTAGTTTATTCTGGAGCTAGAAATAGTATTTCTTGTTAAGCATCTTTTCAACAGAGGTCAGTCAAAATAGAAAATCAAACCAGCCTTCCACTCTCTTTTTGTGATGAAATCTATCCCAGCTAAAATGTTGCACTTGTGGAGCCACCCAAGTATTAACCTCTCCACAGAAAATGGAAATCTTACCCTCATGGGTCTGAATCTGAGGGGTGGTGATCTGTCCTTTCTGGCTTCTCGGGATCTGTTTCTGACAACCTTGGAGTGGATTGCACAGGAAACGCAGTATAACAACTTAGCATATAGCTTAGGCAGGGCATACACTAAAAAAAAGAATATTGATAAAAATCAAGAGTGAACCAAGGCACCACTTGGAATCCAAGATGGCGAGTGTCATCCATTTTCTCTTTTTTATCAAAATTGAATCATGATTTTTTAAACTGTGATTTTCATCAATTTTCAATTTTTATTGTGATCACTATATTTAGACAGACAATATCGTCAAACACCCTAACTCCGTCACTTTCGGGAAACTCTGCGCTGTTTGTAAATGAGTGCGATTGTGACATAATTTTTTACATGGTGAAAATCTACAATCAAACGCCGAGATACTATAACAGTCAAGTTCAAGAATGCGTCAAAAATAAATAACAATTAAATGTGATCTATTGTATCTATCATATTTTATGTGAAATCAGTAAGTTATTTTTCATCTCAATTTGCCCTAATATGCTACACGTTGGAGATAATGTAGCATGACGTTATTACATATAAAATACATTATATTAACGTTATTTTTTCTGTTGTTGATACTTTCACTAAAATACAATTTAATACTATTTTAAATCTTCAAAACTAATTTTCTACACGGATGTGATACGCGTTCTATTTAGTTTTTGTATAAGCCCAATTACTGAACTTTTTAAAATAGTTCTGAAAACAATGTTCAAGTTCATTACTAAGTGTAGCAAACAAGAAACAAATCAAAAATCAAAGGCCTGAAGGCCTGAGAGGCACATCGCATTGAAGATAGAAAACTCAAAAAAAAATTCTCTGAAATTCAACTTACATGTTAAGGGAAAATCAGGAATAAAAATTTAAATATTGTTTCTTTGAGGTTAAAAAATGTCTTGAGTCTTGGCATTTTTAGCCAGTCGGTCGGGAGAGGTCAACCAAACATATTTTTAAAGATAGTCTGATATATCAATTATAATTCATTGATATATAAATTAATTTATAATTGATTTTAATTTTATTTTTATCTTTTTTTATTCTTTCATTATTATCATAGTAGAAAGATGAAATAATGAATGAGAATTTAGAAAGGAATGTTTATTGAATAATTCTATATAATATCATATTGGATTTTTTTTTTTAGTTTCTTCATTACGTGCATTTTTTTTAATATCAATACTTTGTCTTAGACTAGTTTTCTCAATCAAAATGGCATACTGACATACATGAAATGTTCATATAAATAATACGGGACTAAAAAAATTTTAAAAAAAAACCAAACAAACAAAAAACAATCGGGCATGGTATACCGTATACTATGAAACCCATCAATGGCGGCTGATTTCCTCCGATATTTTCGATAAAATTGGCTCTATAAAACCTTGGCAGTAAGGTTTGAACTCAAAATGTCTATGTTTATAAGGTATTGGTAATCCTATTAATTGAATTTCACAGCCATTGCATGTTTTTATCAGTCATTTAATCATATTCAACCGACATTTCACCAAAAACTGATCTTTTCACCATTTCACGTCACCCTCGTGGAATTTTTTTCCCGAAAGGTGGCGCTTGTTGCAAACACTTATTCAGTTGGACATCTTACTATTCGTTTCATCGAAGTGAAAAAAATAATAATATCCCTTCTACTTCTATAAAAACAACCATCTTGTTCCTATTGTTAGTGATGTTTTCTAAAATAAAATTATTGTATATTTTTCTCAGATATTCCTACAAGCAATGTTGTCTTAGAAGGCCTAATAATTTATAGTACGAGCTGTTGTGATGCAAATAGATCTTACTCCGCGTAGCGAACGTTTGTTTGTTGTTGTTTTCTCTCTCTCTCTTTTATTGTTTGTTTCATTTTTGTTTTCTTACTTGCTTTCAACGTATAAACAACATATACCTCGGTATATGTGAGAGTTTATGTTATTTGATATTTAAAAATAGACAATGAATATCACCAACTTGTCAATATACATTTGCACTATTTTCAACAGCGTATTTAGAATCAATATTGTGGAGTCCTTTGTAGCCGCAGTAATCGAAAGAAAGAATTGGGGGTCATCAGCAATGAGGCTACATCGCTGATAGCGATGCGCCTCAAAAATAACTCAGAGAGTAACCTGACGTGTTTTCCGCTTATGATGACGGAGTTTGGGTAGTAGGGGATACATAAGTCTGAAATATCTGATGTTTCCAGGCTTTTTTCACGATTTTGATATTTTTCATGCCAGGAAAACGTCAGAACCGGCGCCATTACAAAAAACTGGTAATTCGCCGCCTCCAACCAGAGGAGGCATTCTCGGGTTGATTTTCAATACTTGCAAAGCGAATGAAATGTCAAACTCACAATTTATCAATAGTACAATGCTTTTAGTTCTCACCAACATCGTTTTTATGGTTGTTTATAAAATATACAATTCTATGAAAACATTTTATCTGACTTCGAGATTTGGTTTCATTTCGTGCATTTTAAAATCTTTTATGTCCTGTATCGAAATGATTAGTGATGTTTTCTTTTCATCAATATTGTCGAGTACTAGAAGCATTGTGCTATTGATAAATTGTGAAAACGGCATTTAAATCGGTCCCATGTATCGAAAATCAACTCCGATTGGAGACGGCGAAATTTCCAGTTTTCGTAATGGCGCCGGTTCTGACGTTTTCCTGGCACGTAAAATATAAAAATAGTAAAAAAGCCAGGAAAACCTCAGATATTTCGGACTAGGGATACATAAAATACACGATCCTGAAACCGAACCCCTTTGTTCACTCATTCATTTAATTAATAGTTTTATAAGCAATCAAAGTTTTTCATACCATCATAAACACTGGCATCAGCAATATCTCTGACAGCAGCTGCCTCTACAATGTTTCGGATGACGAACTTTTTGATCGCCTTATCCTTAGGCACACATCTTGCACAGTTTGTGCAGCGAACGAACTGCACATGACCGCGTCCCTTCTTGCTTCGTCCATTATTCCTTCGTTTAGAAGTCTAAGAAATTATCATGAAAATAATTTAATATATGCCATCATTTTGTGGAATTGAAAAGAAAAACATGTAAATTCCGATTAATTTAGTCTTGTTACCACGTGGGGTTAAAAAAAGGAGGGGGTCCTAAGAAGCTTGACTTCAGTAATGTTCTCAACAGAAACTAGTCTCTTATTTCAATTCACAGTTAATTAAATTGTGACATTGTGATTCAAAAAGTTATACAAGACAGATATACATGTTTTTCTGACTGTAATAATGTATTTATTTCAATGAACATGCGGTTTTCACCCACCATTCTGGACTGTTGGTGAGAAAAAGGAAGTAGCAAAAATTAATCCGCTGGTCCTAAAATTAACGCAAAGGTCTCTATTATTCAACCACAGCCATACATTTTTCATTTTCAATAGATCCAAAATATAAATTATTTACATAAACACCTTTTCTTTATCATATCAAATATACATGTTTGACGAACTATTTTTGTTCGCGGACTTCAGTGATAAAGCTTCCATTGAGTAACTCGTACAATGATTTATTCCAAGTTTATATCAAAGTACTTAAAGTACTCATGGCAGTTTGCACGTAGTCAAGAGCAATAAATATTAGTTTTGGGAGAAGGAAAAGGTCATTATTATTTAGGGGCATAACTGTTAATAACATTTTTTTTTAAACATTTTTTAAAATTATTTATTGGCAAAATTGTGGGGCTTTACCCACTAAGTTTTAACACGTCTGTGAATTATCGGAACTGAAGTTTTCAGACTAACAAATCATTAATCTGAAAAGCTGAGAAGGCAATACAAAGAAAAAAATCCCACCTCTTAAACCTTTTGTTTAAAATTTGAAAGCCTTTTCTCTCGTAAGAAAGGATGCATCACATTAAAAAAAGGGGGGGGGGGTGAAGAGAGGAATATACAATAAGAATATAAAAAAGGGACTGTGTCTGCCATTGCTATATGCAATGCCTGTCTCTATCACACATATAAACTAGTAGCTGAAAGGGGGTTGAGTTGAGGGTCGTAACTCTGCAAAAGAAGTTTGTTTTGATTTTTAATAGAAAATATATATGTTATTGTAATATTTCATTGGAGCTAGTGCAATGATCTGTTTAATATTTGGTTGGGGTAGCAATGATCTATGTCATAGTTGGCTCGGGTGAAATGGTCTATATATAGATGTCTGATTTGGTTGGAATGCAATGATCTATGTCATATTTGATAAGAGTGCAATGATCTATGTCAAATTTGGTTTGGGGTGCAATGATCTATGTCATATTTGGTTGGGGTGCAATAATCTATGTCATATTTGGTTGGGGTGCAATGATCTATTTCATATAGGGTACAATGATCTGTGTCATATTTGGTTGAAGTGCAATGAACTAAGTCATATATATTTGGTTGAGGTGCAATGATCTTGTCATTTAGTTATGGTATCTTGTATGTCCAACACAAAATTGATAATTTTTATGCCGCCGTATCGAAGATTTGGGGGTATATAGTTTTTACCCTGTCCATCCGTCTGTCTGTTTGTCTGTTTGTCCGAAAAAACTTTAACATTGCCCATAACTTTTGATTGGTTAGAGCTATAACTTTCACATTTCACATGTGTATTCCTTGTGACAAGACCTTTCTTTGGGTACCACCATATTTGACCTTAACCTTGGAGTTTGACCCAGTTTTGCAAAATTTTACCCAACTTTAACCTTGGCCATAACTTTTGAACAATTATAGCTAGGGATTTCATACTTCACATGTGTAATCCTTGTGACAAGACCGTCCTTTGGATACCAACAACTTTGACCCTTTGACCTTGACCTTAAAGTTTGACATACTTTTGAAAAACTTTAAGATTGGCCATAACTTTTGAACAGTTGGTGCTAATTAATAGGCTTTCATACTTCACACATGTAATCCTTTAGACAAGACCTTTCTTTAAATACCAACAATTTTGACCCTTTGACCCTGACCTTGGAATTTGACCTACTTTTGAAAAACTTTAACATTGGCCATAACTTTTGAACAGTTGGTGCTAAGGCTTTCATACTTCACATATGTTATCCTTGTGACAAGACCTTCCTTTGGATACCAACATCTTTGACCCTTTGACCTTGGAGTTTGACCTACTTTTGAAAAACTTTAACATTGGCCATAACTTTTGAACGGTTGGTGCTAAGGCTTTCATACTTCACATATGTTATCCTTGTGACAAAACCTTCCTTTGGATACCAACAACTTTGACCCTTTGACCTTGGAGTTTGACCTACTTTTGAAAAACTTTAACCTTGGCCATAACTTTTGAACGGTTGGTGCTAAGGCTTTCATTCTTCACAAATGTAATCCTTGTGACAAGACCCTCCTTTGGATACCAACAACTTTGACCCTTTGACCTTGGAGTTTGACCTACTTTTGAAAAACTTTAACCTTGGCCAAAACTTTTGAACGGTTGGTGCTAGGGCTTTCATACTTCATAAATGTAATCCTTGTGACAGGACCTTCCTTTGAATACCAACAACTTTGACCCTTTGACCTTGGAGTTTGACCTACTTTTGGAAAACTTTAACCTTGGCCATAACTTTTGAACGGTTGGTGCTAGGGCTTTCATACTTCACGAATGTAATCATTGTGACAAGACCTTCCTTTGGATACCAACAACTTTGACCCTTTGACCTTGAACTTTGACCTATTTTTGGAACTCTTTAACCTTGGACACAACTTTTGAAAATTTGATGCTAGAGCTTTCGTATTTAACTTTTTTTTTTCCTTGTGACAAGACCTTTCTTTGGATACCAACAATTGTGATCCATTGACCTTGACCTTGGAGTTTGACCTTCTTTTGAAAAACTTTAATCTTGTTCATAACTTTTGAACGATTGGTGTTTCCTTACTTTGGGTACCAACATATTTGCTTTAAGTTGCCATACGGGGGCATCAGTGTTTCACAAACACATCTTGTTTTATTTAGTAATAAGTTACTGCCAAGATTAAACTTTCTGAAAGATAGGTCAAAAATCATAATACATCCAAAAATGTTTTGTCCCAGGTAATGTTCAAGTAATAAATATAAAGCTCTGTTCAGGCCAAGAATCGTATGATTTTTGAAAGATGGGCCAAACTTCAAGGTCATGCATGGTGTCGAAAATCATAGTATATTCTGAAAGGTTTTATCACGGGTAACTGAATAATAAGCGCAATTGCAAGTGATAAATGTACTTACCGATGTTTAGATTTTAGAAAGGAAGGTAAAATAAATCTTATGCGGCTGGAAAGGTCTCGTCACATATAATGCACATGTGAAACGTGAAATCCCCATCTTCTCTGAATCATAAGTTATAACCAATGTAAAAAAAAAATTGTGACAGACGAACGGGGGATTAACGCAATGAATGTTGTCTTTTCACGACTAGACTGGAATTCATGGACAATTTAATGACGTCCTCACCTTCATCATTTAAATTTCTAAAGTTTGTTAATCTTTTCTTCATTTTTCACAAATCTACCTATAATGCCATTAAAAATAATGTAAGAAGTTAAGACTTCCATTTGATGCTAATCGGTTTTAAAAGTCTCATTAGATCATTTTTAAAAAAAAATGATTGATTAAATTTAATTTTTTTTTAATTCAAAAAGGATTTATTTAAATCCTTCAAACTATATAATTAGAAATGGAATAAGTTGATAACAGTTTAAACAACGAATGTAAACAGCTAACATCAATGTTTCTTATATTGAAACCCAAAACATTGTAAAACACGTGTATGGAATACTTCAATCATTAACGTGCTCAAGATTAATTGTCACTAGAAACAATACTTTATTCAATAACATAATTTGCTAGAATTACTGAATGGTGTTTCCAATTCTCTAGACTAGTTCTTTTTGGGTGTTTCTATAAAACCCAGAATATAAAACGGAAAGGAAAGCGGAACGGAAACGGAAATTTTTATATCAAATTATATGTATATACACTTGGCCAGATAAAAATTAGACAGGAACCAGAATTTTTTTATATAATAGTTCATACCTAATTGATTGGTTGATTGATTGATTGTTTGTTGTTTAACGTCCCTCTCGAGAATTTTTCACTCATATGGAGACGCCACAACTTGCCGGTGGAGGGCTACAAATTTTGACCTATACTCGGCACTTAAGGCCATTGAGCAGTGAGGGATCTTTTTCGTGCCAGCACCTACTGCGACATGGGACCTCGGTTTATTCGAACCCGCGACGTAAGGATCAACTCCTTACTCCGCGACTCTAGAGCAGACGCTCTAACCACTGCGCCACGCGGGCGACCATATCTAATTGAGAATTTTCAATAGAATATGATTTATTCATGATTTTTTTTCTCAGAACTAGTTTATACACTGTACATATACGACGACTCATATAATATACATTAAATTAACACATAGCAAAAGATTCATATGCGGATTTAGAGGGTCGGGGGGGGGGGGGGGGGGGGGACTCACCAGGGCTTTTCAGAGATATTAAAGGTTCACTTCTATATAAATAGGGATCTGACCTATAGGGCCGGGCTTGGTTTTTTCTCTACTAAAAGCTTGTCGATTTCCGTTCCGGTTAATGACTTGAGGCTGAATACATGTAACAATTTGTTTTTCATAAATCTTTATTTCAGTGAGTAGAGTTAGGAGGAACACTTTCATTGATATTCTGAGTTTGTTAAATTATCTCCAAATGTAATAATTGATATTTTTCTTTACTTCTCATTGTACCTAATGGTAATGTGTACTGTCTCTGGAATTCTATTCTTTATGTATAGGCTATTTATTTTACACTATTCCGTGGATATAATAAAAACATGCCATTAATGTATGCAAATTATATAGGCCTAAATGAAATCCAAGGGAGTACTGTTACTGATATATATGTAGCCCAACTGTTTCAAAACTTAAGATCTTAGAACATTGACTGAAAACAAAAGTACATGTATGTTATTCTAAATATATTAAGCTCAAATAATTCAAGCAATACGTAACATACTACATGTAACCCAGACAAGCACTAATATACCTCATATCAATAATAACTAGTAAAAAAGATTCTGATTAGCCGAGACAGTCACGTGACCGTCATGTTTGCCCTGCAACAAAACGTCGTGTTTCACGTCCTGTTTCACGATTGTGACGTCACAATGCAACGACTGGGATGATTACTACTGAGTTAGATTGTTTTATCGTTGATTGATTGTGTCGATTTAAACGTGTAAAAAAAAAATAATAATAAAATAGTGTTTTCAAGGATGGGGTTTGAATGTTACTAGTGTGTAAAATACACTGACTTTGTCACGAAGGATTTTTGTTCTTTTGAAGCGTGGCTAGTGGTGTAACTTACATCTGTTTCATATGGTTCTTAACATATGTTTACTTTATTACTTGGATTTTTTTTTATATTTCCTGCACTGTGCTTGATTCGGTATAATAAACAATTTATTGCATGAATGTTCGGGAGACATGAAGATTTCTTCATGTCTCCCTCACTATCATGCAATAAATGTATAGTAGCAGACAGAATAGAAGCAATGTGATTAAATTCTAAGGAATATATACAATTGAAATTCATCGCAGCTCAATGCTGCCAAAAATACCTGTATCGAGTAACACAGAGTGAGTTATTCTTGTCCTCGGAGAAAGTGTTCCGCCTGACTGACAACTGTACATTGGAATGTTACGATTTGAGCTCTCTCTAGTGCTTCGTATATCAAGAATGGGGATGCATAAAGGATAGATAATTGAAGAAAAATAAACAAGACTATAAAAAATTTAAAATAGTCTTTGAAAACGCGAAAATTTAAAAGTATAAAAGTGTGGCACTAGGTGGATTCGAACCCACGGCTTTAAAAAGTTAACGTACACGATATAATAGTCAGCGCATATATCGACTGAGCTATAAGATTAATTGGTATAAATTTGAAGCAGATTGTCAAAATCAGGTTCCCTTATTTTTTGTAGTTTTTTTTTGTGAATTTCGACCCTTGGGCAGGGGTGCCCCTAAAAAAATCCTATCTTAAATTATTCCTTACATCCCAACCTATCAAAATATCAATTTTATTTAGGGGCAGGCCTGCCCTGAAGGACTTCTAGGCCAAAATTCATGCAAAAATCAACGCTTTAACGGACAAAACGGTGTTTCGGTCAACTTTGGAGGTTTTTTGTAAAGTTGCAAATAATAAATTTTAGTTGTAAAATACAAATATGAAAAATTTAGACATATATACGGTAGAAAACAACAAATAAAGATTGATTTTTAAATGTAACTTTTTCCGGGAAATTGTTCTCTCCTATAGGTCAATTCTTTTGTAATAGTGAATACATCCTTTCTATGTAAAGTATCAAAAAATGGTCATGGTCTCTGATCCCTCTAGGAAACACAGCATCCTCGTAAAATGGTCAGGAGAGTCATGTATATGAAGAAAACTGACTTGAAAAGTTGATCCCCCCCTTAACACACACAGCGGATAAGGTATTTCAGGTTTAGGCAATTTGTATACGTTTTTTCTTTGTCAAAATATTTACAAGGCCGATATTTGTTTGAGTTGATATCCCCCCATCCCCCGTAAAAAATCATGGATCCTCGCATGGAAATATCGCTTTCAAATACCGGTAAGATTTGGGAAAAATGCATGTACGACTTTGGAACATTCATTCAAAATTATGTTGTGTTCCCTCATGCCATATTTTATACAAAATATCAAATACCGGCTTTTCATATTAATCAGATTATACATTAGTAAAGTTATTCCATTCATACATATTTTACTTGTTCCGTACCCTATATGCTATATATACATGATCTGGGATATTCAAAAGAGAATTAACATGACTAAATCAACTTGTATTAATAATCCTTGATTTAATATGATTAATTTATATAATGTATGTCGTTTCCAGTATGATTTATATATTTGTCATATTTTCCGTTTCCGCTTTCCGTTCCGAGTTTTAGTAACACCCGTTCTTTTCTTTCATAAAGTAGGTGTTCCACGGAAAATGATTTCTATATAAGCATTGACGCTACAATTTAACTAAGTTCTGTGAACTGTCGGGTCAACCATATGTCGTTCCTTTACTAGACTGTAATGTGAGAAGAAGCTTGGCCTTCATTTGAATGTTTTCTGGTACATCTAGTTTTTCATATGATTTGAGTCGGTCACTAAATTCTTTTGAAATCTGGAGGTGCGGGTGTCCGAACCTAAGGTTAAAAAGAGCCTGGTCTATATCATGTTCCACAACAATCCAGTGCTGACCCAAAACAAAGGGGTCATAGTTAATGTCAGAGGTCGACACTGGGGTCACAGACCTTAGAGCTTGTTTTTCCAGCTCGCTGAAAACCTGAGGCACAGAAAATCCAGAATATCGACGACCAATCTCCTTCAGAATCAACTTGTAAATATCCAGTCGCAACATCCGGGCCTTTCGCCTGACATTTTCATCCGGATGTTTTTCCCACATTTTAAGGTCATCACCAAGGCCGTTTCTGTTGGTGATCATCATCTGGTCTGTGTAAAGGTCGTTTTCCACCGCCTTCATTTCGTCCATTATGTAGTCTGTTTTTAACTTGTCGATACGCGGTGATATTTTCAAGGCGTCGTTATATTGGAGAAGATGAAGCGCGTACATTTGGTCCTCTGACAACTCCTCTATCTTAATTTGTTTGTCCTTGTACTGTTTGTCAAGGTCATGCAGCACCTCCATTACTATGGCTTCAATTCTTTTACCGCGCATGTTCTTGACCTCTTGATTGATCTCTACCAAGATTTCCTCTTCCACCCGTGCCCTGAATTTGGGCATTAGTTTGTGTTCTTCTAGAAATCTGCAACAAGATTTATAATCAAATGTAAAACTGTCATCACGTTTAGTATATGTTGAAGAGGAAAGATTCAGGAGAACTGAAAAAACTTTCAAATCTTACTCGGATTGCCTTCTGTAGACTTCTGGGATGAAAGACATGACGTCATCGGCGGCAAACTCCAACATCTCACAGGTCAAAGGTCGCTGTGACCAATAATCACCCATTTTCCGAAGATACATGTCCTACAGGTTATGTAAGGAATCAAGATTTTAGTCATCACCTAGCCAATACTGACTATCTGTAACATCATTAATATACAAGTATGCATATTCGAACACTGCTTTTATTTTGTATAGTGATATTTGATCCCGGTAGAGTCCGATTTTCCCTTAAGGATGTAGTCTGCTGAGATAACTTGTATTTGACTTTTCAAATTAGGCATTTCAATTTGATGTATTTATTATTTGAAACAAAATAAGAAAGAGTAAAATATGAGTTATAGTGCATATTTTTGAGATATAAGGCATTGAAAATATGGCGGGAAACCATATGTGGGAGATTTCATAGACAAAGAATGAAAAATTTCTTTCTCTGAAAATTTATGCTCTGGAATTATACTTTTCTTTATATTTCATTAGAAGGCTATCGAAACTACAAAGAATCAAAATGTCATAGATACTAGGGGTTAGTGGGTGATAATATTATGATTATTTTGATGGATAAAACCAGAGGAATTCCGTAAAAATTACTGACACCTCAGCATACCGGTAACTAGCAGAAATACATTTCTTCCCAATACCTTGACATCCGTCCTCCACCCGTAGTGATTTCCGGCCCCAGAGTAGCACTGACACATGTCAAACAGAGTCAAACGTTCTGGTAACTTTCGGCCCTCAAATTCCCGGATGACTAGATGAGCTATCTTATAATAAAAATTTTAAATTATTAGTAATTTGGTGTTGTCAATATGTAAAACTTTATTTACAGAACATGTAAATTTGCAAATCTAGAAAACCACGATTAGGTCTCTAAGGTTGCATTCAAACTAAAAATGCAGTTGATATATAGGGACTTACTTGAATATCGAACACGTTACGGAGGCGAACAGCGAACTGTGTAAATAAAGCGGCACTTAAAAAACAACATGAAAATGCCACCTGAAAATAAGAATGATATGGATTAAAAGTTCTCATTTATCAGCAGTGTTTCTTGTCGATTTTTTAACCGCGTTATTTACTCTAAAGTTCTTTATGATATCTTTGACTATTGATCATGTTGATAGATAGGTTACTTACTTTGAGAAGTTTTGAATTCTCCAGAAGGAAACGTAACCCTCCTTTGTCGAACAGACGGTTATTCACCAAACAGTCAAACACATAGACCTTCCCATAGAAGGTGCCCACAAGAAAGAGCGTCAGTGGTCCCTCCCGACCCAGGGCCACACCCTCCCCTGCCACAGAAATGATACATTCCCTTTGAAGTACGTGTACCAGCTGACGACACCGGGAAATCTCAGTCACGACTTCTTTCTCGTGGTACACACTGGGAGATGAGGGCCGCAGCAGATCTTAAAATGCCACAAAAAAATTAATAAAGTTATTGTAATATTGTGTTCTCACAAAACACGCTTTTTCTGGTATACAAAGATATGTGATGATTATATACTAGTATATCACAGCGGTAAGAGAGAGAGAGAGAGAATTCTTACCTAGTCTGGCCCCCGGGAATATTGGTATGTTGTGAAGGTCCGCCATGTGGTAAGTCACCTGTAAATATAAGTATTGTTTTCTTACGTTTTGATTTCATGTACAAAATTTGACATATACGTATATAGGATGACAGATTACTGTCAAAATTCAACATTACCTTTCTTTCTGTTTACCCAACAGGTGCGCTGTCAACATATACAGCTCTACATAGTTACAGGTACCCCAAATAGACTGCGCGTCTATGTCGATATATTGTGATGTGTTCTCTTTATGAATCTCTAAAACATTCAGTTCTTCCACAACAGGGGCGATCAAGCAATCGATAACGTTATATTGAAGGCTCTTATTGTCTTCTGCTGTCCTCCATTCAGACGAATAAAATTTTCTTTGGAGAGAACAAAGCTATTGAATGCTCTTATTCAAAGTGATTTGAAGTGTATTAAATATATTTATATCACTGAAAATAAATTTAAATCTCCCAAGCATAAGAGCGTTAAGCTAAATCTGCTATGAGACTTGGAATGAATACCTTATTAATAAGGTTTGGAGTTTTGACAATGATATTTACTATCAGAGCACTTTATTAATATTTGTGTTTTTATCTGTTAGCTGTATATCAAGGGGTGACACTAATACTTGTTTTTACAGGCTTTCAACGATCTTGAATTCAAGCAACAAAACTCTTCAACAGTTCAAGCGGCGAATGAGACCCCCCCCCCCCCAAAAAAAAAAAAATTCTTCACTAGAAGTTTAAACAGCCTAAAAATATCCATGTAGGAGGCAAAATCATTCAGCAGCTGAAAATGGCTTACAAACTCTAACTGCAACTCGCTCATCATTTCAGGAGCTGATAGATATCCTGGAGTAAAGATTTTCAACTCAGTTCACTCAGATAAACTTTGCTTTAATTAGTGCTAATAATTTCCAAAGAAATCTATTTTACAACTAAAATGCAAATAATTTCATCATATCATTTGACAGAAATGGTTTTTTAATGATTTTTTTTAGGAATAAGTCATAGTGAGAGTTGTCGTTCTTGTCAGAGGGTAAATGAACCTTAAAATAAAAAGTATATATAAAAACTTAGTGCTGCATGTCTTCAGGGTTTTTGGTTGCACGTTAGTGTTTATAATCAAGTAAACAGTTTGTTTTCTTAGTATCAAGAAAAAAAAAATCTGTACAATACATTCAAATATATTATCAATTTAAATAAAACCTGCCCGGAAACTTACTCCCAAGGGTTATCTTGCACAGGACCTCCCCACAGGTCCTCTTTAGAATCGTACAAAAAGTTTACCTGCAGATCATAATGCGTGCGACATGAATTTTACAATTTGGTCAGGGCTCTATACCTTCATGACCATATTCATGAAGCTTGGCTCTCATCTGTTCAGGTGTAAAGAAGATTTTTATTAATAAAATTCAATTTTAATATAAGATCAGATTAGCCCAATCCTGGACCCTTAGCCACAAGGAATAAATTCCACTATTTTAGTGATGATTCCATCATGCTAACAGTTTTCTTGCAAAATATCCAGGAGTAAAAGTATAGTGGAGATGGACGGATGATTAAGGCTGCAAAATGTCTTAGTTTCAAAACTCAATTTTTGAGTCTAGTATTTAGAGTAAAGTTCTTATTATTGAAAGGTATGAAATTATGACAAACAAAACTTTTCTGTAGAAGATTCTCATTGCAAAAATTATTCTTTGATTTAAAAAAAGTGTGGAATTCTTGGGATTCGAATCCAGTAAGTAAAAATCCCGAAGCTTTTCTTTGAAACTAACATGCTAACCACTAGGCTACACATTTAAATCATGTTTGTGATATGAACCCTTATAATTAAACGACTTCAAATATTCTCGGAAAGATACGAATGTTGTGTCATAAAAGTGTATTCAAGTTTTTGCTCCATGTTTCTATTAACCGAAAATATGTATATTTTTACGCCTACTTCGAGGATAAATTTTCAAAAATGGAGCGAAGACTCAATAACATGGAAAAATTGCTTTATAATATGAAGAAATCACCCTTTCTGTCCTTTTAAGTGCGTGTATAGTATTTCATAGACAAGTAATTTCAATCTTTGTGAGATTGTTTCAAATTATGGGGATTTTACATAGAGTATACATTAATCATGTTAATGTTAAATAAAATATCAATGACAATTTTGTTATACTTGAGATTTATTTTTTTACTGCACCATAGGCATTCTGCTCGCCTTGTTCGCCTATCTTCTATTCAATTCATGAATGAGCACATGAAGTTTACAACTGTGTTAATTATAATCAGCGGTTTGTCTTAAAGTATTAGAAAATTTCTAAATTAAGGATTAAATCCCTCATGCTTAGCTCTGATCCTTCGACATATCTGGTTCCAGTCTTTGGCACCCCCTTTTTCAGCTTTTCAAAGTTTTTCTTTTTTTTTAAATTTAAATATTTCGAATTTCCAACCTTTCAGCATGAGCGTCACTGAAGAGAAATACTAGTAATTTATCAAAATGCACATATGGTGCATCAAAATTGGTACCGTATAAGATTTACATCAATAAGCAAAGATTTTAATGTATTGCATTTTCCAAATATGACATATACGTACCAAGTCCAAGAAAACCATTGCCAACCAAGTTGCAGCCTTGGTTGACAATGGGTGTCTTCGAGTGAAAATTTTCAATGTTATCCTCCACTACATTTAGTATTTATTAAACTATAGTGAATGTTTTATACAGATATAACTAAATGTGAAGCGTGCGCACACAGATTCCGCGCAGTCAACATTGTTTTTGGAATTTCACCCATCGTCACACTGGAGGGTGTGGTTTCATCATTCAGAGGATAACAGTGCTTTTTAACATTTCTTGACAAATCAAATTCAAGTAATTTACATACAAGAAAGTATAATATCATTTATATACTGAATGACTCAGGTGATCTAATAAAAACATATCCACTATCTTACCAGTCAGAAACTGTGGATAAACTCTGAGTAGTAAAGACTCTCCATCTTGTAGGTCATGAACAACAATAAACAAGAATTTTTTTATACATAAATCTCATTTTATTTTTAGATGAAAGGGTTCTAATCAGTGATTGCTAAAAATTAAAACAAATTCCATGAATGACACAGTTTTAAATAATATAAATGTACAATTACATAATTATTAGATCTGAAGATTGCATTGGGCACTATTAATGTCTCATATCTCGCTGCTAAGCCTCTTGCCACTGAAAGCATTCATCTTGTTCAGAGGCTGCACTGAAAAATCTTTTTTTCTTTGTAGAATAAACATCAAAAATAGTTTATTTTACTAACAGCATTTTTTTTGTTTTAGAGACATTCCTTGCAAGACAAATTACTACATCCACAAATATAACATTACCATTGGATTATGTGAAAAGAAAAGTATCTATTCTGACCAGCTTTCCTAACCTTTACGCCTCCACTAAAGTTTTCTGTTTCTGGATTGATTAGCAGATTTTTTTCATTGTTTTGTCACAGAGATTCACAATTTCCTGATTAACCGCTATTAAGTAAGAGAACATTATTGACACAGTAGTTAGAATATCCAAGCACTTTGAATTGAACATTGTTTTATCCTATATTGTGAACGTCTCCTCAACTGCTGCTGGCACAAAACAACACAGATGATGATTGTTCACACTCTCCCAAAAAATCTGTAAAAAACAGAACAAAAGTGGATACAGGCTCCAATGGATACAAACTTTGTAGTTTCATTCTAAAATTTATCATTTAATTATGGTGTTTCTAAACATTTTGGACAGAAGCCTGTCTATTATGACATAGTCACTGCCTATTTACCATACATAAAACAAGACAGAGAGACATAATGGTCACCTGAATCACACTTTTAATTGCAAATAATTGTGTAGATAAATTATACAGTTATGTAGCTATGCTACTGTGGCTTAAATTTTCAAACTTTTGATGTTATTACAGGGGCGTAGCTTCCATTGAGGCAATGAGGCAACTGCCTCACTAGATTTTTAACCACCAACACTCCATCCCATAGTTAATAATACATTGCAGAAAATATCTTGTAAAAATTATAATTTAAGCAATCCTATAATGTACGTTCATACCATCAAGGTTTGTGCTCTACCTCCATTACTGAAAACTCCAAGTAGGCAATGATTGGAAAAAAATTAAAAACTGATAAATGTTTGACAATTATAGTTTTGAAAAAATAAAAACAAAAGTAAAAAAAAAATGTATTCATCTTAAAATGTGTTAGTTTTAGTAAACATATTTATTAACGTACAACTCTTTTACCATCGTCGGAAACCTGTGGTGGTCTAGCTTCTCTTACATCGTGGGTTTCTGACGATGCTCTTTTAAATACATGTACTTTAATAATATTTGGTGTCATATCCACGCTATAAAACTGGTAAAATTAACCAATTTCTGTGTAGGAGAAGTCAGAAGAAACACCCAAATCCACATTCTGTCCGGAGGGGTGTGTGGTGCTCCCCCTCTAACCCCCCCCCTACCCACCACCACCATGGCGCTGCCCTGGACCTACTTGGGGCCTAAGGTGGCCCCATACCCCCTGTCCCTAGGTTTTGCCTCACTAGAATTTTAAGTCAAGCTACGCCCCTGTATTATAATTTTTTTTTTAATACTAAGTATGCTGATGAGCTACAGTCAAACCTCAATATCTCAATCTCTTTGGGACCGAGGAAAAACTTCGAGATATCCAAAAATTCAAGATATTGAGGGTAAAATACTTAAAGAATAAATGGTTGGGACTTCCACATCACTTCGACATATCCACGGTATTCGAGATATCTGTGTTCAAGATACCGAAGCTCAACTGTACATCAGTTTACAAATCACAAGTCATGCTTAAGGAAGTCAATATCTTCTATGAAAAACATTGTACCCCTACTGCATGGGGCCCCAACTTGACCCCCCATTAACTATGCCTTAGATAAACTTGAATCCAAGTTACAAATAATTGCTTATAAATTAAAACAGGGCTATTAAAAATGCTTCCACATTTTCTTGAAATTTCAGATTTTTCCTCTGGATATCCCTCTTGTAGCCCCTACCTATCTTCTGCTTTAAACCAGTTTGGCAAAGGGATGCCAAAATATTATTACTTCAAGTTCTTCCATACATTGTTGAGGGTGGGGTAAATCAGTTTTGAATATCAAATTAATTTTCACACACCAGTACATTTTACACATTGTAAACAGTGGTATATAAAATCAGATAAATATTGTGCTTTTTGTTTGATCATGGACACTGGTAAAATATTCTCCCTGTATTAATGTAATTAAAAAAGGGTGGGATAAGGGGGTATTAACTTCTGATGTTTACCCTATAGGAATGTCTATATGCTTGTGTGTAAATTCTTTTTCATAAACAACCTTCACTGCAAACAGAATTATCGCCAAATCTTGTGTAATTCAGACCTTTTTCAATAGTGAGCACTTTTTGTTCTTGAGAAGATGTTTAAAGATTTCCTACATATATTTCTATACAAAACTTTGACTCCCTACTGTGGCCTCACTCTCACCATATGATTTGATCTGAATCTTCAAAGGGAAGCTTTTCAAAGATTTTCGTCTTTTCTGAGTCAGTGGTTTCTTCACAATAGGTTTTTAAGATGACACCACTATATTTCAGCATATTCTGATTATCCTCTTTTGCCAATTTTATCTCCTTTAATTAAGCATGTTTTGTGCCAAGTTTGGTTGAAATTGGCCCCTGGTTATTGAGAAGTAAAATATACAGAGTTTACTGACAGACTTCAGATGATGATTCAAAGTAGAGAGACACTGGATATTTTTTTTTTGGGGGGGGGGGGGGTCAGAAACATAGTACATATCTCTTACCTAATTTCTCTAAAGCTAATTACTTGAGTCCTGAAAAAGAGAATAAAGAAAACTAAATAATTTAATAAAAAGTTCATAACCAAATCTAGTAAATACAAGTGCTTAATTGATAATGTCTTATAAGCATAGCAAAAGTTCTAACATTTTATCAAAACCTTGGTAAATGTGTATTATACTTCCCTTTTTTTAGTTTATTTACAAATTAGACAGTTTAAAAATGTATATCAAATAGATACTAATAAAAAAGGTGTAGATGTGCTATTTGAGGGGAGAAATCAGTCTCAATTGCATTTTATTTACAGTAAGAACAAACTTAAACCATCTGGATTTGCCATAATAACCAGGGTTCGAAATTCACTATATACAACTCGCAAAACGCGAGTTAGAATTCCCAAATTGCGAGTTAAAAATTAGGTAACTCGCAAAAACTTGCGAGTAGATTTTTTTGCATTGAAACTGTAGCAAAATTATATAATATGACAGAACACAATGCTTTTGATTTAAATCAGTAATTTAAATAAAAGTCACACTGTAGTTGTATTTTGTGTATTGTACAGTAGTTACTTTTTCCTTAAGTTACATGTATTTAATTTATATAAATTTAACTTTATACGAAAATTGCGAGTAGTCTTATAAAATTGCGAGTTCACTTTCTTGGTACTCGCAATTATTTGCGAGTTGTAATTTTAGGGAGTTTCTAACCCTGATAACATTAAACTACAGCAGCTGTCCGACAATCTGTCGGGATAGAGAGGGAGGGAAGGCATGCTGGTGTAAGAGAAGAGGTGCACATGTTATGCGGTGTGTATTAGTAGTGATACTGTAGCTTGTGATCGCAGACGCAGTGAAACAAACTTCTACCCATAATGCAGCATGGCACATTGCAGATGTTTCTTTTTTTATTTTTTTGGCTTTTTTTTGAACTTGACAAAGCCTAATGCAGTGAATGCAATATCCTAGCTTTACAACTAACAACTACATGAGAAATCTAGAGAGTGTTTTACAGACAGAACGTGGATAGTTGGACAATGCTCACTGAATTAATACAGCAGAGAGCTGGTCACAGATATAAACTAAGAAGTTAAGAATTAAGGCTGGGGTCTAACACACAAATTTATTCTCCATTTTCCCACAAAGGGAAGACTCCAAAAGACAGGTGCTTGCCCTCTGAAAAACCAGTGGATTGGGTAATTGTCCACTACATCTAGTACTGTTGACTGGGGATAGGAGGGACATGGAGGGGCATGGAACAATCACTGCACACAGTACTAAATAAAGAAGCTCGAGGCACAGCTTTTACTTTATTAAATGTCATGACATTTTAATAAGAAGCCTGAGTCGAGCCCCTTTAAATCATTACCACAGTCATTATAAACTGTATGCAGTTCTGATACAGGGATCTGTAAGAAAGCGTACATTCAATATTTCTCTATTGAAATATTCTTGATATAACACAAATATTGTCTTCGACTTAAGTTTTCTCTAGATCGTACATACCCTCCTATACAATTCTGGAATGATGCTCGCTCTAAATCAGAGAAATTGCGCAAAATGTGGATTTAAATGAAGCATGGAGCACATGATGATGTAGATGAACATGCTTAATGAACACATGATCTATGAAGTGTTTTTTTGGACAATGAAAGAAGTATGATTTCATGCATTCAATGTTATCTTAAAATTACAATTCCCTCATTAAAGAAGCAATAGATGTAAATATTACAGCATAAATGGCTGCTGACACTTTTGTCAAGAAGGAAAATGCTGCAGTGTTATAAAAAGACTCTGTTTTGCAATGTTCATCTACACACCAGCGTTTGTGCAGGAGACTAAAGTGAGATGAAGATTGATGAAACCAAGATCTACAGCGACAGCTATTACACAGACATGCAAGAAACACAAATATAAGCAGACAACAGAGAGAAAAGGGTTCTGGTAAACTGCTGAGAACTCATTCTGTGTGGGTCCATCACTAACAAGCATTTCAGCCAGTACAATTCAACAGCTGATAAAGATTTGTCATTAACACAATGATTTTCTCATGACAACTGGAATATGCTGGGTTTCTTGCATAAGAAATTTACAGCCAATATAGATTCTCTTGTTTCATATGTAATATTTTTTTCTGTTTTCCCAAAATATACAAATTTGCACTAATATCTGTTTAGATGTATTACAGTCAAGTTGCACTGTGAAATCCAAACAAGTAAATAAAATGATTACTTTATGTACATGTATTTCCTCCCTTTATATAGCATTTATCAGCATAATACCACCAAACATCTTGAAATAGAATTCCAATAGAGATACATTGTAGATCTATCATAATTATTATGGAGTACTTGACTGAAATTACCTACCAGAATGCAAATTTCCAGATAAATTTGAGGAATTTAAATATCAGCCTATTTCCAGCAATCTACATGTATTTACATTGAGTTCCTAACCCATCAGAGAATAAGAAATCTGTAGTGAAGACTATAACAGTGAAACAGAATGGCAGCCAGCGAGACATTACAGGACTTACCCATTTATGGCTTGATATGAACTACAGAGGGAGGGAAAAACAGCAAAATTAGACAAGCCCAAGCATGAAGTCCCCATCAAAATCATACACTGAACTGGTCAGTTTGTTGACAGGATATGTACACAAATTCAATTTCAGTTAAATTTAACTTAATCATGGCATAAAAAATGAACATAATATATGAAATTGATTAATATTGTCAAAAGATTCTTTCACAACAAAACAAGCCCACATGAATTTCACCCCACCCCCCCTTCCCACTTTTGCCTTATATCATTTTAATTTTAGCTCCCTTTTCAAATGAAATCATGTGGAATAACTTGTTTGCCAGAATTGGACCAGTTCACTTAAGAAAATACAAAATTCTGGATGATGGATGGCAAACGATGTGAATATGAATGTAGCAATGATAAATAAAAATCAATGCTTGCGTAGCATACATAGGCCTACAGAGCAGAGATATTTCAATCGGTGATAAAATCAAGTGAAAGTAAACAAAGATCCACTCACCATCAATAGCCTCCAATGCATAATACTGCACATCTATATCTGGGTCCCCCTTCATCTTGTCCAAAACAGGTTTAATTTGTTGCTGAATTACACTACAGTACAAAAAAGAGACATCATCCTTTATGAAGCTCAAAACACAATGTCTCAAATCGTTAAGAAAATCACTGGCCATTTTTTATACAAAATGACAAACTTATCAGGTTAAATGTCTTTGAATGTTACATAACTACTTTGCAGGAAGAAATCATTTTCATGTATAATCTCAGACTACAGAAAATAAACACTTCACACGAGTGAAGCAACTTGGTAAACTTACCTTTGATCAAACATTTTTCCAAGACGGAGTATTGTTTTGGCCACATTGAATCGAACATTTGGTACAGTGTCTCCTGCCATGCTAAGAATTGTGGGTAACATCAATTTCAGTGTGATCTCGGGTCCACATGCCTCGGCCAGCAGCTGAAATGAATCACATCATAGTATAACTGTACATGTACACTAACATCTTTACTAACCCTTGATCATTAAATACTTAAATTTCAATGTACTATTATACTGTATCTCTTACTTGAGATTGGCACAAATTGTTATTCTAATGACTTCCATTTTGCTCTATAAATCTACTAGATTTTAAGGAAACATGAATTCCATCATCTATTTGAAGAATGCAAAATTTAGACGACTACACTTGTAAACAAAATGGCTATTCCAGTAAAATTATCTGTGTGGGGACACACTATTTACTTTAATACTGGACTGGGGACCTGTTCTAGGAAGTGGATATATAATTTCATTAAGTTATGTACTACATGGTATTTCCATTATGAAGTAAATTATAAACCATTAAGTATCCACAGATGCACAATAACTACAAATTTGGTTCAGATACCCTTGATATTAAGCAGAAAGTTGCCTAACTGGACTTCACCTTTGTAAAGGTAATTCTGAGGTACCTGCATAATTAGTATACATGGAGAAAGGTGTGTCTGTGAAGGCAATTAATGGACACCTGCAGTAGTTGTACCGATTCAGCACAAACAGATTAGTCTATGAATTCATAATAATTCCAATCTCAAGACATATCTGGGAGTTGTATCATTGATAAAGAAAAGACAGTTGGGTCGACATTGGAAATTTGGATCCTGAGACATATTTTGGACTTGTATTACATTAATACAGAATAGAAAGTTGAGTTGACATAGGTAATTTTGATCCCTATACACCTTTAGGACTTATTTACTTACATTGATACAGAACAGACAGGTAAGTCTATGGAGGTAATTCTGATCCCTAGACATCTGTAGAACTTTTGGAATAACTGTCTGCTGAGCCCAATCTACTCCAAACTTTTCTACCAACTTCTTCAGATTGACTGTGGCTGCATCACGAATAGCAAACACTGAAAAAGAATAGAACCATAAAAGGTAAATGATTAAATCATAGGCCCTAACAATAGAAAAGGCAATGTCCTCCTTTGTTTTTGTGGAATTTTGACTGGACACAAATGATATATAAAAATAATTAAAATACCCCAATCCCAAATATATGCTACTGCAGATCCAGTGAACTCTTAACAATCTTAAAACTAGAAATTTAAATGCTACATGTATAGCAAAAGGTTCAAACTCAAGAAGTTATTTACAATCATGACACTGTACCACATCAGTAATATTTACTAAAGACTTATCATGTTTTACAACACATCACACTGCAATGATGTAAATGTATACACTTACCATGGTCCATTAGCCAAGTCATACATATGTAGATGTATACACTTACCATGGTCCACTAGCCAAGTCATACATATGTAGATGTATACACTTACCGTGGTCCACTAGCCAAGTCATACATAACAAGAGGCCCATGGGCCTTGAATCGCTCTTCTGATAAACTGTACAACCTATCACTTCTATTTGAAGCCTCGAAGTATCCTGTATATTTACATAAACCCTTGAAATTCCAATTCACACTCTGAGAACCCAAGATGATTCTAAGCCAATTAGTACCTGAGAGTTGGTCATGGTGACCTACTTATCACTTGTCATTCTCTGAGGACCCATCAACTAAGTTTGATGATTCTATGCCAATTAATACCTAAAATATTTTTTAAAATTATAATCATAAAATTTTATAAGTAGGTCAAAGTGACCTACTTTTCAATTGTTTTACTCCAAGGACCCAAGATGCACCAACTGACAAAGTTTGATGATTCTAAGCCAATTAGTACCCAAAATATTTAATTACAGCCATAAATTTTCAAAAGTAGGTCACAGTGACCTACTTTTCAGTTGCTGCTGTACTCCGAGGACCAAAGATACATCAACTGACAAAGTTTGATGATTCTAGCTAATAAGTACCCAGAATATTTAATTACAGCCATAAATTTTCAAAAGTAGGTCACAGTGACCTACTTTTCAGTCAACCTATTCCGAGGACCAAAGATGCATCAACTGACAAATTTTGACGATTCTAAGCCAAAATATTAAATACAGCCATAAATTTCAAAAGTAGGTCACCGTGACCTACTTTTCAGTTGTTGTACTCCGAGGACCCAAGACGCATCAACTGACAAAGTTTAATGAATCTAAGCCAATTAGTACCCAAAATATTTGATTAAAGCCATAAATTTTCAAAAGTAGGTCACCGTGACCTACTTTTCAGTTGTTGTACTCCGAGGACCCATGACGCATAAACTGACAAAGTTTTATGATTCTAAGCCAATTAGTACCCGAAATATTTATTAAAGCCATAAATTTTTCGAAAGTAGGTCACGGTGACCTACTTTTTAGTCGACCTACTCCGAAGACCCATGACGCATCAACTGACAAAGTTTGATGATTCTAAGCCAATTAGTACCCGAAATATTTAATTAACGCCATAAATTTTCAAAAGTAGGTCACTGTGACCTACTTTTTAGTCGACCTGCTCCGAAGACCCAAGATGCATCAACTGACAAAGTTTGATGATTCTAAGCCAATTAGTACCTGAAATATTGAATTATAGTCATATAAATTGAAAAGTAGGTCACGGTGACCTACTTTTCAGTTGACCTTTTTTGAGGACCCAAGATGCATCAACTTACAAAGTTTTATGATCATAGGACTTAAAATGTCCAAATTATGCCTCTAAAACGCTTTGAAATTGAATGCCTGCAAAGTTCAAAAAGTAGGTCACTGTGACCTACTTTTTAATAAATATGTTTTATGGCCCCAAGATGCATCATCTTACAAGATTTAATGATTCTAAGCCTCCCCGTATTCGAATTAATGACCTTAATTGTTTTAAAAAAGATTAGCCATAAAATTCAAAAAGTAGGTCAAGGTGACCTACTTTTTAGTTGACGTACTTTGAGGACCCAAGATGCATCAACTGACAAAGTTTGATGATCATAGGCCTTAAATTGTTCAAAATATGCCTCTAAATCATTTTGAAAAAGAATGGCTGCAAAATTCTAAAAGTAGGTCACCGTGACCTACTTTTGAGTCAACATGATATGAGGACCTTAGATGCACCAACTGACAAGATTTGATGATCCTAGTCCTTATAGTTAGCAAAATATCAACATTTTAATAAAATGTAATTTTTGGTCAACTTTGAAGTGACCTTGAGACCACGCCCTTTGCCCCAGGGTAAATCCCCGTGCAAATTTTAATCTACAACATATCCTCATCCTTTTGTGTAAGTTTGGTGACAATCTGCCCAGTGGTTCTTGAGAAGAAGATTTTTTAGCAACCAGTACTTTTGTTTCTATTTTCCTAATTATCTCCCCTTGTTAAAGGGTCACAACCCCAGTTTTAGTATAAAAGGGAGCCCTTGGGCCAAGGATACCCTGTGACAAATTTGACAATAATTGGCCAAGGGGTTCTGGAGTTATGGCCCATATTCTAAAAAGTTTACGCACACCGCACACCGCACAAATGGCCATAGCATTAGCTCTTTGAGCCTTTGGCTCAGAAGAGCTAATAATGTAAATGTATACACTTACCATGGTCCACTAGCCAAGTCATACATATGTAAATGTATACACTTACCATGGTCCACTAGCCAAGTCATACATATGTAAATGTATACACTTACCATGGTCTACTAGCCAAGTCATACATATGTAGATGTATACACTTACCATGGTCCACTAGCCAATCATACATATGTAAATGTACCCACTTACCATGGTCCACTAGCCAAGTCATACATATGTAGATGTATACACTTACCATGGTCCACTAGCCAAGTCATACATAAGGAATTTAATTTCTCATCAAAGAAGTCGACTCCCTGAAAACACACAAGAATCCAATTACTGGATAATTTTTCTAGAAATCCATACAGTGAAAACTGACCATAAAAATATTAAATGCATAAAAATTACATGTAGTTTGTGGTGATGTAATTTACAAATAAAAAGTATAAATGCATTGAAAGGATGCCTATTTTTTTTTCAATTACACACATACTTATGAAAATTTTCCCCGTCTTGTACTCTACCTGAACGTTTTTGACGGACAAAAAAAAAAAAAAAAATCTTATTGAGTTCATTTTTCCTCATTTTCTGAACTATGATTAGGTACCTGGACAGTTTTACAAACAAAATTATGTAATGTTAGCAGTGACACCAAAATTTGTTACGGACAGACACACAGACAGACAGACAGACACACAACGGTAAAACAGTATACCCCCCTCTCCTTCGGGGCGGGGGTATAATTATCAGTTGTCCAGTAAATATATACTGAATAAATTATCAGTTGTCCAGTAAATATATACTGAATAAATTATCAGTTGTCCAGTAAATATGTACTGAATTTTGTAAAAGCACTTATTTTCATGGGGTCAAATTTTTGTGGTTTGAGGAAAAACTATTGATTCATCGGAATTTGATTTCATGGATGAAGAATTGTTGAGTAGTTTTTGTATATGAAATTGTAATTTGTGGGTCTCTTTATACCTTAACAACGAAAATTAAACCCCAATAAAAATTAGTGATTTAATAGTACATTACCAGTTGTCCGGCTAAAAGTGGCATATATTCTATGATAGCTAGACGGACCCTCCACTTTGTGTCTTCGGCCAGCTCCACGATGGCTGGTAGTAAACTCTGAGACAACTGTTTGATTCCAATAACCTGAACAGAAAGAACAAAATATCTGTATACAAAGTGTAATGTACTGTGGGAGGTACCTAGGTCTTCAAATGGCATGAAGTCACATAGGCAGATCACAATCAATTAATATAAAAATTCTTTTCTGGAAGCTGATGATCATAAAAATTAAATGATAAATCTTATCATTATTGCTAATTCTATAAAAAGTATGTCATGTACCTTTTTTGTATTTTTCATATAAAATTTTTCCTTGATGATTATGTTTGTTCAAAAGAATTATCATTTACAATTGAAAAGCAAACATTTCAGCATGCCTAGCAGTGTAATATTTTACAGAAATGGTTTGTTAACTTGACAATTTTATAAAATAACGAGTCATTTAGACTAATTACAGTTATCTCTCTTATCAGAGTATAAATGAACCTTAATTCAAAAACTGTTGATATGTAGTGTTAAAAGCTTTCAAAGTAGAGAGGACTAGAATTTACCTCATTTACACAGTCTAAATTTGATATGATGTTCAAACGAACTTCAGGGCATTCATCCTTCAGCTGCGTCAGGAACAGGGGCAACAAATGTTCAATTGTACTGAAATGAAATATACATGTATTTAAGGAATGTTTTTAAGTTTAGTGTTAGTTATTGCTGTGTAAATCACACAGACTTGTCATGTAGGCATATTTCATGAAGCGTGCTAGTGCTTCATGAAAAATATGCCAATGTGCAAGTCTGTGTGATTTACACACCAAAAACTCACACTAAACTTAAAAAACATTCCTTATATTTACATTTTACATGTTCAAAAAGCACCAAAAATATACTCAATGTTTGAATTATTCCCTGCCCTATATCGTTACATTTTTATTTATTAATGTCTCTGTAGCTCATTGTGATGTCACTTTAGCGCAAGTTTCTCTCTGCATATTTCTACGCATGAGTATACACGAAAATGGTATTCAAATCAATTTCACAGTTGACTTAGTAGAAAAACATAGCAAATGTAAATATATACATGTACACAGAGAACAGCGGCAACAAGTGTTCAACTGTACTGAAACAAACACATAAACATTTAAACAGAAATCAACAGCACAGCAGTCCTACAATAATTCTTAAATCAGCACTGTCTACTGGGTTCTCTTGTTGATTATAGTTATTTCTTTAACGATGGATATCAACATGACACTTACAACTTACATCCCAGTCTTACTTAACTCATGAAAACTAAAGAAGAGTGACAACTTGTGAGATGTTTGTAATACTTGTTCATTTATCAGACATTATAACTCACTTGTCTTTCCCTAGGATTGGAGAGAGGCCCATGATAACTGAGGCTAGAGCCGACTTGACATGTTGATTGGCATCTGATACTAAGTCCTTCACACATGGTAGAATGTTAGTCATTATAACACTCTCACGAACATCGGGGGATAAATTCTGACAGAAGTCTACAAGATACATCATATATTAATAAACTTTTGAGATTGAGATTACCTACATGAATATTATATAAAACTATGCTGGTTTTTATACAATTAGACACTGTTAATCACTGTGCTATGAAGAGTATGCTGACCTTTGACCTTGTGAGCGGCTGCTGCCCTGACCTCAGCCTCGCAGTCCTTAAGTAAACTACAGAACGCTGGCACAAGGTCGGTCTTGGTGATCTCTGGACCCACTGCTTTTTGTATCTACAATATACAGGTTTATACATACACTACTTCAATCACAAAGCTGGGCTCAGTTTCAATTCGGAATTAATCTACCTATTCTGATATTCAATATTTTTTTACCCTTTACTCATGCACCAAGTTTTTATGAGATCAGACAAAAACTGTAACTAATTTCACTGAAATATTTAAAATACATGTATAAAAAAATATGTAAAAATTAAATATGACGACTTTGACTGTGGCATCACAAAAGATTCAGAAGTATCTATAGAGTGAGATACCGACCTCTGTGAACTTATCTGCGACCATATATCTGACCCTCCAGGATTTATCATCGGCAGCCTGTCGTAGTGTAGGCATTACATACTGTTCTACATCCTCTGGTGGCAAGAGGGACGCAATGCTGACACAGGCTTCCACATCCAAGAGACGGACAGAGTCCTAAAAATAAAATTCTTACTTACTGACTCTGTACAGAAACAGATATAAGAGGACACCATATCAATAAAATAATATACATTTATTGACAGAGTTTGAGGGCAACATGCGTTTTGTCGGACCCAAGAACCAAACTGTTTGCCTGAGGCCGTTAGGCTGAAGGCAAACAGTTTGGTTTGAGGGGTCGTCAAAACGCATTTTGCCCGAGAACACATTCAATAAATGTTTTGTTATACCTTTTATTTATTTATTTTATTACTTTTTTTTTTTTGAACTTACATGTATGTCGAACACCAACGAATGCAAATGAGATTTAGCTGACCCCGCCCATTATGTGACATAAGGGGTCCAACATCTCATCGACAGGTCCAGTATCTCACACCGCGGTCAAACATCGATTTTTTTATGCCCGCTCAGTAAAACATTGGAAATGTTAGACTTTTATTAGTACTGATTTATATAGGAACAAATTTTTAAAGGTATAACAATGTTTATTTCTATTTAAAATTACAGTGTTGTCATATCTATCAAAATACAACAAAGCAAAAATATATATATATCAAAACAGTATTTACAAACTTCAACAAGAGGCCCATGGGCCACAACGCTCACCTGAGTTACTTTGGCCCTGCTGTTCTTCACCAGACCCCCCCTCCCTTGTAATACTTATTGCGGCCCAGCCCTACCCCCGGGGCATTGATTTGAACAATTTAGAATCTACACTACCCAAGGATACTTCCACATAAATTTCAGCTTTTCTGGCCCAGTGGTTCTTGAAAGGAAGATTTTCAAAGATTTTGCCTATATATATCAATGTAAAACTTTGATTCCCTATTGTGGCCCCGCCCTACCCCCGGGGGCCATGATTTGAATAATTTAGAATCTACACTACCAAAGGATGTTTCCACATAAGTTTCAGCTTTTCTGGCCCACTGGTTCTTGAGAAGAAGATTTTCAAAGATTTTGCCTATATATTTCAATACAAAACTTTGATTCCCTTTTGTGGCCCCGTCCTACCACCGGGGGCCATGATTTGAACAATTTAGAATCTACACTATCCAAGGATGCTTCCACATAAGTTTCAGCTTTTCTGGCCCAGTGGTTCTTGAGAAGAAATTTTTTTAATAACCCCATCCTATTTTTGTCTTTTCTTGATTATCTCCCCTTGTAAGGGGGTTTGGCCCTTCATTTTAACAATTTAAACTCCCCTTCACCTAAGGATGCTCTGTACCAACTTTGGTTAAAATTGGCTCAGTGGTTCTTGAGAAGAAGTTGAAAATGTGAAAAGTATACAGACGCACGGACAGAAGGACAGCTAGACAGACAAACAGACGACGGACAACAGGTGATCAGAAAAGCTCACTTGAGCTTTCAGCTCAGGTGAGCTAAAAAGCATTTTTAAATGGGGATTCACTCCCATTGTTAGAGACAATAAACTTCTCCATATAACATTTACTGTACACTGCAAAATGGAATTTGTTTGTAATATGTATTTAAAAATACTACTTGTTAAAAAAAAACATACTTTCATGTTCTAGAAACAAGTACCTGTTCATCCTGGGCCAGTGCAGTAAATAGAGGGATTAGGTCTGACTTTAAATACTCTATCTCCACAGCTTTAGCAAAATCTCCCAACTTTCCTGCAGCAGCACGACGGACCATAGGGGTGTCATCTCCACCCAGATTTCTAAAGTGTCTGTAAAAGAATTACTCTGATAAAAACCAGTCTTGACTCAAAAAACCTTACAAAAGCACATTGTATAAGTCCAATTCAAATTTTGTTGGGAAAGAAAACAACAGCATTTTTGCCAGAAAAGAACTTACTGTCTGAGCTCTGCTTTGACTGATGAGGAAACTCTTGGATAACAAACAGCAAACAGTCCACAAGCTGAAGTTCTGGATGTGAACCAATCTCCTGAAAAAAAAGAAATTCTTTGATGGTAATCCAGTTAACTCACTTCTCACCATGCTTTTCAGATATATCATACGTCATATTTTTGAAACAACAGCATCTTACACAGAGCTCCAGATAATTTTTTACCCCAAAGTGTATTTACTCCCAGATTTTCAAATCAATGCAGATTTCGCTTTTCAGCAAAATAATCAAAGAGTATTTTGTTAATCTATTGCTCTTTTGACCTCTAATGTGATTTTGAGCTTGTTATTGAAATAAGTGTTTTTGAAAGAGGAATGTCAAAAAAAGGACAGTTTCTGCATTTATCAATTACATTAATGAAATTATATAAACTTTGTCAGCTTTTAGCTATAGCCGAGAAACATTTCTTTTCTTTCACCAGAAAGACCATACAGTTGGCAAAGATACCACGGGCACACATAACTCCATTTATTGATCGTAGCAAGAGTTACCGAGAAAAAAGCTTCCTTTGGCCAGATAAAATTAATCTTTAGATTCTCATCCCCGTCTGCCCCTTTCAAAGTGTCCTGCAGGTTGTTTCTTATTTTAGTTTTAGAGTTACTCCCCGTTTGCATTATAAATCACGTGGCACTATATTTGGCAGAGGAGCATGTGGAAAGCAAAAAGCAATTTTCATACAATTAATAAAGGTTGTCGGTGGACTTTAGATGATATTATGGCTACAGAAAATGGTAAATATATAATAACTGTTAATAAACAGTGATAAAGGATAAATTATACACCATGGGTGCTGTGCGCAATTTTGACAATATCGACGTGTAACGTTACGCATCAAAAACAAAAATTTGGATGTTATATGAACAGGGGAAATCTGTGATAGTAGAGAGGTTGAGATTTTAAACTTGTACGTGTACGTGTGCACAAACTTTGACGTACACGTTTTTTGTAATTTGTCTGTTGAGATTTTAATAATGTGAACGTGTAGACTGTAATCGGTGTCTCTGTTTTTGTAGTTTTGTGACATTAGTTTGACTTTAGTTAGTGAACAAAACATGGTTAAAATAAGTGTTTATGAAACTTTACATCCTAAATGATTAACAACAATTATAACAGTTTCACACATAAATTGACTAGTTTTTATTGAAAAAGCTACAAGTTTACACCTACGTGTAGATGCTTTTTTACAAGTTGTAGGAACATGTAGAAAACTTATCAATGCCAAAAACTGCTGACGTAATACGCAAGAAATTTAGGGAATTCCCCTACTAGACGTACACGTAAGAAATCTCAACCTCTCTATTTTCAGACAAATTACAAGAATTTAATATTCAAATCTTTCTCCCTAACTGGAAATCGGCCTAGGTTATTCCGAATAGTATACGCCTACAAATCAAAATTTCGTTTTAACACTGAGCTGACCTCCAGCTCCATTCACATCGTACTTGTATCATTCAAACCATCGTACGCAGTGCTTTCAAAGTGTAATGCTTATTTATGATTGCTAATGCATAATTGTACGCCCTGTTTTAATTTTTAATGCATATTTTGAAAAATTCAATGCATATTTCTGCAAATACGCACCTTATCTGGAGCTCTGCTTACACACTTAGAATTTGACTTATCATTAGATATAATGTTTGATGTAATTGACCTGCTGATAATCTCTTGACCAATGGCACAAAGTGATTCTCAAGGTCAGCTGGGGAATGCTGGGTCGCGATGTTCCTCAGAGATTCCACGGCTTTATCTCGAACCACTGTCTCCTCCACTGTAGCGAGGCTCTCCAAAGGGGGCTACAACAACAAAGTTACTGCTTTATACACTTCGGGGGGGGGGGGGGGGGGGGGTAAGAGAATAACATGGTGTAAATATCAACAAATTTTAATTAGCAAGTTAGTTTTAAGATATATTTACTAACTTTATACATGTTATACATCCAACTGCTTTTATGAATTTTTATCCTTTTTTTAAATGCTATTATGACAAAGCAGTAAATGTCCTCCTTGATACTGACCAGTAAACAGTGAACATACTCGGGGCCACCGACCAAAGGAGTAAAGTTACCAAGTTGTTCTGCCAGGGCTAATAGAACTTCATCCTCGTCATAAATAGTATCTGTCAATTTGTAAACAAAATTTTAAGAAATCTGATATTTATGAATAAACATACTGAGGTTGCATTTTCTTGGCACACTTTGGCAGTCATGCAATGAGTATATTGAAAAGATTTTTGTCTAAACATGCAAATTCAAGGAGTGTTTAGGATAAAAAATATACAGTGAAGGGTAAATTGTCTTGAGGTTTTTGTTTACCTGTGAGGAATGGAATAAGTTCACTCCTAGTCCTCTCTACTCCTAGAGCAAGTGCTATTGTGGACAGTTTCTTGATACTGTTAAGGCGAAGCTGAAACCAGAATCAAGTATATCTTAGGATAAATGTTCTATAAGCTGATTTTTCCTTTAATCAAATAGTCCATATCTGTAGGTCAATATCATTTAAATGATAGAGTGTTCAAGTACTGCCCCCCCCCCCCCCCCCCAAAAAAAATCAAGCACTATCAAATTTTCTGAATAATATTACAAATTTCGGAAAGTTTCTAGTATACTGGTCCCCAGAATCATGTGACTGCTCATGAGCCGTTATTAAACATGTAAACAAACCACAACTTCTCTCCTCACTTTGGCAAAACAAGTAAATATGGGTCAGTAATGTGTGATCTAGGGATAAGGGTTAGAGTATATATATAACTCTAAGATTAGAACTGTTTTATATATTCTCCTGCTTGCATTTGGGACTGGGGCCTGAACCATTAATATTGGGAAATTAGCTACCTTTAGAATTTGAGAAAAATCATTATACACTTGAACACGGTATCTCGAACATGGAAATCTCAAATACCATGGATATCTCGAAGTAAGTCCTATCCATATATTTTTTAAGTATATTACCCTTGATAACCCGAAATCTCAGATATCTTGAAGTTTTATCTTGGTCCCTTCAAGTTCGAGATAACGAGGTTTGACTGTACATTAAAACTCATATTTTTGGTTTCTGGTGTTTGTTGTGAACTAAACTTCTGTTTTGCAATTGTTACAGCGAGTTAAATTATTATATCCAAATGTATGTTAATATTGTGAGGCAATGAAAAATGGAACCTGTATATACATCCCTGTTAGAAGTAATACGAGTTTCATTGTGTAATTATTGCAACTGTTGATCTACAGGGGGTGTGAATCACTGATTGTCCTCAAGTAATCTGCTTTGAAACACATTTATTATAAATTTCTAATGAGGGAAGAGAAAAACAGTCAGAGTGATAACTGGGGACATGGGCATCTTGGGGGGCACAGAGACATGCTGATTTGAGGGCATGGCAACCCTTTATTTCCCCATTGCTGGGACACTGAGGATGGAGTCATATCTACTATGTCTACAAAAAAAGCACTATTTTCTGAAATCTTTTCTCATTAAAAAAGGGGTTTAAAAACCAGATTAGAACTGTTTTATATATCTCCCTGCTTGCATTTGGGACTGGGGTCTGAACCATTAATATTGGGAAATTAGCGACCTTTTTTAGAATTTGAGAAAAATTATTATACACTTGAACTTTGGTACCAGATTTTTAAACCCAATTTTTCACAAGAAATAGGAATTTCCACTTAATTTTGCAATTTGGGGCCTTTTCATCAACTTTGTAGATTGCTCACGCTTTCTGTGGCACATATTTTAGCACCATATTTATAGGGAACAACAAACTTTAGTGAAGTGTTCCCTAATTTATCATGCATCATGTTTATATACATGTTGTTTATATGAATTCTTTAAATTCATAACAAAGCCTCATCTACTATGTTTACATTGTACACGTTACAATGGGCAATTACAAATGTGTAATACTTATCAGGAACCTATTTTTAATTATACTATTACTAATACTAAAATATAGTTCCCTTTCCTCAATTCCTATCAAATAATTTTCAAATATTCTGAGTCAAGACAGACGTTCATCTGCAATTTCAGAATATTCTTTGCAAATGGGTATGCCTACAATATACAGAAGCAGTATCAATTATTTAATGAAGCCGTGCGTATAACGCCTGCAATGTATTGACAACCAACATTCTGAACCATTCATTGACCAATATAAGGGCGGATGAACAAATTGTTTAAGATATAAAGTTGGAGATAATATACATAGTAATAGCAAGTAATTCTGTTGCCAACATACCTGGACATCTTCGTTTCTGAGCTCGTCTATTAACACAGCAATAGGATAGAGAGATTCGTCGGTCGTCTCGCTGGAAGCCATTTTGAATTGTAACAAATCGGGACAGGTCGCTTATATCAACGAAAAAATATTTTTAAAATATTTTAAAAATCACATGCAAATAAAACTGACAAATTATTATTACAAATGATGAAATCATTCTATGTTTAGTGAATAGTTATATTAATGTTTTAAATGTAATTTTTCTTTTTAAATCAAATACGCTTAAACCTCGATCCCGATTCAATATCCAATAACTAATGAAGAAAGATAATTTTAAATCATTTTGTTTTAAATTTTCATCGTAACTTCATAGTTTAATTAAATTAAATACAATAAATAAAATCATTTCAATATATGTTGCATAACTAAAAAATCAATTTACGGAAATGTTGTAATACAAATAGTCAAATACCAAATGGAAATATAACGCTAGGTGCTTTTGATTCAAATAACAGCAAATGATATTTAACTTGATGGCGAGACTTTCAGTCAGAATTGAGTGCTATAATTACTTTCGCTAACTGAATACAGAAAATAAAAATAACGCTGATTTTGTAAACACTCCAGATAATGATTCATGATAGCGAGTGAGTCACCCATTATCACTTTACCCTATATCACGTAGGTTAATAGTGGTTAAGGTTGATAGATGTGTACAGCAGACCTTCGCATATTATATTCACCATGTATTCAATTTTATTTATACAATGCATGTGAAACACAGATGCTAGTATATTCTACTTTGAAGAAAAAGTAAATGGAGTCTACTGAGAAATAAAAAAGAAAGAAATAAAATAATTCTTCCGGCAACATGCGCGGATCTAGACGGGGAGGGAGAGCCCCCCCCCCCCCTGAAAATTTAGTTATTAAATTTCTTTAATTGTCAAAGTAAAGTAAAAATGACCCCCCCCCCTCCCCCCTCGGAAACATGACCGGTTGTTTAAGGTTTTTTCTTGATTTTTTATTTATCCATCTATTTATTTTTTGTTTGTTTTAGTTTGTTTGTTTGTTTGTTTTTTTTTTTTGTCAAAAACAATTCAGACTAGGGGTTGATGTGGAACCTCCCCCCCCCAACCCCCCGCCCATCGAAAAAATGGACCTGCACCTGTTCAAAATGTCTTTATGCTACTGATATTAAAATAGTTCTTAGATTATTTTAAAAAAAAAGGTGTAATCCACTTGTAAGAAAAAAAAATCAAGCTTACTTCTAAAATTTCCCTAGCTTTTACCCCATTGCTCTATATAAATTACGAGAGCCTACTGGTATCAAATTTTAAAAAAAGAAAAAAAATACGCTTCATTATTTCGCATTTACGAGAAAATCATCTCCTAAACTTATCTCGTAATTACAAAAAAGATCGCGTAATTACGAGAAAATAATCTCGTAAAAACGAGAAAATTATTATCTCGTTATTACGAGATCTTTTCGTGTACTTTCTCCTGTTGCATGATTCTGAATTACAACAAGTCCCCTTCTGTTGGTGCATGATTCCAATTACAGCCAACCTCTCTTCTGATGCTTGGTTCTGATGCACACGTAACGACCTCGGGCACCTGACGTGTGCATAAATGGTGTAAAAGGTTACATTCTGATTAAAACAATGCATCAGGAGAAGGGGGGGGGGTGTAATATATAGTATTAAATTATGACGAGGACTGGTATTCTATTCAACGTTCGAAGTACATTTTAGTTTTGTGAACGATTAGGTGCTCTTTAGTCATGGAAAAATTTGTTTTATTAAAAAAAATGTTTTAATAAGTACATGTACATGTTATACTAAAGTCAATATAATAAATACCTATAGTTATTTTCCTTTCTTAGCATAGAACACCGAGGAGAGAGTAGAATTTTGAGGCAGGTTGCCGCTTAACATTAATAGTGACCAAAAAGTTAAAATTGCAATAAAAATCACTACACAACACAAAAATTAAATTTCACTGCTTTATCTAATCAATAATATTGACACTTACTTTATTTTACACTGATAAAAATTGGATTGAAAGGGCTTACATAATTAATATTTTAACTCTGATGAACGGTCCCCTTTTCCTTTTGATAATTTACAAATTACTTGTTGAAAGAAACATGAAAACCTTATAGCAGCGAAAATGATAATTCGACTGTGGTGCATTGCTGTTTTGAATGATAGACTTAGGGATAAATAGTGCAATGGATTAAAAGAATAATCGGTTTACCTTTTAAAAGTAAGGATGTTATTGTAAATCAATATCAAAGTATTTAAACCGGCTGTTCATATGCATGGTGGAGCACTTAAAATACATGTACGTTTAGTGACCATGCATATATATATATGCTGCAGGATAATGGAACGCGAGATGGAGGGGTTTTTTTTGGATTTTTTTTCCAGACACATAAATGGTAACACCTCCTTCAAATTACTACACGGGCCTGCTTGTGTTATAATTTATGTGCATCTTGATGTAAACTGCCAAAAAATCTTTAAAATCATACGTACATGGGGAAAAAATACAGCGAGTTGAAATCGAATCTAATTGACTAATTTTACCCAGGTCTGAACTAAACACTCAAGGAAATATCCAACAAAACTAATCTCTTACACAGAATTCATACAGAACATTTTCGGTGTTGTATGTATTAATCAAACTGTTAAAAAATATTTATAATATGCTTTAGCAAAGTCGAATATCTTTGGCACAAGTTGTCTACTGGTACGTCACAATAATAAATGTCACGTGATCTTTTGGTGAAAAATGTCAACATTCAGATTTATGGTGTTGGATTACTTTATGTGATGGTTGTAAAAATATAGGTATGAATGTTTTACTTTATTTTATATATATCTTTTAGTTTTTTTCACACTGGGGATTAGTTCTGCATAAATAGCGTATGAATGACTCGCGGGAATCGTGCTTGGACATTTAATTTTCGGATGTGTCCAGACATGTTCACCAACTGGCAAATCTTGTTAGGTCTTATAAACTTAACCAGTGAGAGGGAACTTGGAACTGTGAATGAATCAAGTATTTCATTTTCAGAAAGCGGACCATGGTGTTACCGAGGGAGAAAATCGCCACATTAGTGATTTTAGACCTGGAGTGCACAGGACTTATAAACCCAGGTGCCAGGCCGAGGGTGACGGAGTTATGTCTGTTGTCTGTCCAGAGAGAGGAACTCTTGACCCCCGTAGGGTTGCCCCGTGTTTGTAACAAGCTGGTGATGTGTATCAACCCCAAAAAGATGATTGATCCTACAGCAAGCATTGTTACTGGTATGTTACACAGGATAGAATTGCTGCATGTATAGGCAATTTTATACAAAGAAAAGATATTCTCCTGAACAAGTGTAGACAGAAACATTCAAGAATCTTGGTTTATTAAAATTTAGACTAAATTTCTACCATTCATAATTCCATGTGATATGTCATAGATTCAGTTTTAATGCTTGGATTTACATAGCTACATGTATAGGGTGTTTAAGAAAATAATATTTTTCTGACTTTTCCTTTCCACAGCTTGTTAAATGCTGAACATATATTCATTTACAATATTTGCAATAGATGTAAATAAAAGCCCTCATAACAAGGAATGTGTTGTATCTTTATATTTACAGTTACATGTTCTGTTTCCAACAGGTCTATACAACGATGCGTTGGAGGCTCAGTCACCATTTGATGATGACACCATCACCTCTATTTCACATTTTGTTTCTCGACTTCCTCAGCCTATATGTCTGCTGGCTCACAATGGAAATGGATATGACTTCAAGATTCTGAATGCTGAACTCAAAAGAATTGCTCGTACTTTGCCAGGTGAGATTTACTGTGCTGATTCACTGGAAGCACTTCGTGCCCTTGATACAGAAGCAGCAGACGTATTATCAGATCCAGCACAAAATACCAACAATGGAGCTTCAACCGCAACACCTGTAGGACAGAACATTCCCGAGGTGCCTGAGCAGGTTATAGATGTCAAAGGTCGAGTGAGACAGAAAAAACGCAAATGTGACGCAGACTTTGACAGAGTCCCCATTGAGGCCAAATCTATACGAAAAAGATTATTTGACTCCGCAGGAAAAAAAGATGATGAAAAAAATGATGATTCAATAGATCTGATTGGACATAAGCCAATAGGATCAAGCTTGAAAATGTCAGCAGATGTCATAAGTAAAAGAAATACATGTGACATTGAGTCAGTGAAAAAGAGACTGAGTTTTGATGATGATGATGAGGAGGAAGATGATAGTGAAGACAAAGACGTAGAAATGTCAGACTCAGAAGAAAACCATAATCCTCTAGAAGACAAGGAAAATGTTCACAGTCAGCATACCATTCCTGCCTCTCAAGGGAGTCTGCCTGATGATGATTTCCTACAAGCCGTGGAGAACATAGAACAGTCACAATCAGAATCTCGCAACAAACTGAATAGTGAGACTCCTATATGTCTGTTAAAAACTTCAGACTGTGTGACTCCTAAAGAACAAACTGTCAGTGTGTTAGCTAATTGTGAGGGTCTGTGTACCCCTGAGACTCCCTCCACCAGTGGTCAAACCTTCACTACTGTGTCCAACCCACAGAAAGACCAGTGCCTTACCCCCATGAAAGAACACTGTTTCACCCCTCAAAAAGAGCAGTGCCTGACCCCTATGACGGGCCTGGTGCGCTCTACTGCAGCATTTCAGCTAAATACTCCAGTCAGTGGAAGAAATGAAACATATAATGTAGAGGCAGGAAAAAGAGCTGTCCCAAATGGAATGGCCTGTCGTTCACTCTTTAGATCCACCACTGAAAACGCATGCTCAGGATTCAAACCAGGGGCCTCTCCAGTGTCCCGATTTCCCCCGAGGGTATCATACAAACTTGTTGACATTTACAGAAGATCCTTTGGACAGGATCCAGTCAATCTCCATAGTGCAGAGAGTGACTGTGTCACCCTGATGAAAATAATCAAACAGCGATCTCCCGCATTTATACAGTGGGTGGATGAGCATGCTGTCTTGTTAACTTCTATACAACAAGCTTATTAGGTATTTAGATTGTTTGAAATTTGAGTACTTTTAAAAAATATCTGTCTTTTTTAGTGAACAAATGAATTAATTTAGATTGAATGTTTCAAGACTGTTGAATGAAGTATCTTGTGTTGTTAATTTCTATACATTTTGAAATATTTTTCTTTTTAGTGAACTTATATTGCAATTTTCAATATTGCTAAATGAAGTATTTTGTGTTGTTAAGCTATATCTAACAACCTTATTAGATTTGAATTTTTTTTGTTTAGTTTATTTTTTATTCTTTACAGATCAAATGACCTGATTTTAATTGAACAATTCACTATATGTATTACTGAATTGTCTTCCCATTCTCTTATTTTTGTATGAGAACTTTATTTTACATACCTTTTTAATCAAGCTGTTGTATTTTACTATATGTAAGCATTTCTGGTTTTGTTGGAGACTTTTCATTTCCAAAACTTTCAAATATGATCTGATTCAGTTCTATACTTGACTCTGTGGCAGTCTTTCATCATGTTCATTAATAATCATTAATAATTCATTGATAATCTGTGTCAAAAGGGTATATATTAGATTACCATTAGATGGAGATATCGACCAGTTATTTAGAGCTGCTTAGCTTCTATAGTTAGGCCAACAATGAATGTTTTGTTTGATGTACTCAACCAGAGCTGCCTGATTCAAAGCAACTCATTTGTTTTATTACAACAAACTTTTAGCTTCATTTTGTTTTCTTTTTTAAGGTTTGAAAAAAAAAATGGATACATGACCTAGACATAGATTTCCCATATAAACCTGTACACGTATAACAATGATTGGTTATGAGTCACTAAAATATTTGAGGTTTACTTTATGTTGACCGGCTTACATGTTAGTGTACATGCAAGCCAGCATCATGAGCATTGAGAGATATGAATAAAAGGAAAAAATATATTACAGTTGACCTCACCCCTCAAAATTTAAAACAAAATGGGTCAGAATACATCAAACAAAATATTTGATGTTTTTATATGCTTAGATTTTAGTTGTGTAGATAATTCTGTAGACAGTAGAATGGAATGTTTCATGTCTTTTTATAGAGTCAATATATAAATTAGACTAGTCATTATAATTTATAACCTTGTTATAATTCTAGTAGATTATTTTAGTCACATTTCACCACAACTACTACAAAAGCAACAATTTTTTTTAATCAATTGTACGTCAATTTATCAGGCTTTGATTATTGATTTTAAGAAAAAATTATTCCTAGTTCTAGACTTAATGTTTTTGATATACATTTTGTATTTATACAAATTTTTAGCACAACTATTTGTTTTGTTGAAGACATTTTTAACTTTTTTTTTTAGAAATACTATCCTATTTAACTGTTATAGAGTTGCCTTTATCAGGAACAAATGAGATTTGATAGACAGAGAAGACATTTTATAGCTCAGGTTGATTTACCTATTGTGTGACTAAACATGTTATATCAAGTATTTACATACCAGTCAGTAAGCTATAGACCAGATACAATGAGAAATAATAAGATTTGTTACAGATCTGGAAAGCTGTTATTTAAAACATTTTGATATAAAGATTTAACTGTTATAAGGTTAGGTCCTTTGTGTGATTTTATATTTTACTTTTTAATCACCTTTAGGAAATATTAACTTGACTGGGAGCGCCATGAAAATCTATTCTTAATGAAATGGAGTGTTTTGATTTAGTGCAAGATTTAGTGTTTGATTTGTTGACAGATTTAGTGTTAGGGTTTGGAGTGATTGTGTTCTGGTGCTGCAGTCATGTATTGTTGTCAAATCACTGTTGAAAATGAGAGTTGAGTGTTTTAAGTAACTGTTAAGTTTAATGTATATATAGATGTAAATATCACTTAATTTATTCCACTGTTATGGGGACCATATACAGAGATAAAGGCATTTCTGTTGAGAATAAATTGTTGACCAAGATTTTCTTTTTCTTCTATTGCAGTAAATAAAATTCATAGGCCTCTCTATCTAATTTTGTGATAGAGGAAATAGGTCTACCCTCCATACAATAATTTATAGTATATAGGGCTATACGTATATTGATATCATTTCGTCATTTACGAAATTCGATGGGAGGCCTATGGTAAAATTTAAAGAGGACAGCCAGGAGTTCAAATCTCTTTGGGATGAGAACACAGGATCATGTCTTCTCTCAGTGAAAGAACCGATCTGAGCATCTTTATATTTGACTGATTAATTTGGCCTTATCACATGCATAATGCTTTTGACTAAGCATGCATATGAAACCGATAAAGGGCAATATTGCACGTAAACTCAACAACCAGTTTTCTGTCAATATGCATTTTATTAAGCATACACCTTATAGATAAATGATGTATATATCACATAGCCTATAACAATAATACGGGAGATATATCTCATAGCCTATAAATATAACCAAGAGATATATCACATAACCTATAACTATAACACGGGAGATATATCACATAACCTATAACAATAACACGGGAGATATATCACAAAACCTATAACTATAACACGGGAGATATATCACATAACCTATAACAATAACACGGGAGATATATCACATAGCCTATAACTATAACATGGGAGATATATCACATAGCCTATAACTATAACATTGGAGATATATCACATAGCCTATAACTATAACACGGGAGATATATCACATAATCTATAACTAAACATGGGGGATATATCACATATCCTATAACTATAACAAGGGAGATATATCACATAACCTATAGATATATCACATAACCTATAGAAATAACACGGGGAATATATCACATAACCTATAGAAATAACACGGGGAATATATCACATATCCTATAGAAATAACACGGGAGATATAACACATAACCTATAACAATAACACGGGGGATATGCCTATAACTATAACACGTGAGATATATCACATAGCTTATAACTATAACACGGGAGATATATCACATGATCTATAACTATAACACGGGAGATGTATCACATAACCTATAACTATAACACGTAAGATATATCACATAACCTATAACAATAACACGGGAGATATATCACATAGCCTATAACTATAACACGGGAGATATATCACATAACCTATAACAATAACACGGGAGATATATCACATAACCTATAACTATAACACGGGAGATATATCACATAACCTATAACAATAACACGGGAGATATATCACATAACCTATAACTATAATACGGGAGATATATCACATAACCTATAACTATAACACGGGAGATATATCACATAACCTATAACTATAACACGGGAGATATATCACATAACCTATAACTATAACACGGGAGATATATCACATAACCTATAACAATAACACGGGAGATATATCACATAGCCTATAACTATAATACGGGAGATATATCACATAACCTATAACTATAACACGGGAGATATATCACATAACCTATAACAATAACACGGGAGATGTACCAATCTATAAAAATGACACGGGAGATGTATTAGTTGCCAATTAAGATGATCATTGTCTGATCCAATACATTTTACATGATTGATAGTCTCTTTAAAAAAAAGAGATGTTTCTAAATATAACATTCGACTTTGACTTTAATTCTAATTAAGATATATGTACATGTTTTTTAACTCGATGACAATAATGCTTTGACCATTAGTGCATGTGGCCCTGGACATACCCAAAATTAGTGATACAACTCAAATCCATTGATTCAAAGTATATGTTCCAAGGGTGTTCAAGAAAAACTTCTTGCAAAGTTGGCTATTGAAATATTACGCATTTCCTTTCTTTCAAAAAATTATTTTAAGTATTAAAATCGAGTGAGCAATTATTGGTCAAAGTCACAGAGTGACCTACCGATGTTACGAGTAACACAGTCAAAAGTCCTAAGCTGAAGAAGACATATTGTATTATTTCTGGTTCCCGACATTTTCACGGGACATTAATTTTCCTTTGTTATAATTAGCTAATTTCTTCATGTCATAAGAATGTTTGTGTCATATTTTTACGAGAATTGTGTGACATTTTAACTTTCTATTCTTAAACAATTTGTTCCATGTTTCTAGAAGTGTCGGTTTTCTTAATTAATTAATTATTATTAATATGGATACCCTCAGAAGTTCGTTTGTTGTTATTTCGGATTTAAGGTTTGAAATAATGTCCTGTCATATTTCTAAATTGTATTAAGTGATTAAGAGCGTAAATCTATTTAATTCAAATGTTGCTATGGTTACACTCAATATATAGTCTCTAACGTTGTCTGTAGTTTTTGCTTTAAGCCGCAGTCTCTCACAAGAGAAGGTAAAATATTTTATTTATCCCATCGTTGATTCTTTTTATAGATTTTACAAAATTACCATCGTTAAACATTTTAAACATAATATAAAAATTCTTTAAATTAATTTCTACAAGATCAGAAAAAAGAAAATTATATAGAGTATTAGAAAGTAATTTATCACGTGGACACAAAGAAGGACATTTTACGAATAGCATATACAGCCGTACTAGTACAGTGTACACTTAAATTCTTCTATTTTGTTCTTTTGGTACTCTTCCTATTTTTAAGGAAAAAAGTGGACTACAAGTAAGTAAAATGTTTCTAACTTCTTTCTTTAGGAATCATGTCGCTCATTCTTCTTTGTACCACACTGGTATCAAGCTTTTCCCAGGTGACAGGAAGTTGGTATCATGGTTTACCCACTAAACCTGATGATATATCCAAAGGGGTATCGAAGATAGACGATTTAGGACCAAAGAAATATTATGCTCCCGCTGATGATGCTAATGGCGGATCTAAGAACTATTATATTCAAGGTCAAACTGGACAATACTCCGATATTTCCGGTCACAGTGGACAATACTTTGGACACGGTGAGACAAAACTTATTTATCCCACCGGGCATTCTAATGGAATCGGAGATACTTCAAAATACCCGACATATCCCATAAATTCTCATGGACCACCCTCTTTGACAGAGGCAGTATACCATCCGCTGACCAAACAAAATGGAGGAGATCCATACACAGCAAACTCAAAGGACAACCAGTACTCTGTTTACCCTGGTCTGTACTACCCTGGCAGCCCTAAAGGCGGGACAGAAAGTGAGAGTGGTCATGTAGAGACTCAGGGACTTAAATCCCTGGAGCTGAGTATAGACCAGATAGGAGGAAGTCAGAACCATGAGAATGGGAACAAGCTGGATATATACCCCGCCCACCCAGCAAGTTACAGCCTCGGTAGTGGGTCTGGTGACCATGGAAACATCGGTCAATTTGTCTATAAACCGTCAACTTCCATCTATCAAACATACCCAGGCGACAGCTCTGGAATTTATAGTCACAGTAAAAACAATGGAGGGGAAGGATCAATTACATACCCGGTCTATCCAACAAGTGGTACTGGTAATGACCAAGGAAACAATGGCGGAGATCTTTATCAACCGCCCCCTAGCTCATACCAGACCTACACGAAATCTCGCAACCCAGGCACTGTCCCTAGTGACCATGGAAAAAATGACGGCCTTGCATATCCAGCTCAAACCAATACGTATCCAATTTATGGTAAAAGTTATAGTCTAGGCAGTGCTCACGGTGACTTTGGTAACAATGGTGGTTCTGTAGTCAAGCCATCCCCTGATGTTTACCCAGTCAACAGAAAATCTTACAATATAGACAGCCAGTACCAAATTTATGGAAAAGGTAATAGTCTCGGTGGTGAATCTGGTGATCTTGGAAATAAGGGAGGACATGTTTATAAAGCAGTATTTAGTAACTATCTTTATAAAAATGTAGGATCTGGTTATAAACCTAATGTCCATGGAGTCATTCACAGTGCTGACACTACACACACTGAACATGGAAACAATGGAGGGAATAAATTACCAACAAGCAGTGGAGGTCTCCTGTCCTCTTACTTCAAAGGAATCTCCGGCGGATGTAGCAGTCACGGAGTCTTACCAGACAAGGAGACTGCACACTCCTCTAGATCCGCCATCTATTATCCAAATTATCCAAAAACAGGATCAATTGGTCTTCCAGCAGTTGGCGAATTGGAGAAAACCGCCGGAGAACTAAGCGATTTTCCTACCAAACATACATCTAATTTATATCCAGAGAGCCTACACGGGATTGGTTTTAACCAACACTACTCTGTATCTCAGGCATCCAGTAATGGCCATGAAAATGGCGCCACAGATGACGCTGGTGTAAAACTTATTGATGATTTTAAAAAGTATTTATCAGGAGGATCTTCCAAGACAGACGACGCTTCCCGACATGGTGTAGTGGCATATCCAAAGGAATCTGGGAAAATTGATTTCGAAAAATTTGGTAGTGCTGCTAAGTATCCGGAAGAACTTGTCAAGGTTTGGCAGTATTATAGCGGGAAGGGGGGATCCCAGGGAGGGAAATACGGTGTCAGTGTGTATTAAGCTTAGAGAATTAACGTGATTAGTGTGTACTGAGGAGAGAAAATTTATATGTATAACGGGCTTAACACTTTTTCTGGAGTCTAGACGTATTGTAATTTAATGTAATAAACTATATTTGCAATACTGTAAATTACTTTTTATTTGCTAGAACTTTATTTTAGACGGCCTGCTCGCGAAAATTTTATTCTCGCATATAAAAATCTTATAAAGGATTATGTTCATCAAAAATAAACATTCGTTTATTGTATCGCTTATCAGTACCAAAAGTTTTCTCGGGAAAATAAGGTGTCGTTCATTATCCTGTAGCGCATCCTTATATATCCCCCTATCATTCAGTTTATTATCTGCACTGTGTTTGTGAATGGTAAACGCATCCGAGCCTGGCCTATTTGTAATGTAGAGAAATCTGTACAATCACCATAACGGGTCTTGTGTCTTCCACGGCACACAATAGAGTAAATGCTTGAAAATTGTGTGCTTATCAGTCGAAACTATATAAACAAAAAACGCCTCTTCTAGTTAAGCTGATATAAGATTGCAAGGAGTTAGTTATAATTCTTGTGACCTTGAACTTTTCCAAATGGCCTTCTGTCAGGATCAGGTCACTGTTGGAGATCTTCAAGTTTTTCCACTGCATGGACCAGGCGCAAAATTGCCATTTTCAATCACTGTAACCCTAGCTATGTTCAAGTGGCCTTTTTAAAGGTTCTAATACAACCTCTGGGGCAACGTTTCTCAATTTTATAAAATTGTTTTAAATTTCCAATTCCCGAGAAAATGAATTGGTTGAAGTATAAGTCCATATATATGGACTTATACTTCAACCAATTCATTTTCTCTAGCAATAAGGTTCAAATATCTGACCGTCTCTAGCAATAAGGTTCAAATATCTGACCGAGCATCTTTACCAAATCGTTTACTTCCAAAGCTATGAGAAATTAAGGTTTAAGTTGCAGAAAAAGAAATGCAGACAAAGTGACTAATAAATCAAAAGCATTGTCTTCATGATTTGATCTCCATTTTGTAAAATGCAGAGCTCAATTTTGTCATTCAAGTGAAAGAATTGTATAGGGATTAAAGCTTAGCTAGTTCAATACACATAAACACATAGCAAACAATTCAGCCAAATATCTTCAAGTACTGCAATCTTGTGTTCTACAAGTACATGTTTATATACATGAACATTGTTTTGAAATTTTTCAAATTCAAAAATGTCATTCCGCTTTATGCGAGCTGGATCATTAGTAGACATTTATAATAATATAGAATAAGAATGAAGTTCTAAAGATTATAATTGGTGAACTGCAAATGTACATTAGCGGTCATTTCATACATTAATAAATGTCATATCTATAGAAATGTTTTGGTCACTTAATCATCATGACACTACTAAACCTTTATATTGACACGCCCACAATAAGTTTGTTTACAAAACATATACATCTGCGGTTGGTTGTTTTGGTCAGTTGTGTAGATGTTTTAGAAGTCCATTACTGGCGCCTTATATCGCACTGTTACCTTAATGTGTCGCATTATTGAATATAAATTGATCCACAAGACTTTGTCTCGGACTGTAGCGCAAAATTAATAAAGTATGAAATTCAGCCGGGCAATTCTACCCCTTCTTTTCTTTGTTGTGATATTGTGCAGTTTGTTTTTACCATCAGAGGGTGAGTATGAATGATCAAAGTTTTTATACGGCTTGTAGAATCGGATTTTAACATGACAACATAATATACTTGAATTTTCTTTTAAAAATTTTAAGTTATCATTGTAAAATAATTTTAAGCAGAAAAAAATATACACATACATTATTCTAATTCAATTTTTAATTGTGAAATTTTCCAGCTCAAACTGTAGTATGTCTAATGCCAAAGACCATAATTATGAAATGATGGCATTAGTAGTCATCTCATCCATGATGTAAATAATGGAAACAGGAAATAATATCTAAATATCTTATTTTGAAGGCCGGCGAGGATGGTATGGTAGATCACTAGGATATCGTGGTTATGGTGGCTATGGTTACGGTCGTGGCTATGGTTACGGTGGTCGTGGTCGCTTTGGTTATGGTGGTCGAGGTCGCTACGGTTACGGTAGATATCGTCGCTATGGTTACGGGAGGCGTCGTTACGGCTGAGGAAGTCACCTATTAATTTTTATTTATCTGGGTAACTGCTTGAACTAAAAGTCGAATAATATCGCAAAAATATTTCTTGCAGAAGGATATCATTTTTGACATTTATTTATTTACTTTATATGACTGATTACAAGACCCATTGTATGGAGATTTTAGAAAAAAAAATAACATTTTTTTTCTGTTTTGTTTAGATTCTGCTCCTTAAAGACAATGCAGTATCAATATTCTTTAATTCATCTTCATATTTAAAAATATCTTATTTGTCACCAGTAGATTATTTATTAAAGTAAATAAATGTGGAATTTGTTTGGGTTTTTTTAATTATTATTTGTGACCTCTGAATTATGTGTTTGTGTCCTTATTTGGTTGCTATTACTCCAGGATGTATCAGAAAGATGGAGAAAGGTCAGAGGAGGGAGAGGGATTGAAACAAATTCTTTCATTCTAGTTTCTCTGAAGAATGTATATCAGGATACGAAAATAGTAAAATTGCAAATTTCAGTAAAACGGGTCTATATATTTTTGGTGTGTTATAGTTTTTAAAATCAAAGTTATAGTATACGACAATTCTACTATGGGCGGCTTCAACGCTGATGCTAATTATCACGTGCTGCAATGCTGGTTATCATCAAAGAACTTTACAAGTGAAAATGAAATCACAAGATTTTGTCAAAAAATCGCATCAAAAGAAATGACTTTTTAACATTTATACAACTATTTTTCAGGACAACATTAGAAAATACTTTTTGACATCAGAAATAACTATTTCTGCAAGAAAATGGAACTATAGCGAATTTTCTTATCTTGTGATTTGTCTTCTACAAAATTACTATGTCAAAAAAAAAAAAAAAAAAAAAACCATTCTGATTCTACACACAAGTACCGGTATTTTGAAGTTCGATGGAAACTAATTGCGCCGAATCGTTTTTGTATCTTTTGAATCAGCATTTATTCAGAACTCTACATGAGAAGAAGAAAACTCTTGATGTGGCCTTCAGACATTTATATATTTGTCGATGTTTTTTCAATCAATAATAGTCATTTTCATTCATGTTGGCAAACAATTAAACTATTATGACAAAGGGATGGCCAGCTTTTCAACTCCATTCATTTATATAGTAATAGTCTCCTTTGCATTTGTGGCATTTCTCCATTTTTAAAGTTATTATAATTCTGAAAAAAACCTATCATTGGTTTGACAAACATGTTTCATACCAATTGTAAGGCACTTGTTTTTATACTTATTTTGACTGCGAATTACCACATTCACAACATCAATACAGAGGGATGTTTACTCAATCTAGCACCTCATCACACCGCTGGTGTTTCCAGAAATATGCTCTGTTTACGATTTGTGAAGATAACCAACAATGATCATAAATCCAGTAGACAAAAGGAATCATGAACAGGACTAAAACACGGGACCCCTGGAGACGACAGAATTGGAATCAGGTGCCTAGGAGGAGTAAGCATCCCCTGTTGACCTGTTACTCCCGCCATGAGCCCTCTGTATTGATCATACTTAGTCAAATTTGTAATTAAAAATATATAATAATTGGTGGGAAACATGTCAGTCATACTGCATATGACCCAACAATAGATTATATTTGCAAACAAGGTCATTATAAAACGACCATACAATTTACGAAATGCAACGAGATGATGAAATGAATTGAGATAATTCAAAACCTTTAATATTAACTGATTGTTCATTAACCTGCCTCTATTTTAAAATTGATCGTATTCAGAACAACAATTAAGATCGGTTGGGAGACATAAACACCCTATACCGGTGATAGTGAAATTTTAGTACATAAATAAGGAAAGTTGACGATGCAAAAGCTGAAGTCATCCCGTTTTTAGTTTAGATTTTTAGTTGGCCATTAGCTCTAGTCAATAAAACAGCCAAGAATGAAGCAGATATGGCAGACTCTGTGATGTCTTTTATTTCGAGTTCACTGGGATATATATCGAGTGGACATATAAATGAAAATAACTAATTTAAGTGAATTGACAAAAAAGTCGTCCATATATCAAAATCTTAAAAGCAAAAATAAGAATGTCCTTCTCCTGTAGAAGTGTTTGAACGAAAATAAAGTTTAAACTTTAAACTAAATGTGTACATTGCTTGAACCGTTGGCAGTTATCTTTTGGAATAGAAATAATGAATCATAGAAAAACGATAATGTAAAACATTAATCAAAGATTTTATAATTACTTTATAAGACTAAATAGAGGCTTCCTCTATTAGTATTATCTACTATAGAATGCAACAAGTAACATGAATTGTCGAATTTGTATCAGAGCGGTGCTACATTTTATTTATTTATTTACTTTTTATAAATAAAAAAAGGTAATTGTATTACGTATAATATAATTTCTATAATAGACAACGACTGCTTCAAATATAACTTGGTATCCTTTTAATCTTTTGTTTCATTTGCATATAGATTTAAAAAAAATTATGATCCAAAGATTTCTCAGCAGAAGTCAAATAGAAATTTTCTTTTAAAAGATTGTCTTAAATCATGAATTTTTTTAGATTTAATCTCCTCTGGGCGCCTCCATTAGATCATTGACATGACCCACTTATGCAAACAGGAAGTTTAAATAGCAGACTGAACGCATAATTTTATAGAAGCATGCACCGTTAAATAACAAACTAAACCAAAATGGCTCCTGAGAAGATTCCACAAGAAGCAAGAGATCTCCACAATAAACTAATCACTAATCTTCATGATTTCATCAACTCTAAGGTAGACGCTCATGATTTCGAAAAGGTAAAACATCGCTTAAAAATGAAATTACCTCCCTACGCGATAATGAACTGCAACAATGTGCTGGACATTGTAGAGAAGTTACAGAAGAAAGGGCATGTGAAGCCTGGACATTATGATGATTTCATTAAACTAATTGAATGTATAGACGTTACGTGGGTTGATGAAATCAATGAAAGAGCAGAGGAGATTAAAAAAATCATCGCAGAAGCAAACAGACCCCAGACAGCAGAGTCGTCAGAGGAAAATAAAAGTAAATCCAGTCTAATAATACTTCAAACCATCTAAAGAAAAAAAATTCACTTTTTTTCATAGCACATGTACGTAATTTATTAAGTACATATATTAAGAAAGCATTTGTATTTGATATAGGCAGTGGCATTAGTAATAAAGAACCAAAAATGAAACTATATATATATATATATATATATATATATATATATATATATATATATATATATATATATATATATATATATATATATATATATATCATATATTATATATTTCAGAAGATTGTTTTCATCTTTATTGTGGACGAGTTATTTAAATTGTAACCATGAAGCCTTTAAGTTTTACTTAGCATATTCAATAACTTAATTTTCTAAGAGTTGGATGGTAAAAAACGAAAGTTGGAAGAGGATAACCAAGAATCTCTGTCTGAAAAATCAGATGGACCAACCCAGAAAAAAGGAGCACATTCATCAAGTACGTAGACTGTTTAATCTGATAATAACATGTGAAAAAAGCAAGATTACTGTTTTTGTTTTCTTTTTGACATGTAGAAAAAAGAAGATATTCGAGAGATGAAAAGCAAAAGGGGCTGGCTCTAATTCTTAACTTCACAAAAGGCAGAGAAGGTAAGAAGAGTTATATTTTATATTTAGAATTATTTTCACACAAACATAAACATAGAGAAGATGACAAAGAGAAAGACATATTGGAAATAGAGACAGTGATAAATAATGACACAGAGAAAGGTATTGTAGAAATAGAGACAGTGGTAAATAATAACACAGACAAAGATATAGTGGCAATAGAGACAGTGATTAATAATGACACAGAGAATGATATAGTGGTATATGGCAAGTCAAATGTTGCAATATTCGATCTTTTCCATTTGTATTGTATAATTTTCCATTTGTATTGTATAATTTTCCATTTGTATTGTATCATTTCCCATTTGTATTGTATTATTTTTTTTTGTGTTATATAATTTTTCATTTGTATTCTATACTTTTTATTTGTATTCTATAATTTTCGATTGGTATTGTATAATTTTCCATTTGTATTGTATTATTTTTTTGTGTTATATGATTTTTTTTATTTGTATTCTATACTTTTTATTTGTATTCTATAATTTTCGATTGGTATTGTATAATTTTCCATTTGTATTGTATAATTTTTCACTTGTATAATTTCTCATTTGTATTGTATGTTTTTTCCATTTGTACTGTAAAATTATACAATACAAATGGAAATGTATAGAATACAAATGGAAAATTATAGAATACAAATGGAAAATTATACAATACAAATGGAAAATTATAGAATACAAATAAAATTTATACAATACAAATGAAAAATTATACAACACAAATGAAAAATTATAGAACACAAATGGAAAATTATACAATACAAATAAAAATTATACAATACAAATGAAAAAATATACAGTACAAATGAAAAATTATAGAATACAAATAAAAATTTTACAATACAAATGAAAAATTATACAATACAAATGAGAAATTGTAGAATACATATGGAAAATCATAGAATACAAATAAACATTATACAATACAAATGGGAAATGATACAATGCAAATGGAAAATTATAGAATATAAATGGAAAATTATACAATACAAATGGAAAAGCTCGAATATTGCAACGTTTGACATGCGATAGTGGTAATAGAGACAATCATAAATAATGACACAGAGAAAGAAATAGTGGCAATAGAGACTGTGATTAATAAGGACACAGGGGAAGACTTATTGGAAATACAGGAAGTGATAAATAATGACACAGACAACAATATAGTGGAAGCATAGACAGACAGACGGACGGACAGACTCAGAGGAAACCTATAGTCCCCTCCAGTTTCACCGGTAGGGGACTAATAATGACACAGACAAAGATATATTGGAAACATAGACAGTGATTAATAATGACACACATAAAGACATAGTGGAAACAAAGACAGTGATTAATAATGACACAGACAAAGATATATTGGAAACATAGACAGTGATTAATAATGACACAGACAAAGATATATTGGAAACATAGACAGTGATTAATAATGACACACATAAAGACATAGTGGAAACATAGACAGTGATTAATAATGACACAGACAAAGATATATTGGAAACATAGACAGTGATTAACAATGACACAGACAAAGATATATTGGAAACATAGACAGTGATAAATAATGACACACATAAAGACATAGTGGCACTAGAGACAGTGATTAAATATATACAATCAATCTTGTAACATTAGATGACGGTCAAAATATCAACATTTAGAGGAAAATGAAAATATATGATGGCGGCATAACAGTTTAAATAAATCACCTATAACCTGCTTACTTCCATGTTTCTCTTTGACATTTGTTGTTCTTTGATATTCATTTTATTATATCCAGGCACAGAAGCTGATTTTAGAAACATCCACAATTTTTTTGAGAAGACATTGAACTTTGAATGCCATGTAGAACATGACACAACAAAACAAGATCTAATGGAATTTTTAGAGGAAACAGCGGGTCTTTTCAATAACAGACGTAAAGCAGCTGACTATTACTGTCTTCTAGTCTTCATAATGAGCCACGGAAATGAGGTTAACTATACAACAAATGTTTATTGACAACTTTTAACATTTAACAATTACGATTACATCAAACAAATTCAAAACATTTATTGAAAATTAGCACAAAAATCTTATTCTGTTCTTTTATGTAAGTAGTATTCTCTAACTTGAAATACGATCAATTAATTATACATACAAAGAATCAAAGACTGTAGGACTGATATATAAATGCTTATTGCAGGAGGGCATTATTACAGATGACGACAAAACTATATCACTCGACGAAATTGTAGCTTATTTTAAAAACGACAAATTAAAATATTTTGCAGGTAAGTAGTTTTTTTGGTCCATGAAGAAGAGACAGCAACATATTTAAGTAAAAGAACCCAATGCTATTAATCTTACTTTTGTAGGGAAACCTAAGTGTTTCTTCGTGCAGGCTTGTCGTGGTAAATCTCCCCAGGGTACAGTGGATTTGTCTGATGATAAGGAGGAAGTCATGATAGATCAAGTGGTAGGAAAGGTCTCTATACCAACAGATGCTGATCTGCTGATGGCTTATGCTACTACACCAGGTAGGTGGTAAAAAATCTCTATGCCCACAGATTTTGATCTCCTAATTGTACTATATCAGGTAAGTGGTAAAAGATCTCTACAGCCACAGATGCTGATCTCCTAATGGCTTATGCTACTACATCAGGTAAGTGGTAAAAATCTCTATACCAACAGATGCTGATCTCCTAATGGCTTATGCTACTACACCCGGTAAGTGGTAAAAGATGCTGATCTCCTAGTGGCTTATGTAAGGTAAGTGCTAATTCTAACCCTAACCCTAAATATATTCATTTAATGAAGTACAATAGTGAAATCCAAACTGGAAATAATTTATCTCTACATTCATGACTGCACTGAACTTTAAACAAAACTGTTTCGCTTGACAATGGATTTTCTTGGGGTGTTCAAAATTTATGTGAATATGCTAGTTCTATAGATCGCCAATTTTTGGCAAGATAGAAGACAAAATTTTGACGAAATTTGGAACTGTTTTAAAAAATCTTTGTCCATGAAAATATTTTGCGAAAAAAAATGTTATTGAACAGATTATCTCGCGAAAAAAATGCAAACAAAAAATTCTCGTAAATAAAAAGTGATTTACAGTAAATGATAATGCCTGATTTAAGTACAACATTATTTGTTGATAGCGTAAATATCTTACGTAATATTTTATGGTATTAATTTTTAAATAAAATTTTTAGTAGCTTTTCCTAATTTTATATTTGTTAAGAAAATTACAATTTTAATTAAGCTACAATCAACAAAATTCTTGCAATACTTTTTTTTAAATACACAGTTTAAAATCGTTCACTTGTCCTTTCAGGCTACTTTGCTTGGCGGAGGCCACACTTAGGTTCTTGGTTTTTCCACAACGTGATAAAGATTTTTAAGGACAACTATCTGGAGGAGCACATGGAGGACATGCTAATTGACGTGAAGGAGGCCCTGGCTTACGATCCTCAATGGCAGACCAATACCGGCCACAAACAAATGCCGTGTACGTGGTCCACTCTGACCAAACGATTCTATCTGGCGCCGGGTCAGAGTCCAGAATAACAACAGTACTCCACAACGATTGTCAGAACCTCAAAACAATGTTGTGTGTTATGGCTAGTTAGTGTATGCATTCTAAAAGTGAATTAATATAAATTTTAAACATACAAAAACGGAGTTATATCACTTTTTATTTGAATTTCCTAATAAACAATTCTCTTCAAATTGTTGTTTCCTAGGAAATGACTCATGGTTGGTAGAAAAGAATATTTCACTGGAAGCTGTTATAAAATTTAAATATATAAAAGAGAAAGTTTTTTTTTTTTAATAAAAAGTCAAATCCTCTAGATACTTACATTTTTCTAAAATAAGATAAAAGTGTTACAATCCTTTCAACTAAATGGCAAACAAATGATTCGATCAGATATTTGAAAATATAAAGCAAAGATTATGCGTCTGAAAAAATATATGGGATTGATAATTCTGTTATTGTAAAGACGTATTCATTATTCATAAATTAAATGGTTGACTATCGAGAAGAGCAAAAGTTGTACATGGATTACTTCATAAGCGTCTTTTCTCTTTGTATGTAGTGTCTTTCTATAATTTTCACCCTTATTTCTTTGTATATACGTGCGAGACAATATAAGTCCGCTTCCGATGGAACCGCAGATGGCCTGTGTGTTCTCTTCGTCTGCCAGTTTTCTGGATATTTCCTAGACAGGGCTTAAAAACTTCAAAAAAATTTTGGAAAATTTAAAATCACAAATTTTACTGAAATCAGTAGCATCAAAACTGCCTTTTCAATAAAAATGGAACTCGTAAATATACTTACCTTGTCATTTGTCATTTACAGAATTATTTTGTTAAAAAACACTCTTATTGTTCACACAAGTACACTGAAGTTGATATTAAAAAGATGCTTGAGTTTCTGATTGACAAAATCTATGTAGTTTTTGGAGATCAGGTCTTCCAACAATCTGTTGGAATTCCCATGGGAACCAATTGCGCCCCCTTATTAGCAGATCTTTTTTGTATTCATATGAAGCAGAATTTATTTAAAATCTTCTACATGAGAAGAAGAAAATACTTGCTGTGGCTTTCAACTCGACATTTCGGTACTAGTATATCGACGACGTATTATCAATTAACAATTGTTACTTTCATTCCTATGTCGACTTGATATATCCCAGTGAGAAATGATGACCTCAAATGAGACTGTTGATATCCTTGTTTCATTAACTTGTTTATCAATAGCTTACCTCGTCTTAGAAATTGTTCATACGTAGAGCATGCTCTTGCGTATCGAATCAACTGAAAGACATAAAACCCATATGCAGGTGTTAAAAGTATGTCGCTACCTATGTAAGGGAATTTAACGATTGAACAGTTAAAGTCATCACATTTATCATAAAGGTTTGTTGTTAGGTTATCATTAATGTCTTTCTCTAGTAAAATATCCAAATATGAAACAGATGTGTCAGACACTGTAGTTTCTTTTATATCAAGCTCACTGAGATATATCGAGTCGACATATGAATAAAAAAAGAAAATACGTCGTCGATATAGCGAAATGTCGAGTTGAAGGCCACAGCAAGTGTTTCTTCTTCTCATGTAGAAGTTTTTGAATAATTCTGCTTTATATGAATACAAAATAAGCTTCTAATAAAAAGTTAAATTTTGTTTTAATCAGTTTATTTTCACAACCTCTGAACTTAGAAATTTAGTATATTTATGATTATATTTATCAAACGCTTCTTTAAAAAGATGTTTACCTTCAAGTTTGCTTTTCCATCTACATTATGTATATTGAATTACGGCCCTTGGACTTATCAGCTTACACTTGCTTTAGATGGATGGCCGAGGGTGAATATTTATGACTTAATGCTTAGTTTATACGGAAATTCCATAATGCTTATGCAAAACTCTAAGAATTCTTGGTTTGTATAGAAAATTTATGCGCTTGTAATTTCTCTAACGAATCATTATTAAAATAAATTTACAAAGGTTGAAAAGAATCCATTCATTCACAATTGCCTTCATTCAACTCATGAAATTAAGTACAGAGTGATAAGTGATGACTATTTCTCATCAAATGTTTTAATTTACATTACCCTAATCGAAAGAGATGTGAAAAAGGAACATTAATATTGAAGTATAATCGTTGACCCCTTTCCTTATTTACATAAGGTATTGCAAGCATTTGGTATAATTGATAGTAAAAATGGAATCTATAAACGATTTATTGCTTGTCGTGTTTCTTTAATGTTGTAAACAGTGCTTTGCCAAGTCCATTTGTTAAGTAAATAGTGATTGTCATTAATTACGACAGTCTATCTATGAAAATCAAGTTAAAATTTAAAAGCAATTCCAATGTCAATCACTTATAGTCATTAAACCTTTTTATCAAGAGGAGTATAATTATTTTGCTTCAGTTTCCAGTATACAATTGTCGACAAAGGAAAATAAAAATATATTAACTTAAAAAAAGAAAATGAAAACTTTATCTAAAAATAAGTATTTTCAACAGATATAACTCTCAAAGGTATTTTTGACAAAATAGAGTGCAAAAAGTAAGGATAACGGACAATGATAAATCTCATAAATTCATCAAACAAAACACTGACCATTGGAAATTCACGTTCTTGGATCAGGCGCCTAGGAGGAGTAATCATTCTCTGTCGATCAATGAGCTGTATGTATGAAATCCTTGTTATTTCAGCTTATTTGTCAGTATTTCTCCTAGGTTTAGATCGTACTCAGAGCATGTTCCTGGTATAGAATCAGTTTCAGGAACATGAATATCATATGCAGGTGATATTGGAATACTACTACATAAATAAGAGAAGTTAATAATGGAAAAGCTGAAGTCATCTACATGTATTTTGTCTGACAGGTTAGTTATCATTGATTTTTTAAATATATATTTTGAATTCAATATGAAGTCGACATTTGAATTAAAATTACTAAAGTTAATACAACGTCGCCCATATATCTACATGTTGAGTTAAAAGACACAACAAGTTTTCTTTGTGTCATGTTGTTAATTTTGAATTTATCGTGTAGACATTCGACTCAGGTTGTATTTCTGCTTCATACAAATATAGAATTCCCAAGCAAGACTCCTTTTATCCATCATAAACCAAATTTTATTATTTAATATTTTTTAGATTTCATATATGCATTTAACAGAAAAATAATAAAATAAATAAAAAATATAGGAATTTAATACATAATACAGCTTAATAACTGGATTGAATTGACCTCAAATGATCCTTAGGAGACAAGATTTCCCAATAAATTTGACCGATTTTTAAACATTATTTGGTAGTCAACTAAACTTTAGATTTTGCTAATACGCGAGTTTGAATGCGCCGTCTAAAACCAAATGTAAAATAACCTAAAAAGATGCTTGAATTTCTGATTGACAATATCTATGTGGTTTTTGGTGACCAGATCTTCCAGCAGTCTATCGCAATTCCCATGGGTACCAATTTCGCCCCGTTATTAGCAGACCTATTTTTTGTATTCATATGAAGCAGAATTTGTTTAAAATCTTTGAAGTGAAAAGAAGAAAACACTTGCTGTGGCCTTCAACTCAACATTTAGATATATCGACGACGTATTGTCATTTAACAATGGTTATTTCCATACTTTTGTCGACACGATATATCCCGGTGAGCTTGAAATAAAAGATACCACAGAGTCTGTCACATCTGTTTCATATTTGGATATTTTACTAGAAAAAGACGTTAATGGTAATCTAACAACAAAGCTTTATGATAAACGTGATGACTTTAACTTTTCAATCATTAACTTCTCTTACTTATGCAGCAATATATCCTTATCACTTGCATACGGGGTTTATATCTCTCAGTTGATTCGATACACAAGAGCATGCTCTCTACGTATAGGAACAATTTCTAAAACGAGGTAAGTTATTGACAAACAAGTAAATGAAACAAGAATATCAACAGTCACGTCTAAAGTCATCATTTCGTAAGTTCTATGGTCGATACATTGACCTTGTCGGCAAATACAATCTATCATTAAATCAAATGCTGACTGACTTTTTCAAACTAATTGTTAGGCCATTATTTACACACTGAATTGTCGACGGATTTTACCGTTATTTCCCAATCATGACAAGGAGCACACGGTGGGTGTGACGGGTCCACAGGAGATGCTTATTCCTCCATGGCACCTGATCCCACCTCTAATGTTTTAGACATCCGTATTTGCTCTGCTCCAAAATTTGTATTGTTTAACTTTTGAGCTTGAATACTGTTCGTTATCTCCACATATTTCATTGATGAAATAACAAAAAGTTCAAGTACAATTCCTTATGTGGTTTTTATTGCATGTAAACATTATTAATATAATTAAGAAATAAACAACAATGTTAAAAAGTTCTCTGGGAAATGAACTTGGTTGGTCACGTGATCAAATCCTGTGAAGCCCGAAGGGCTTGTTTATTACTTTTATTTACATTTGAGACGAATATTCTGAAAAGAACTTTCATTTATTACACGAACGGTCCGCCGTATTGCTATGTTGTGACGCGCAATGACCTAGAAGCTGTTTGGTCTTGAGAGTTCGCCTCGCTCCAACATTTGAATACTTACATTGATGTTCAGCAGTCCAGTTCAGGAAATATCTGTTCATAATGAAAAAAAAAACAATTATCGCTACTGAGAATAATCTTACTATTATTGTATGAGTTCTTAATATATGAAGTCAAAAGCGGTGGTATCGTCTTCAGTTTACATAGGCCTACCTTCAAAGGAATTTCAGGTTAAAAAGGTAAGCGTGATTTTAGGCTAATTAAAAACATTCTTCACACCGAAGAAAGAACTAATGATTATTTGTTGAACGAAAAAAAAATGTTTCAATAACTTTATCTTTTTCATCGCTTTTAGTTTAACGGCTTAGAAGTTCCGAAACCAGTGTCACCGGGACAGAAATATGTCAGACAAGATATCATCTCGCTGTGTGATTCGGTCACGCCATGACCTCTGACCCCCTGATAAGTTCGGACAGAATTGAACATATTTTCTGTTCAATAGGTTCATCTAAGAAATATATTTAATGCAAATGTAAATATTATATTTCTTCAGTGAACTTTTATTTGAACATTGCATTATTGAGAAGCACGACTGTAAATAATATTCATTGATTTTGCACGATAACTAATTACTGAAATCCTGAATAAATAATTCTAAGCAAAGAGACAGGTGAGTTTAAATTCAATAAGTTCGATAATTAGAAACTTAAACAATGTCCCAATAAAATTAGTAAGATTCTGATCTGTGCAAAACAGAACTTTATTAGGAGTATATGATTTTGA